AGAACAGGTGACACCAATGCGACGGGTTCATATCTAACCCAAATTTTACTCAATGTAGCGCAATTCATGTTAGAATACGTCACTAAGGCGTCACATGCACACTGGGTATTCAAAAAATGGCGTAAAAGCGTTTCATTTTTCTACACCACTAAGACAATATGTGAATTTTTATTTTTTATTTGTATGACATTATGGTGATATTAGATATCTGCGTCTATAAGCCCAAGATATAGCAATTTCGGATCAGCGTCATATATTTTGATTTACATTAATAATTAATGACTAAAGACTTTTAAGCAGTATAAAACAATAGTAGTTAGAATTACTGAGAAGTTTTACGGATTTATAAACGAAGATTTTCTTATCTTAGAATGTTATTAATTATTATTTGAATCTCATTTGTTTGTTGCAGTTACCAGGTAATTTCTTGCTTAATTTGGCCCAGACAATTTGTTTCTGTGGTGTTTGTAAAAGACTTGCTGTCTTGGAAATCAGAGAATGTCTCCGTCAATATATCGCCCACGCTGGTTCGATATGATTGACGAACATTGAAAGACAGCTACCCATTCTTATTATCAAGTATGGTTCCTCAGAGAGCATTTTAGAGCTTATGTATTCATTTCAATATTGAATGTTACTATCTTTGAATATAACAGAACATTAAATGTTCCACTGTAAAAACTCGTATTCAATAGCCCTTTAGATAGATCCTCTTTAAAAAAGCAAACCTAAATTCATCAAGAAACAAAACAAGTAAAAACTCACAACAAAGCAAACTTTAAAAACCATACGAAAACAACAAATAAAAACAAAAACGAACCTAAAATGAATAGAAAAACAAAAGAAATAAATAAAAATCCTCAAAAAGAAAACAAACTCAAAAGGAAGCAGTCGCCCACGTGGCGCAGTTGTTAGAGCGTTCGCAATAGAGTCGCGGAGTAAGGAGTTGATCCTTACGTCGCGGGTTCGAATCCCACTGTGGGACATGGAGACCGGTCCTTCGGATGAGACCGTATAAACCGAGGTCCCGTGTCGCAGTAGGTGCTGGCACGAAAAAGATCCCTCACTGCCCAATGGCCCTGAGTGCCAAGTATAGGTCAAAATTTGTAGCTCTCCACCGAAAGTGGTGGCGTCTCCATATGAGTGAAAAATTCTTGAGAGGGACGTTAAACAATAAACAAACAAACAAAAGGAAGCAAATAGACCAAAAAAAATATAATATCAAAATAAACAGTGTCATAGGAAAGGAAAAAATCAAATAACTTTAACAAAAGGAATTCAAATTTCCTAACAGTAGTTATTATATTTATATTTTTATATTTACTCCTCACCAAAATACTCACTGCTTCAAACGTATTGTGCTACAACATATTCAAGAAGTGGTTTAAATCAAATGTGGATTCAAAAAAAAAATATTAAAAAAATCTTTAAAATCTCAAAACTTTTTCAAACATCAATAGCATCAAAACATGACATTTCTACTCTTTATACTACCAATCATCACAATAATTTAAAGAGCAGGCTTTCTGACGTCATAGACAAATGCTTCCTCATTAAAAATTGAACTCGTAAATATTCATACCTTATGACTGGTCATGCACAAAATCATTCCGAATCAACATACAGTTACTCTGAAGTTGAAGATATTGGAGTTCTTCATTAACAATATCTATGTAATCATTAGAGATCAGGTCTTTCAGCAATCTTTTGGATTGCGATAGGCACTAATTGTGCTTCTTTATTAGACAACCTCTTTTTTATATTCCTATGAAGCGGAATTTATTCAAAACTTTATCACGAGAAGAAGTAACTCTGCTGTACCTTCAACTCAACATTTAGAGATAACGACGTTTTATCAATTAACAATAGTTACTTTAATTTATTCATATGTCGACTCGTTATATCTCAATGAACTCGAAATAAAAGACACCACAGAGTCTGCCTCATCTGTTTCACATTTGGATGTTTTACTGACTAAAAACGATATTGTCCAACTTATAACTAAACTGTATGACAAACGGGATGAATTCATTTTTCCATCGTCAACTCCCCTTATTTATGTAGCAATATTCCAACATCACCTGCATATGGTGTTTATGTCTCCCTACTGATTTGATATGCAAGAGCATGCTCTGAATATATACGATCAATTTTTAAACCAAGGAAAGCTACTGACAAATAAGTTGATGTTACAAGCATTACAACAACTCCGTTAAAAGTCAATTAACTTTTCGCAAATTCTACGGTCGTTATAAAGATCTTGTTGTAAATACAACCTATTGTTGGGTCATGTTTTGTCTGACATGTTTCATACCTTTTGTTAGATCATTGCTTTTATACTAAAGTTGACTGTGAATTACTCCTTCTACCTTATGAAGGAGCTCACGGCGGTGTGACCGGTCGCCTACTCCTCTTAGGCACCTGATCCCAACTTTGGTTTTCCAGGGGTCTATGTTTTTTCCATGTTCACGATTCGTTTTGTTTCCTGGATTTTTGAGATTAATCGCTGTTCATTATCTTCACTGTTTACATTGAGTGTTTTCTGCAATGTCAGAACCTTTAATCCCCGTATTAAAAATATTGTTTATTGATATTCATGTTACATTGTTGGAAGAGCCCACTTCGGCCTTCGAAGACCAGATATAACTAGTTTAGAGTTAATCAATTGATTAACGACAATCGGTTTCATATTTTTAAAAAAAAGGAGAAAATATTCAGTGGATGTAAATATGAAATGATTCGTTGTATCTATAGGTACAGGTACAATTAATATATAGTTGGCAATTTTCGAGCAAAACACTACGACCTCCGATACGACTTCTGGCTTTGCTTTATGTCTATGCTTCTGGTATAATCATGCAGTTATTGTTTTTGATAATATTACTAATATTTAAATTAAAAAATTAATGAACTGATCCATAGCTCCCAATGTTGGAAAGCATGCAACGTTAATTGCTGGCAAGAAATGGACATTCAATACAAATTTGAAAATTTTTACAGCCCAGATCTTTTTTCATTCCATTCTGTCATTTACATTTTCTTATATTTCTGTGCTCTTTTGCGGCGGACGTGAATGTGTTAATGTGCAATATCACAACTTTTTTGTTTCGGCCAGGTAATTATTCTTCATAATAACACTGGCCAGTTTGAAGGTCATCCAGGGACGGTCTGAATAAGAATACGACTTACTAAGTTTGAGCAACTTGACCCTATCCTCATTCATATCCGATTGATTTATTGTATGTTGTTTTACGTCCCATTCGAGAATTTTTCACTCATATAGAGAAGTCACCATATACGGGTGAAGGGCTTCAAATTTAGACCTTTACTCTGCACTAGGGGCCATTGAGCAATGAGGGTTCTTTATCGTGCCAACGCCTACCGTGACACGGGGCCTCGGTTTTTTAGCTCTCATCCGAAAGACCCGCAACTTTCACTTCAAAGTGCCGAGCGCTTGGAGAAGGAACAGTTGCTACCTATTTTGTATCATTTAGGTCAGTCGCGGCCCTGATTAGAACACACGACTTTCTGATCACGGAGCTCTACCAACTGAGCTACCGTTACGGCTCATTCATATCCGAAGAATTTCAGAAAAGTATTAGATTTCCAAACTCAGATTCTAAAATTAAATCTAAGGAGCATTATAGTTTCTGATACCTTTGAGTCACCAGTAAAAACATTTTCAACAGCCCAGTAGGAAGCAAATTCACTTTGAGGGGGCACAACCATACTTTTTTTTCAGTTGGGGGGGGGGCACTATCAACTACCAAAATTCCTTGACAAGAAAAAAAAAACAGAAAAGGTCATCAGACGTTATTATTGAGGGGGCACAAACATATAGTAGCTATGTTTTCTATAGTATTCTATATATAGGCAAAATTATTGGGAGCATGCCCCCCCCCCCCGGTTCCTACGGCCATGCTCAAGATTGATTTGATATCAAATAAAGGATTCAAAGTTAAAGCCGGGTCACCATTTCATTATATCTCATTACCTTTTGACCTTGACGTTTGACATATGACCTTAAAGCAAAATCATGACAGACTTAGATTGAGGACAACAACATACTAACTTTAAATCCATTTCAATCCATGGTTCGAAAGTTATGGCCCGGGCACGATTTTGTTCTACCCTGAAAGAGCCAATAAATAGACAGCAATTTTACACTGTATCATGATGATAAAATGATATCTCATTCCTGTATCTATATTCTTTGAAAAGAAAAAAAGGAAGTCGTCAGTGGATTATGATAAATGTGCAGTGATCGGACTGGATAATTCTACCACTCTAGATACGCTATACATGGAAGTGCTTCCGAAGAACTATATCTTTAATAACTATATATTTTTGACAGAATACGCGTTTTTGAAATTATACTACGTATCACAAAATTGGATTTGTCAATGATAGAAATAGGACATGGATACTAGTATTATGCCTTAGGCATTTTCTCATCACCAAGGTATTGAGATCAATAAATATTTGAATACCTTAATACACAATATATTATGAAGAACAAGAATATATCGACGGTATCTGCGTCATTGGTGACAAAATAAATTGCGGGAGATATAATAAAATTCTTAAATAGAAAAATTTTCTTTTCCCTTTTTCTTAGTGATTATAGATTGTTAATGTTGCTGATGACATTACATATTGTTTTGCAACCATGTTACAAAAGTGCTAGTCATTGAATTTATATAACCGAATTATGAAAGGTGTACCCGATTCACATAAAGGGTCCCCTGCTCCATATCCTCGAACGAAGCGATTAATCATGACGCTCAGATTGGCGATATCTAAATCTTTTCAAGCTGTGTGTTTCCAAAAGTAAACGTTCAATGAAATTTTAAATAAAAGACTTTGACATTGGACTACTCATACAGGTCTCTGCAAATGATAAACTTTTTGTTGTGATTTTGGGGGGATATGTCACGTGGTTTTCGGGGGTTTATATACAGACGCACATTCGGCAGAAAATCAGATTTCGTAACGAACTCTGATATTTTTGGGGGGTGTAGAGAAACTGGAGCCAGTACTTGAACATTTTGTTTTGTAAAATTGTCTGCACACTTCCATTTTAACAAAGGAGAGATTTTTCAAGTCATGAATTCAGGCGCCCTAGCCTGGGCGATACTATTAGGCGCCTTAGTAACACAAGTTGACGCAAGGTAGGCTTTAGTTAGAAATTAAAACCTAAAATCTCAAACTCTCTGCCTTGTATATATCTTTCTTTTAGCACTATAACAATTTAGCACGTATAAGTTGAGATGAGGCTTATAATTCGTTATATGTTATCATGTTCATAAAACGTTGCATAGAAATTATATGTCTCTTCTCAATAGGAAAATATATTCGTGTCTTCTTTGATGAAAGTTGTCTTGCGCATTTTAAATCTCTACTCAACATGAAGATACACTTTACAAGAAACTTTAGACGGTTACGCTTTTGAGATTTGTATTTTTGTATAATTTTTTCTTAATTATTAATTTTCTTAAGCCTATATTTAAATGCCAAAAATCTTTATATCTTTCGTCTTCTATCTATCACTTTTGACGTATATATGAATCCTATACTAATAAATAAGCTAAGTAACAAGATATTTTTACAGTAATATTTATTGTAGAGTGCATGCTTGTCATAAGAAAAAAAATATTTTATTGTTAGGAAACCGTTAACATAGAAAAACACATCTATGAGACTGAAAATGTGAACATCGTAGTTTGAACGTTGGAGGATATCGAATACTAAAAACAAAACAGGCAAAAATTTAAGCCAAGTCAAAAATGAAGTGGTTGAGCTTTTTCAAACATTCGTTGTACACTGCAAAGGGATAAACACAATGAATGGTCAAAAGTATTAAAGGAAAATATTGCAATAATTATAACGTTTATGTGTTAAGTGCGTTCTCTCAGAGAATGGGTCGTGCTTGATACATGTACCTGTATAGCAATTTCATGACATCGCTTGAGATTTAATGTTGGAGATATGATTCTACTGAGAATGAATCTAAAATTTTGACTAGAGACACTAAGTTTTATATAGTTCAGAGTAAAATTTTGACTAGACACTAAGTTTTATATAGTTCAGAGTTAAATTTTGACTAGACACTAAGTTTTATATAGTTCAGAGTAAAATTTTGGTTCCATGACCTTAAAGGACGCTTAAGAAATATCACCAAAAACTTCTTATCAAAAATCGAAAAGTTGAAGAAAAATCAAATAACTGCGCAAAATTCGCCTTAAAATGGAGGGATACAGAAGAAGAAACACTAAATTCAGTTTGTTTGTTTGTTTGTTTGTTTGTTTGTTTGCTTTTTTTTGTTTTTTGTTTTGTTTTTTTTAGAATATTAAATCATGACAGGTCATGTAATAGGTTTGAGGTTAGCTTTTGCCCAAACAGTTTTCTTTCAAAGATATGTAAGCATACACTCTTTATATTTAGCAGTTTCGTAATTCGTTGCCCTTGTATGCAATTTGCGATTCCATTTCTTTCAAATATTAGTTCTAAATGTTTGATAGTTCCTTGTGTGATAACATATGCATAATTACATTTCTAGAGTTAATTATAAACATAAATTAAAATGGTCCGTGTTTTACATAATTTTAATGTGACATATGAAACAATATGGTTCAGGTGACATGGATGTATTGTGTGTTATTATATTCTGAATTATTGCATTTTGCGTTAACGACGCAAAATGTTCTATAAAGCAAAATATATAAACGCAGTTTATTACATTTTGCGTCGTTATTTTAATTTGCGTTGTTGCAAAGCATGTTGCTAAATAAAGATTGCATGGATATTTATTATCCACACGTGTTAATTGTTTCAACAAATTGATTTGCTTTTGATTTGTGAAACTAGTTTTTACGGTATTCATGATCATATTTGAATATATGTAAATTCTGTAATGAGTATTATCTCATTCTCACGATATGATTTTACTCCCATATATATGGCAAAGACTTACAAATTAACTTGATTTTCCATTTTTTCCCACGAGATCATGGGTTTTTAAAGGCAAAGTTAATCTTCCTCTAACTTTATAAGAAATGATTTAATTAATTAAGTATTATCACATGACAAGAGTTGGTATTGAGCATCATCGTATTGTGTCAATAGCTTTACAATGGAGCTGGTCACAAAGTATTTATATTTTTTTACCCTCTCCCATCAGGTAACAACTTACATGCATGATGAAAGGGTGTGGGTCATGCGTGCAATTGATAATATGGTAGAAAATATGGATAAGAGCGAAAAAAAATATAGAAAAATGCATCATTATTTGATCGAAAAATTAGTAATGAAGATAACTTAATTACTAATTACGCTTAGTATGTACAGATATACATACAAAATGTATATACATCAACACAATCATCTAAATATTTTTTATGAATGATTGCATAATTAAAGATACAGAGAAAGTTGTTACTTAGTTGGAGTTCTACCCAGATAAGTTATTTGACATCGGGAGGAAAAGTTTAATATTTATAAATTATGATCTCTGGTCAGTTAATAAACTACATGTACTGTATTACATATTTGTATTTATTTTCAGGGCACATCGACAAAAAAGGCAATGTAAGTACATGTAGTAGAACCATTTTCATGATTTAAAAATAGATATAAAATATACATTATATCTTTGATTAGCACAGCCATGTCCATTTTTGTGATTATTGTGAAATAAATATAAAAAGACTCACAAGATCTAACCTTTGCTTAAAAAAAAAGTCAATCTGTAAAAATGGCGAAAAGCGTTTTCATATTACATGAAGTTTGTCATGAAGTGAATCGCCATATCAGAGTGAAAAGCTTCTGGATCGAACGTCCAAACCTTTTGAAATTAATTTAGACCACTTTTTTGTTATTCAATTAAAGATAATTAAAATTAACCTGATTATATCAGCCTTGAAGGGTCAAAGATAGGTGTAACATCATATTGGCATTTTTTCATTTCTCGATTTAAAAAAAAATTTAAAATTTTGTTGTTTTTTTTTTTTTCTTTCTGTGTACAGTTGGCGGTTTCGGTGGTGGAGATTCAAACCCATTTGGTCCCGGAAGTGAGTATATTGGATTTTCTAAACTAAAGTTTAAAATGAATGATGATGTCTCGATCTGATGAAGCCGTTTAAATTATATAATTTGTTTCATTTACTATAAATTTGAAGCAATTTTCGAATTAACCTGTATAATAATGTGTCTTTTTTTTAAACCACAAAGTATAATTAGACGATTAGATATTATTTGCGATTTTTTTAAAGTTCAAAGGTTTTGAATTTATAGGTACAATGCGTACTGGGTTTCTTATAGCTAGAAGCGTATAAAATATGTGTATATTCCGTTCAAGATGCACGGTTTGAAATAGTTTAACTTCTCAATTTAAAAAGAAAGGGGGGGGGGCTTAAAAGGCTCTAATGAAAGCAATTACTCAAAAATACAGATATAACATTGATTACATCAGAATTAATATGAAATTTAATTAAGTTTAAGAAAAGAATTGACAAATAACTTCAGAGAGAGAGAGAGAGGGAGGGAGAGAGGCAATCTAACTGAATTAGATGTCCGAAATCGCCTCTCATGCATCTTTGAGAAACGGTAGCGGATTCGGAACATCTAATTTTCATTAGACTGGAAAAGGCCTGGGGGAGCTGGTATTTTCTCGGTAGAGAACTGTTGGCTTTCGAATTACTTTGTTTCTTTTTAATGTCATCTATGATGCATAAATACATGATATTTATTTGTTTTTTAATTACCTGTATTAATTCTACGAGTCTTTAAAATTGAATCTTAACAGTATACTAACAATTTTAGCCAAAACTGCTTTAGAAAGACTATATAGGCTTACGTAAAAAAAAAAAGAGGGGGGTCATGTTTTAGAAAGGTACAAGTAGCCAGAACAATATTTGTTTTTCTTATAACCCTATCTCTAAGGTATAAGATAACACGTTTCATATCGACAGCTCTATATTTGTATACAGTTTATATATGAACATACCGTAATTTTCAATACCCTCTCCGCGCCAAATCTCCCAGGGGTTCTTGATATCAGATATAGGCTTTTGTTAACTGAAAATAAATTACCTTATAAAATAGGAAAATAGATGAATCATTATTTGTTTTAGAAGACAGGGCACAATCTTACTTCAATATCACGGCGACCTTTCGCACGAACGATGTAACACTTTGAGTTATTAATAACTCGAAAACGCGGCGAATTTTTCTGTCTCTTACATCAAGATTATTTTTCTCTCGTGTCTTCTTTAATCATATTTAAATCACCCACGATTTTTTTTTTATTTTATTATATATTGCCGGGACATAAGAATGAACTGCAGATACCCAGTATTCTAATTTCAGATGACATTGTTTAAAATTATCAAGGCCTAAAATATCTAGATAGAAACCTTTCACGTATAGCGTGATATTGTCCTTGAGATATATACCAAGTGCGGCGCACGATCTTCCTTTATTTTTTATTTTTGTTCCTTTATAAAAATTTTTGAATGATTATATTATCAATCACACATTACTTGAAAAAATATGCTACTTATAGAGACTCTTTTGAATTGATTAGCTATAACTTAATTTAAACTTGTCATATTCTTGTAGAAAGAGTGTGTGATAAGTTTTTAAAAAAAATTGTTGCACTCATAATGCGTTCAAACTAGAAAAACAATCGATTACGTATTTGTCCATATCCGAGTGTTTCATAGTACGACTCTCTGAATCCTTCACGCAGCATCCGGTTAACAAAAAGCGGGAAAGATAAAATAGTAAAATCATGTTATCTGTTTGTAGATTTGATATTACATTTTATTATTCATTATAAATCATTATACATGAAAATGCATTAGCTGTGACAAAATTTAAATTCTAAATTAGTTTTGCAACCAGAACGGTAACGTCCCTGCATCTCCTGCTCTTCGCAAACACCCTGCTTCTGCCAGGTATTGCCCACAATAAACATGCTGATTATTATGGCAAGTATGGTGCGCATCGGCATGATGCCGAATTTAAAACTTTAAAAGGTTAAAATAATAGTTCTCCTTTATAGTTAGTAAGGAGACGGTCGGTCACCTGAGACCTAAAGGTGTCAGGTGTATTCGCTGAGACAATTCCTGGTGGTAAACAATTCCATTCCTTGATGGTACGAGGGAAATAGGAGATCCTGATTGATCTTTTATCATTTTGTATATTTTAATAAATAAATCTTGTTTTTTGCAGCATCCGGTGCTTGCAAACCTTTAGCAGCTCCTACAGATGGACAAATAAACTGTGGGGATTCTACGATATTTTAGTGAGTATTGCAACATGTAGTTCTAAAAGAATATGGATGCAAACATGGTAAAGCAACTGTTTGTGATCACACAGTTGCTTCTTAAATAAAATTATGAAGGGGGTCAATTCTGGTCACCAAGATAATTGATCGGTAATAATTCAGCACAATGTGAAGCAATCATACTTATCCACACCTAAACGCACACAAAGTGGTATACATGCAGTATTGATTATCAAAACAATGGAAATGCATCTTTTGCTTAAAAGTACTCAAAAACTGCAATGTTAGAAATATCTTTGATTTGGGTTGCTTTTTTGATAGTCCATAGTACATATATGAATAGTCAGCTTTTTTTCTATATTTCTTACAAAAATCTTTTATGAGAAAAATTGCATATAACATGTATAAATACCTTTATCAAGCTATATAGCTAATTTAAGCTATATAGCTAGATCAAGAGATTGTGCTGGACCTGATAATATTTCTGTTCTGTAAATTTTTCAGCCGCTGTACAGCACAGTGTAACTCTGGGTATCAATTTGATAATGGAGACTCAACAATACAGAAAGATTGTGATCCTATGACAGGACAGTTTTTTGATGGCCCAACATTTCCAAAATGCATACGTAAGTTAAAAAAAAATATTAAACTGTTTGTTAGCATCAATTGGCGCTTTGTTAGTCCCAAAAAATTTTCTCACTAATTGTCCATGTATCCATGGTACCATTTAGCATGTTTAGGAATCATGGAACTTAAGTTATATTACAGAAGCATTTGGTTTTTAACTGTGATTTCACAGACATTTACATAGTAAAGCCTTAATTCAAATAAAATTGTAAGTTTTGATACTCTTTATAGATATTCATGCTTGCTACATTGATAAGAAATGGAATATAAGTTTAAAAAAAAATTACTCTGATGCCAAAATAAACTAACCTGTTGTAGAGTTTGTTTTAACACAACATAGTACAAATGCTGTTATATTATGGTTACTTTGACCAATAACTAAAAAAAAACAAAAAACTGGCAATTGTTAATAAACTTTAATTAAGTCTTTGCATAATCATTCATAAGTATCTGAAACTGATTCTATTTGTTTTCAACACTTACAGCCACCTGTAGCCCAGCTTGCCAGAATGGAGGGACGTGTGTTCAGCCCAACATCTGCTCATGTGCTCCTGGGTGGAGGGGAACTTTCTGTGAAAGTCGTAAGTTTCCTTAGATTAAAAAGATAAATTCAATCAACTCTTAAATAAAAATAGGTGAACATTGAGATAATTTATTGATACCATTGGTATATGTGGCAACATTCATGCTTTCATTATAAATTAAAGCTCATTGACCATCTGGAAAGAGAGATAACTCTCAGTAGTGATGGGCCAATTGTCACCGACAATCGATTGTCGGTCGTTAGGAGCTCTTCGATGCTACAAATCGATTACAAAATAAATGTCGCTGACATCGCTGACAAAAAATAATATTGTATGACTTTATTTTTATTACCAAATCCAAGTGCAGAGAGTTGTTACGGTAAGTAGTGATGAATGTTTAAAATATTGAAGGTATCCATGCCTTGTTGATATTTACCACCATGATTGATTATAGGGTCGGGCTAATAACAGAAAACGAACACTATTACGAGGTTGTACTATACATAGGAAAACATTTTTAGTACAGACGATCTGTAACGTGTAAACATAATTATAATCAGGAATACAAGTCCAATTTCTGGATAACTACTTTTAAAACATGTAATTCCAAGAAATAAATACATGTAATGCGAGGTGGGACTAATATCCGTAATATTCCCATTCAATATATTTAATGAGATTTTTGTAAAAAAAATAAAATAAATTCCCATTCAATATAGTCTAGAATTTTTTTAAAGTAAAGAAATATTATTTTCCACTTTATTAAAAGAAAAAATGATAAACAATTTTGAATATTATATTTAATTAAATGATTTTTTGTAAAAGTCTAAACTGATATCTTGATAAGTTATAACTTTTTTTATATATTTATTTCATTTGATTAAAAAATTTGATTATAATCGATTATTAATCAATACGTTCTATTTCCACTATGGAAGAGTTATACTTCTTAGTGCGCTCTTTTGTGAAAAAGTTGGAAAATGTACAAATCTCGCGGGATTTCTGGGACAAACGCAACATAAACATGTAAACAATATGTTGAATGTCGATGGACAAATCCTAAGAAAATGCAAATGAAATATTTTATTGTTGTGGACTTATATACATCAAGAGTAGGAATGACAACGATATCAGTTTATATCTATTATTGATCGTATGTATCTATTTATCGTATGGTACATCTAAATACAATAAACATGCCTCGGAAATGTCGTATTTTTTTTTTATTAATGGATGATAAATTTAGGGTTCTCGCTCTCTTACATTTGTCTTTTAGTTCTTCTATTCTTTAATTGGAATGACAAATACATTTAACATTTAAAATTGGATTGAGATTGGCATGTTTTGTATTATCCGCAACGCCATGCTGTCCCAGTCAGATGTCCAAACGTGCCTCTAATTTTGAAGAGTTCGCTAATGGAAATAGAACGTATTATGCCTAGCCGATTATTACCAATAATCGATTCTGATTTTTTTTCCGATTTCCCATCACTAACTCTCAGTTAGATGAAAGTCTATAATCATTCCTTTTTAAAATTATCAGCTGATTGAAACTGCATTTATGTCAAATTTTGCTTAAATTATATACATGTAAATGCGTTTTAATTATAAATTGAATTCCTTTAGGAAAATCATCAGCATGTAAGCAAAACTTTGAGTGAACAGAACATTGAATCTTTGAAAATTAAAAGGTCACTACATTGTTAAAATTTGTTGCTAACATTGCAGCGGATAGGAAATGTATCGAGCCTGCCAACCCAAGCAATGGACAGGTCCAGTGTCAGAGCACGGCCACCACAATGCAGTGTTCAATTTCCTGTCAGGGGGGTTATAAATTTGAGTACACCCCTCCCACAGAATATGTCTGTCGAGACGGCACATGGAGCCCAAGTCCTACTTTTCCTAAATGTATCCCAGGTAAGTGAAAATCACTACCGGTACTTACCGGTAAATTTGCATATCATTATTAACAGTATGTAATGTTAATTTCAATATTAAATATAAACCAGCAATTGTATTATATCTTATCAGTATTACTGAAGCACAAACAAATAAATTTAATTTTGGTTATGTATTTTTAAATAAATTAGTCTCATTATTTTTTTTTATAGCTGGACAATCCACAGGTAATTATCTTTGAAAGAGACATTAAAAAAAAACAAAAACAAAAAGAAATATTTTTTTAAAGAAAATTGATAATCAGTGTTTTATTTTAGAAAATTCTTTGCCCCCCTCCCCCCATGCCAGATTTTCTGTTGTATTGCAGTTAGTCCACCCACACAGCCAACACCAGCTTTTGTGCGAGATGCCATGTGCGTAGCCTGGGGACAGGATCACTACAGGACGTTTGATGGCAATGTTTTCTCGTATCAAGGCCAATGTGAATATGTGCTCGCCAAAGACTGCAGCGGAAACTCATTTCATGTTAACGTAATCAATGATCGCAGCTGTACACCAAATGCTCCCTGTCATAGGTAAAAACTTGAAAGAATGTCATGATGTTTGTTTTTTTCTTCTGTTGATTTTTTTTTTATTAAAATGATATTTTTCTTTAAGTGTGGATGATTGGATATAAAGGCTCTCTAAACATAGATAAGTTATCAGAATTTGTACAATTTGTAGAATAAAATACACTTATAGCAAACATGCTTGGAACAAAATCATGCCTACAGCAAATTAATTTTCAGTCCCTGTGGTTTTAAAACATATTGTGAACTTAATGTGTATAACGAATTGTGTTCATAATGAAGCAAAACTGTTTGCTCCTTGAACTTCTCTATAAGTATGTCTGACTGTACATTGAATATATGGTAATACTTAACTATAACCCAATCAATCAGACAAAGGAACATAAAATAAATATATTGCCAAATATGAGAATAAGGAAAGAAATATACATGTATGAATAAGGGGGGGAGGTGGGGTGGAAACATGCAAACCAGTTTGTCTGCCAAAAAACAAAAAAAAAAAAAACACCTAATAGTCTACCAAAATAATATATTTGATTAAATTAACATTTTTTTTTTCAGGAATGTAGATATTTATTTTGGCTCAACAAAAGTGCAATTTAAAGCAGAGGCTTCTGGAGAAAAAGTACTTTGGGATGGAACTGAACTTACCGTCCCTGCGAGTAAAGAACGAGCGGAAATTATAAAAGTCGGACACTACACCATTCTGACACACTCAGCTCTAGGCTTCAAGGTACTGTGTGCAGTAATTAAGGTTCATTGACCGACTGATAAGAGAGATAACTCTCACTGAAAAAAATAACTATCATTCCTTCTTACAATTGTACAGTAAAAAGGCCATTTCTGTGAAATCAGTAGCCGGGAAAGAATTTTTCACTGTATTTGTTTAGGATCATAATTGCTATTTTGATATTATGACTGTAGTTAAATGTATATGCTAACTGATAAATAATTATTCTTTATAAAGGGCTATTGTAGTGTCCAGAAGTGCTCCTCCCTGCATTCTACATAGGACTAAAACTTTATTCTATGACCCTTTGCTCTATATCCATATTTTGCATGTAGGTGCGATGGGATGGGAGAGAATCTGTCTTTGTCTCCATTAATGCCGCTCTGAAGGGTAAGATGTGTGGTCTGTGTGGACTTAATGACGGGGATAGAACAAATGACTTCAAAACCTCCTCGGGAGCCACCGTCACTAAGGCAGACACCGCCACATTCGGCAACTCGTGGAAGGAGACTGCAGCAGGAGGTGATTTGTGTTTAGCATGTTGGAAGTAGTTTACAAAATTTCTTTGAACTTTCAGCAACGCTTACAAACTTCTGATGAATTTTAAAAAATTACAATGTTAATTTAAAAAAAAAGAGTTTGCAAGTTTTTGGGAAAAAAATGGTGGGTAGGTGTCCTTATAATTTTAACTTTTTTCCCCCCAAAATACTCTTAAACAATTAAGGGAAAGGGGAATAATATCTGATTTCATTTGTAATATTCAAGAACTTGGAAGTTTTTTTCTTTACTTACTGGAATTTAAAATCCTTTTAAATTGCTCTAAAAATACATAGAATCTGTACCATTTTCTTAATTGTTTTTTATACATGTATCTAAAATGTCACTAGAATTGACTGTAATATTGACATAGCTCTGTCCAATAATGATTGTTTTTCTTTAGCTGACACCTGTCCTGACAGCACACAGAAGACATGCACATCAGCAGGCAGCACACAAGCACAGACAGTGTGTAGCCATTTAACCAGTGGCAGCTTCCAGGCCTGTAACTCAGTAAGTAAAGGCCTGTAGTTCAGTAGTATTTCCCCCCCAGATTTTTGGCAAGCTTGAATTGCAGTCAAGTTACATTTCAGAGAAGTATATGTACTGCATGTACCATGCACTATTTTCTCAATCTACAAGATCATTTTGACTTTCAATTTTGCCATCAATGTACATTTTCACTTTCTATTTTCACTTTATTAGAAGGTAGACCCCACCCCATACATAGAGGCATGTAAGCTGGACTGCTGCAGTGGTGGAGACTCTACAACATGTGGATGTAAGAATTTTGAGGCATATGCCCGTGCCTGTATGGATGCGTCACCAACACTTAGAGATCTGAACTGGAGGACAAATCAACTTTGTCGTAAGTAGTTGTATAAATTCAGTCAAACCTTGTTATCTCAAACTACATGGGACCGTGAAAATACTGATATCTGAGGATTTGAGATATCCAGTGTAAAATACTTAAGGAAGAAGCAGTTGGGACTTCCAAAGCACTTCGATATATATCCATGGTATTCGAGATACCGAAGTTCAACTGAACCTTCTTTGTTTACAGTTGTGTTGTTGGCTTTGTTATTTTTAATGGGAAAAGAATTGGATTCAATAGGAAGTCTTCTTTTCTTTTATTGATCCAGTTTATTTAAAATCAGGATATTAGGAAGTTAAGAGAGGAAATCTTAATATTAGAGGATCCATGCAAAATTTTTTTTCTTTTCCCCCATTAATGATAAGGTACATGTATCTTATTAGTAAATCCATTCCATATATCCTGGAAAAACTCCATCAATCTATGTTTATCGTAATATTTTTTCTTGCAGCTGCCCCATCCTGTCCTAACAATCTGATCCACAAGGAATGTGGTAATTGCCAACTGAAGTGTGGTGCTGGGTCTAATGTGGCAGGCTGTAAGGAGACCACATGTTTTGACGGCTGTTTCTGTCCCCCAGGGATGGTTCTGGATAAGGGTGTGTGTGTGTACCCAGAGCAGTGCCCATGTTTACACGGAGACAAGATGCTACCTGCAGGCTCTGTGGTACCCAAAGACTGCAACAAATGGTCAGTGATGATTAATTCTAGTAGCAAAGATAGTGGTTAATTCAGGTGGATTAGTATACATACCCAGAGTTCAGGCCCCAGGGTGGGGCTTAGTAGATCATATATTGAAAATTCATCATACATTGTATCTTTAAAATCTTATTTATACCTGAGCATTTAGGAGACACTGACAAGCTTCATACAATGGATAATGAGCACATAGTTCCTAACTAAATTGTTATTTTTACGTAATTTGAATCCAGAGTTCATTGTTAGGTTGGGCAGGCTTGGATATAGTGAGAAAACTTGTGTTACCCAAGTGACCTTCAAGGCCCATGGGCCTCTTTTTTCATGGATTATATTATTCAGACCAGATCAGATAAATTACACCCTTCTTTCTCTTATTCAATTTTAATTGTAACTGTATGAACCAGTAAAAAAGGTATGAATTAATTACTGGTAAGCAAATTATTAAAAAATGAATGTAATACTAGAATGTTTGATACTGGAGTTAATGACAAGATCCTTTGCAATAGTTTTATGTCTGTGTGTTTGTATTTCAGTACATGTAAATCTGGAAAATGGGAGTGCACTACTAAACGCTGTGCTGGAACCTGTGCTGCCACTGGCGATCCCCATTACCTCACATTTGACGGGGTCCGCTACAACTTCATGGGAATCTGTAGTTACTATATGGTCCAGGATAACGATTTTGATATCATTGCTAACAACATTGCTTGTGGTCACGGACATGCATCTTGTACAAAATCCATCAGCTTCAACTATAACCATCATTTCGTTACTATGGACCACAATCATGTGTTGACCATTGATGGACATGATATTACCCGGTTGCCATACAAGGAAAATGGAATTCAGATTTTCATGGTGTCATCATTGTTTATGAAGGTATGAGCCTCAAATGAATTATTCAAGTTGTTTCCTCAAAGAATTGAAGAAATAAATAATTACAAAAAGAACCAGAAGTCTCTGATGAGACTGTAGCTCTACTGGTCTGTTTGTATAACAAAAGAAAAGTAGCACTTGGATTTGAAACATTGCAACATGCAACAATAAATAGAATTATGTATCTTAATGTAGTCTACTTTTGTGACAAGTTATATTGAAATCAAATGAAAACTAGGAGTAGTAGCGTTTTGAAAGTATTTCACGGAAATTTCTATTTTTAGTAACCATGACAACACCATTCACCCAAATAAAAAAAAACAGAAATACATATTATGTATCGTAGTGTATTCTATCTGTGTGCTAAATTAGATTGAAATCAGACCAAATTTGTAGGAGGAGTAACGTTTTAAAGGAATTTCAAAGAAATTTCTATTTTAAGTAACCATGGCAACACTGTTCATCGAATTCAAAAACCAATGCAATAAATTATGTATCTTAGTATAGTCTTCTTGTATGCCTAATTATATTAGAAGCAGACTAAAACTGTAGCAGGAGTAGCGTTTTAAAGAAATTTCACAGAAATTTCTATTTTTAGTAACCATGGCAACACCGTCCATGGAAATCAAAAACCGATGCACTAAATTATGTATCTTAGTGTAGTCTACTTGTGTGCCAAGTTATATTGAAATCGGACCAAAACTGTAGGAGGAGTAGCGTTTTAAAGGAATTTCACAGAAATTTCTATTTTTAGTAACCATGGCAACACCGTCCATGGAAATCAAAAACCGATGCACTAAATTATGTATCTTAGTGTAGTCTACTTGTGTGCCAAGTTATATTGAAATCGGACCAAAACTGTAGGAGGAGTAGTGTTTTGAAAAATTGTTTACAGACAGACGGACAGACAGACAGACAGACAGACGGACGGACGACGGACACCTTACTATCGCATAAGCTCTTCTGGTCTCTGACCAGTAGAGCTAAAAATATGGACATGAACAAATTGTTAAGATTTGACCTAAAATAAAACTGCATGGATATCTGAAAGTTACAAAGGTTACCTTAAAAAATAAATGATATGACATTCACTGTATTTGAAACTGACGCAAATTATCCCCCTTCCCCTATGTAATTTAACTTTCATCCACTACTGCAGAAGTAAACAATGCCATTTAAAATTGTGAATTAAACTTGAGCATGATCTTTGAACGTTTTAATTGTCTATGTAAGGCTGTCCTTGGAAACGGAGTTGAAATTCTCTGGGATGGAAGAACAAGGGCATACATCACCATGCCAACAACCTTCTTCAACAACACCAAGGGCATGTGTGGGACTTGGGATCACAACCAGAAGAACGAGTATCTGACGCCCCACGGTGACATCGAACCGAACACCAATCTTTTCGGTAATCACTGGAAACTGCAGGCTAACTGTCGAGATGAACCAGAGAACGCAACCACAGATCCCTGTGTTGATAATGCAGTAGGAAAAGCTCAGGCTGTGAAATACTGTGCCTACCTCAAAGGAGATGTGTTCAAATGTGAGAAATTAATTTTTTTTTAAAATGAAAAATCATCGAGCATACTTTGAAATGAGATTAGTTTAAAATTCTTTTTTTCTCTTTCTTGGAAGGGGTAAGGGTTTTAAAAAAAAGATTAAAATGTTTTTACTACCATTTACTTTGAAGTTCATAATTTCAAAAATCAACTTGGAGAGTTTTAAAAGTTAATTTACAAGTCTCCTTCAAAATACTCTTTTTCTCATGCAGTAATATCTTGTTTCAATATTAATTTTTTAAGAATTTTGTTTTATATTTAATCTTTTTAGCCTGCCATGCTTTAGTGGACTATACTCCTCTATATGAGAATTGTATGTTTGATATGTGTGCATGTACTGATAATCTAAAAGACTGTCTGTGTCCAATGCTGGCACAGTACGCTGCGGACTGTGCTGCCTCGGGCGTTAACCTACATTGGAGGAACAGTATACCGGAGTGTCGTAAGTGAAAACAGTTTTGTTAAGTTAGAATATTTACAAGAATTTTCTCTGTCAAACACATACGGGGATCTATGTCCAGATTGCTACTGAATCTACTGAAACTTAGTTTTTGTCGAAAATAGCAGTATACATGTATACTGTATTTGAATAATCATCTACCCAAGTTTAAGAATTTCTAATTATAAATTATTGCATGAAATACATACATTTTATTATGTTAATCTCTACATGCTCTGCTTTTGGATCAGTGCAGCACCATATATTCTTTTCCTTTTTTGTTACAATTATAAACATGTATATTTCATTATCCCCCTTTTTTAAAAGGTTTACCATGTACGGGTGGACAGGAGTACAAAAACTGTCCAAATGAGTGCGTGCGAACTTGCCACATCATATCCAACAACCCAGTCTGCACCCAGGACCTGACCCGCTGTGCTGAGGGCTGCTCCTGTCCTGAGAACCAGACCCTGAACGACCACGGAATGTGTATCCCCATCAGCCAGTGTCCTTGTGAGTTTGGCAGCAAGCAGTTTGCACCAGGAGTGCAAACCAAAATGGAAAACCAAATTTGGTAAATAGCATTTTTTCCAAATTCATTAAAACTCTGTATTCATGTTGGTGTGATCAGCCAAGGATGCAATAAACTAGAAGCAAACTAAATAGATAAAGCTTTTTGCTCTGATTGAATTTCTTTCTAAAATTTCTAAATGGAAAATAAACTTATGTATTTCAGTACCTGTGAAAATGCCCTCTGGAACTGCACCCCGATCACCAACACAACCAAAGTAGAGATCCCAAATATTTGTAAGGAGACGGAAATCTACACCAACTGTACCTCCCTCTGTCCTCTCACGTGTGAGAACATTGGAGCACCACCCACCTGCCTGCCCCCTGCTGCTGATGACTGCACCCCGGGGTGTATATGTAAGGATGGATATGTATGGGATGGTAATGATTGTGTACCACGACTGGAGTGTCCCTGTTATCATGGGGGGAAGCCGTATAAGGAGGGGGAAAAATACTACCAGGAATGTAATGAATGGTAAGTGTTATCATTGGGGAAAGCTGTATAAAGAGGGGGAAAAGTACTACCTGGAATGTAACGAATGGTAAGTGTTATCAAGGGGGGGGGGGATCTGTATAAAGAAGAGGGAAAAATACTACCAGGAGTGTAACGAGTGGTAAGTGTTATCACGGGGGGAAGCCGTATAAAGAGGGAGGGAATACTACCAGGAATGTAACAAATGGTAAGTGTTATCAAGGGGGGGGGGGGATCTGTATAAAGAAGAGGGAAAAATACTACCAGGAGTGTAACGAGTGGTAAGTGTTATCATGGGGGGAAGCCGTATAAGTAGGGGGAAAAATACTACCAGGAGTGTAACGAGTGGTAAGTTTTATCATGGGGGGGAAGCCGTATAAGTAGGGGGAAAAATACTACCAGGAGTGTAATGAGTGGTAAGTGTTATCATGGGGGGAAGCCGTATAAGTAGGGGGAAAAATACTACCAGAAGTGTAACGAGTGGTAAGTGTTATCATGGGTGGAAGCCGTATAAGTAGGGGGAAAAATACTACCAGGAGTGTAACGAGTGGTAAGTGTTATCATGGGGGAAGCCCTATAAGTAGGGGGAAAAATACTACCAGGAGTGTAACGAATGGTAAGTGTTATCATGGGGGGTGGGCAGCCGTATAAAGAGGGGGAAAAGTACTACCAGGATGTAATGAGTGGTAAGAGTGAGAATGGAGTGAATGGGAAATAACTTATTTTTACCTTCAGAATTCTTATACACATTCAATGTTCATTCAGGTCATTCATATACCCTAGTTGGGGTGCTTGTCTTAAATTAGAACTTAGCAATATTTCTGCATTAAATTTTTGTTGGATTTGTTGAATCAAGTTAACAATTGCGCAATGAATTTAAGTGAGTGTTGTGGATATCATGGCTGTTTAAAAATGGATAAAATAATATTTTTTGTTTCTCTTTTTAATACTGTATATACTCGCCTATAAGTAGGTTTTTTGGGAGTTAAATTTTGTTCCAAAAGTCTATGTCCGACTTATAGGCAAGTCATGAAAAGATTAATATTTTTTTGGATGGCGAAATGTAGTATTTTATAAGCATTTTCCATGATTATCGTTGAACAAAGTCTGGATATATTATATCATTTATGTTTTCTAAGATTGTCCTTAAAGTACAAGTATTTACAAATTTTAATATCTTTTTTTATCTTAAGTGTGCATAATGTATTTTTCTTAATGATTTAAAATTAAATGTTGGTGTCATTTCTAAAAATATTAATCATACCAAGTTAAAACATTAGAGCATTGATTTGAAATTGTCAACTGATTTTGGCAAAAAGTTGTACCGACTTATAAGCGGGTCAATGGCAAATCCCTCCAAAATAACCTCAAAAAATACAACCAACTTATAGGCAGACCGACTTATAGGCGAGTATATATGGTACGTTGAGGTAGAAAATTCTTACACATTGTATACTGTGTACATGAACATTTAACAATGCATTTGGAAAAGTGTTTCTTGATCATGCAGGCTTATTAATTAAAGCTAAATTATATTTTATTTATGAATTACAGCACTTGCAATGGTCAGAACTGGGTGTGCACACACAAGGAATGCCCAGCTGTGTGTAGTGCCTTCGGTGATAGTCATTATACAACATTTGACGGCAAGCATTATGAGTTCCAGGGAACCTGTAGTTATGTGTTGGCCCAGTCCACCACTGATAACCCCAACAAATTTGTGATCTCCACAGAAAACATGCCTTGTGGAAGTACCGGGGTAGCTTGCACCAAATCCATCCACTTCACCATTGGGGAACCAGGTAAAAATCTTAAATTATTAGTGTTTCTAAAAGTGAAAATCATCTTGGCCTCAGATTTGTGTGTTCTCAAAAGACAAAAACTGCTTAGAGGTGAATGTTTCTTGTAGAGGAAACTTTTCTGAAGGTGTATGAAACATGTTTTGACTGAAATGTTTTAATTTCAGAATCTGTAATTTTTCTGTGGAAGTACAATGAAGTCTCTAGTGTTGTTAAACTGCATTTATTGTAAATTAAGACATAAACTTTGAATACTGTTAAATGTATCAATTACATGTTATTATTTTTTTATTTTTGAACATTGTTGATTAAATAAATTTATTGGCTATTTATAATGATATGGCCTCTATTTCTTTTGCCACTCAAAGCAAAATTATTTAGATAAAGAAAAAAAAAAACTCACACGGTTTGAGAAATTTGAGCATACCTGTTATGTCAAGACAGCAAATATTTTCCACAAAATTTTTAATGCCCCAGTTAAAACTAGAATATTTTAAAGAGACAATTTTCTTCTTAATAAGGGACTGCTAGTTACTTCCAACTGACCTTGATTCGAGGAAAGTCCCCCCAAGTAGATGCCAATACCCCATTCTCTATCCAGGACACGGGGAGCTTCTTTGTCATCAAAACTCCCACAGGAATCACCCTCACCTGGGACAAGGGAACCCGTGTGTACCTCAAACTGGGCACCCAGCATAGAGGGAAGGTGAGTAGATTTTTGTTGTAGAAAAAAAAAGCCTTCAGCTAAGGTAAATATTTCTGAAATATTTCCTCTTGAAACTCCTAGTCCTAGGTACAAAAAATAAAATCTTTCTTTCTGTATTAAAGAAGTCTTTGGGAATGGAGGATTTGTATTAGGATTTAAAAACTTTATTTAAAAAAAAACACAACAACAAAAAATGAACAAATTCTTTGACTCTAAATTAGATATCAGACCTTGGTTAGTGCTTTGATACTGGTAATAATACAGAGACAGGATTAGTCTAAGAAGAAAAATAAAGTCTCTTAATTTTAAGACTTTTGTGTGTAGAAGTTTTTTTTATTGTTTCTTGTTCATAGGTGGAAGGACTCTGTGGTAATTTCGATGGTGACCAAGGAAACGACTTCACAACCCCACAGGGTGGTCCCCCAGCAGTACAGGTCACGACCTTTGCTGACAGCTGGCAGGTGAACCCGGACCTCTGTGTGCCCTCTAAGACTGTGACAGATACTTGTAAACAGAATCCAGAGAGAGAACAATGGGCCAAGAGTAAATGTAGCATCATTAGCAGTTCTATTTTCCAGCCCTGCCACAGCTTGATGCCAGACTACCTGGCCTATCAGTCTAGGTAAGTTAAATCTGTCGAGATGTGACAGATCCTGATGCCTATTTAGTAGGGATGTCAAAATATTTATTTTTCTTAGTCGATTATTCGATTGCATTATTCGAACGATAGTCGAATATTTGAAACATTTTCTGAAAATAAAATTTTATTTCAAACTTCACTGGTACATGACGTATTTATAACTCAAAAACCCTTAATCTGTTTAAGAAGTAACATAAAAATCAATGCAGCGTGTAACGTTGGATAGCAAGATTATATGAAATAAATTTAGAAATCTAATATTCCTAAATTCATGATTTCATGACCCATCAATCGAATTCATAAATTGGTCTGTACATGCAGTTAGTTTTTATTTTAGTTAGCATTCAAAATTTGCTAGTCGATATTTTTTAAAGCTTATTGTGAAATAAATTAGGGGGGGGGGGGGAATCTCACACTATCCAAACGCCGGGTGGCTGTTAAATTGTTAAGCAGTTAGTTACTGTTTATTCATTTATTGATTGTTCTGGCCATCAAAATGTCCTTAATTATGAACAATTTAAAATGCAAGCGAATTGTTCTAATAATTATCGAATCGTCAAAAACATGTCACATGTTCCTCGCATTTGAGCAATCTTAAAATAAAAGATAATTGGTACATCGTATAAAATCAAGTCCAATTAATTATTTTACAAAGAAAGCAAGATATATATTGATGGTTGATTTATTACAAAAACAACACAAGCAGTAACTGGTAGATAATTAATTCTCGCGGTAGTGAAGCATTTATAATTACTGTACTTTCTATATATGCACATGGAAAATCAAGTTTTTTTTTGTAGAGGAAAATTACCTTATCAACTGTCTCCGAGGAAAGACGGTTTCTCAATTTTGAAATGAGAATTGCATATCGTTATCACTCTTTTATTGCATTTTTTAAAAATTATAATATTCGAATGTCGTTTCACTATTCGATCGTCGGTCCATTCGACTGACAGTCGAATAGTCGACTATTCGTTGACATCCCTACTATTTAGACAAGTGCATTGAAGATGCATGAATGTCCATGAATACTTTAGAAATACAACCAATGCCGCTTAAATGTTTTCTTTGCTCCAATCAATTCATTATTTAAGCAAGTACATAAATATTTTTCATTTCTATTCAAGTACACCGTACATGCATGTTGATTGTATATATATATCATTTCCAGTATGCAATGCCATGATGATACTTTTTGGGTGAGTTTTTCCTAATTTCAAGTCAGTAACAGTTTATTATATTATGTAACTATTTATGTTATAGGTGTATTTTTGATGCCTGTGCCTGTGACTCCGGAGGAGACTGTGAGTGCTTGTGTACTGCTATTGCGGCTTTCGCACATGAGTGTGCTGTCCAGGGCGTTCCCATCAAGTGGAGGAATCCCGCCCTCTGTCGTGAGTTGACGTACTATATATAGTACTAGTACTTGCTATTAGAGGTGAATAAATACATTGTCCTTATTTTATTTGTTAACTTTATAAAAAAAGAACTTGATAGATTAGGAAAAAATTAGAATCTGAAAAGATACATTACACAGAATTTCCTTTTGATGCTTGTTAGATATATTCAATTATATTGCTAAAGACAAAGAAAGACATAGATTTTTTGTTCCCATATGAAATCATTATGAGTAACCCAGTTTCTTTCAAGTATTTGACAAGAAAGAGCAGGTCTAAGTCTTCATTTTTTTTTTCAATTTGGACATAAATACATGTATTATGGTACACAATATAAAACAAGGAGGTTGGGGTGGATGACCTAAACTATGTACAAAAGAGGAAAAATTTACTTCTCAGTATTCAGAATGAACAAAATAACCCATGTACATTGTACCATATTTGTTTTTTTAGCTATCCAATGTGAGGAATGTGAAACATACAACCCTTGTATTTCTTCCTGTCCCAAAAAGACATGTAAAAACCACCTGACCTATGATCAGATTACTAAGGACCTGGGTTGTAAGGAAGACACCTGCATTGAGGGGTGTGACACCAAACCCTGTGCCCCAGGGATGGTGTATGACCGGGACTCTGCCCCTATGAAGTGTATCCCCGAGCCATTCTGTAACACCCCAGCTTGTACCGTCAATGGTAGACAGTACCGACTTTATGAACAGATCAAGGACCCTGCTGTGTGCAGGCAGGATTGTGAAGTCTGGTAGGTGCATACTTAGCTTGCTGAAGCTATCTTTAGCCCTGTTGTCTAATAGGAGAGAATTTGTAATGTCACATTTCAGTAACAATGAACAAAGAGTTGAATCGAAAAGTATTTGAATTATAGCAGCTCTAATGCTGAGATCTGTGCTGAAGATTTTTGGAATTTCATGTCATAAACAACCAGTAAAATCTGTCACTCTAAAACAACATGAAACATTTTTTCTTTTTTTAAAAAAGCAGAAAAATATGAACAAATATCACAAAATTAATTTTGAGCAAATGTAGATGTGTCATTTTTATTTCTAGATATTTCACTGCTGATGAAAAATTTTGTTACTAATAATTATATGGCATTCTTCACTTCTTAACAGTACCTGTGGCCCTGATGGTAATGTAATGAGAAACAGTGTTTGCCAGAGTACAACTGCACCAGTGACCCGATTTCCACCAGTGACCTACCCAACCACTACCACTGTGGCCCCAAATGCATATAGTCAAGGTAGTACTTATGTCTCAAATTTTTCCACCTCCTGCTACATGTAATAGCAGGCATTTTGTTACATTTATTACTACAATCATGATAAGATTTCCTCGTTCTGCATGTTTAGTTGATCTGTTGTTAGCCTTTCTTGACCTAATTGTTATTGTTCTGTGTCATCCCTGATAAATTCTTAATTTAGTCCACTCCAGATCCAACTGGCCAATTACGAACAAAACTTGCCTCAAAGTATCAGTGTATAATTGTATTTGCTTATTCAAATTAAGTACCATATACTTAATCTTAGAGGGAGATAGTTAAGAAATAGAGAAAATAGGCTGGTCATTTGAAGTTTTCTCAAGAAAGAGAAATTAAAGATTTCCCTGATACATTGTACATGTATTTCAGAAAATTCCAATTTTTTTCTACATATTGAGACTGCCTTATTTTTATTAAAGTCGTAAGTAAAATATTAGCAGGGCTTAATTGACTCTTTTTGGGACCATTCCTGTACAATTTCTATTGGTAATTTTAATTGAAAATGTGGCAAAAATTGGAAATATTTATGACATACATGTATAATTTTTATGTACTATAGAATAAAGTCAGATTGTAGGCTTATCCTCTATTTACATCTTTATTAACCATTATAAATTCAAAACTTAAGATTTTTTATGAAAAACATTGAAAAAATTCAAATTGCATATCATTTTGGAATGTTTACAATGTATCTTATTTTGGGGGAAAAAAACTCAATTTTCATTAAGACAGGGTCCTTTTACTGGACCTACATCGCAATTGATATAAAGCCCTGATTGATGTCTTTTTTTTTTCATGTTAGCAAATTTTTTCAATTTTCATCCATTTCCCCTAGGCATTCCAACATTTTCGAAACATGCTGGACATGACGGATATACACCTCATCTCAAAAAGTCTCACTGTGAGGATGGCTGGACAAAGTGGATGAGTTTTCACACCCCGACTGGATCCAGCCCAGATGATTTAGAGATCAATGAGAAACTGAGAATACAGTACTCATACTGTGCTGACAGTCAACAGAGAGCTATTGAGTGCCGAGTGATTGGGACAGGGCAGGCTGCTCACCAATCTGGACAGAAGGTGACATGTGACCTCGGAAAAGGCCTACATTGTAGGGCCCAAAATAGCACAGAAGTCTGCAATGATTATGAGATTCGATTTATGTGTGACTGTAGTAAGTACCTTGAAGTCTTTGAGATATTATGTTGTCAGGAATTTTTTTTATAATGTAATATTTTTTATTTTATTGTACATGAAAATTTGGAGCATCATGTGGATCAGGATGGGTTAACCGGTTTTCATACATGTATAAGATATCTATCCTCAAGTTTCACTAAAGACCCATGCTTGTGAAAAACATTCATTGCAAACAATACTTAGTTTTTGTTTTCTTTAAACCAGACTTTTTTTTAACTATGGGATTTTTTTCAGTTATTTGTCAATTTCAGTTTAGTTTTTGTTTTGTTTTGTTTTTTGTTTTGTTTTTTTGTTTTTCTTGTGCTGAAAATTTTAATCTAAATGTCAGGAAGTGATCCACCTCTTGTTATTTTTAGGCTTATCCACCCATGCACCCACCTCCCCCACCACTCCAAAGTCCACCACAGAATTTTTCACTGGAAAAATCCCTGTCACTGATGACTTTGGTAATCCTGTTTTACGGCCACTGACTGACCAGTTCCACAAACCAGTCACTGATGATTTTGGAGAGACGGTTTCTTTGGTTCCGGCATATATCACCCAGGCCAGACCAACTCCTTCACCACCAACTGATGAATTTGGAAGACCTTTTGTTATGTATCCGAAGACAGACGAATTCAAGAATCCAATCTTGGTTCCAAAAACAGATATTTACGGCAATCCAGTTACAGATGCCTCTGGCCACACCACAATGATACCAGAGTACGTGACACAGGATATCCCCACAGCAGCGCCACCTACTGACAGGTTTGGAAATCCAATTCTGTCACCTAAAACTGACGAATTTGGAATTCCCCTAAAGAAGCCCACTGTCACTGATGCATTTGGTCAACCCACTGTTTCAAACAACACCCTGACTCCTCAGCCATACAAATGTGTGCAGGGCTGGTCACCGTGGATGAATGTGGATACTCCAAAAGGTGAAGGAGCCTCCAGTGAGATTTATGGTGCTGGAGATATTGAGAGCTTGTCTGCACTCAGGCAGAAATACAGCTTCTGTGCTCACCCTACCTCCATCAAATGTCAGTCTGTTCTTGACAAAGTGCCGTACACTGTGGCTGGTGACGTGGATGTGGTGTGTGATGTTACTAAGGGATTGTTGTGTGTGAACAGGAAACAGGCTAGTGGGCTCTGTGAGGATTACGAGGTTTCTGTCTACTGTGACTGTGGAGGTATGAGGGAATTATAATATGGTCTTTGTGTAAAGAAAGCATACCATACATACATGTATAGTGACATAATGAAAAGTTGGCACACTGTTTTAAGGCAACAAGAGAGAGAAAAAATGATGATGATGAACTGTTGGATATACCTGTAGATAAGCCCTTTAAACATAGGCTAAATAGATATTATAGTGGTGGATGAACATAGTGGATACTTGATGTGAATTATTTTCATGATTTGACAAATTTTCAGTTTTTATTGTTTTTGTTTTTTAGAAACAACACCAAATCCACCCATGGGATCCACACCAGCACCCAGACCAGGTGAACCCCACCCCCCTGTTCCCTCATGTGAATGGTCACAATGGATGAACAGCCACAAGAGGGCACCAGGAGACATTGACGAACGTGAGACTCTGAGCCAGTTACGTCTTCACTATGATTTCTGTGAATTTCCATCAAAGATAGAATGCCGCGATGCCCAGACAGGACAGATGTTTGACAAAACAGGAGACCTAGGGGTGACATGTGACATCAACCGGGGTCTCGTTTGCGAGGATCTATACCAGAATTCTGCTGAGGGCTGTCGGGATTACGAGGTCAGGGTGTACTGTACAGACGCGTGCCAGTCAACAATTAAACCCACTGTCTCATCTCTCTGTGGGGAAGGTTGGACAGACTGGATAAACAATGTACATCCATCAGCAGCTTCCCCTCTTGATGTGGAAGTACCGAGAAGCATCCCAGGATTCCCAGCCACCTGTAATGAGGTCATTGCAGTTCGCTGCTCGGTCGCTGCCACAGGATTGGATTACAAGAGTAAAGGAGAGAATGTTATGTGTACAACTACTGGACTTAAGTGCACTCCAAAGCCAGGGGACACTTGTGAGGATTACCAAGTGCAGTTCTATTGTGCTTGTAAGTGTTGTATTATTATATATCTCAATCTGTCAAACACGTAGATTAGTACTTAACTATGTGTTTTATATGCTGCCTCACTAATTTTTCTTGAATTTTTTGCATCATGAGGCCACATAAATTTGATTTTTAGGTAACTATCATCCTTATATGAAAAGTTATTAAATTTTATTATCATCCTATTTTCAACCAATATTAAGAAAAAAAAAAAACTACATGGCTGGACTCTTTGAGAGCAGCAGGCAAAGAGATGAGAAATCAATTAAAAAAAAAATAATTTTATGTGGCCTTATTTTATGTTGAGAAATTCAAAAATTCTCTCACAATGTTTTCTTATCTATAGGTGCCCAACCTCCTGTTCCACAAACAGATATTTTTGGAAATCCAATACTCATTCCTAAGACCGATGCCTTTGGCTTCCCAGTCTTGCGCCCCAAGACTGATGCTTTTGGACAACCTGTTACTGATAAAGATGGCCACACTTTCATGGTTCCAGTTCCAGACAATACAACTCAACCAACTCCAAAACCAGAAACTGATGCCTTCCATAATCCAATAATGGTCCCAAAAACTGATGTGTATGGGCATCCAGTCACTGACAAGAATGGAAATCCAGTCCTGGTTCCAAAACCAGACAACCAGGCCATTCCAAGCACAGCTTCACCAGTCTCTGGTTCCCCGGAACCAGGAAAGATTGTGTGTAACCCAGGCTGGACCTATCCTATGAATGTGGACTCCCCCAGTACGGGAGATGGGGACCTGGAAACTCTGGCCAAACTCCGAAGCAAATTTTCGTTCTGTCATGAAGATGATATTGTGGCTGTCAGTTGCAAAGAGGTAGGAAAGAGAAAACTTTAAGTCAGGGCTTTGTTGTAATATTATTTCGAAAACCAGATTTTTTAAATTCTTTCATATTAATAGACAAATATGTAGGACACAAAACAAATTAGAACAGCTGGAATCTAACATTAAAGAATTCAAATACCGCAAAATGATTTCTTATTGATATTACATTGTAAATCATTATTTTTTGCAGTTATTAAGTGGCCGGTCCCCTGCCGATCTTGGACAGAAGGTCACTTGTGATAAGAATGGTCTGACTTGTCTGAATGCTGATCAACCCAGCGGCAAATGTCATGACTATCTGATACAGTTCTACTGCAACTGCAAGCCCACCCCAGGTAAACTGTTAAGAAAACCCTGACCTGGTCTTATTATAGTATGTTTATGAATTTTCATACTGGAAAAACATGCATATTTGGCAGAGCCTTATTTTCATACAGATTTTGCAGAGCCTTATTTTCATACAGACAAGTGCATTATATATTTTTTTTCAAGTGACATGTTCATATTAACATGAAAAACAATTTGTAATTAGAGTTACTCCTCTATAGTTGTGATGAGGACTTTTATGAAGCTCTGTGTTAATAAAATTCCTACAAACAAACTATGATTGACATTGCATTTATTAATAACTTGTAGAAATTTTTTTTTGGGGGGGGGGGGTATACAATGTCATGCAGGGAAGTTTCATAATAAAAATGACTATACAAAGTTGATTTATATTGTAGATGTAAACATGACGGTATCCCCAAGTCCCACACAGCCCGGCCCAACCACACCCCCACTTAAACACGGCCAAGACAGTAAGTGTCTGAACAAGTGAATTAGATAGCCTGAGCTTAAATTGGTTTTATTCATGCAATTTCATGAGACATCACATTTAATATGTTGTCTTATAAATAACTGTAAATTGATTGGATGATTCTGCTCTGATTTTATAATCAAATGATCAGTCATTAAACTGTTAATGTAAACCCACTGTTCAAAATTCTGAAGAAAATTTTGTGCATCCATTGACATTGATATTGTTCTGTGTACACAGACTGTGACCATGAGGTGGGCGTGGTAGAATTCACCCCCGACCAGTTCCTGGCCTCCTCTTCCTTGGATGTGGACCACGACGCCGACAAAGCACGACTTCGTAAATCCACAGCTTGGGTGGCAAGGTAGATTGAAATTCTTAAGATCTGTTTTCACAGATGTCATTTAGCTATCATCTCTTTGGTATTTCTTCAGAATGGAGCACACTGTATTACATTTAAATTCTCTGTGTCTTGGAAAACTAATTACGTATTATCCACTTTAATAGCTGTAATAGATTATATTGCAACTATTTTTATAAATGATGAATTTTCTCTTATTGAAAGAAGTAATCAGTACCAGTTTTATTTGACTGTATCAAAATACAAGAAGATAATAGCACTGTTAATCACCAAATATGGTGTTTGCATTCTCTTATGATAGGAAGTTCATCCTATCACAGGATCGACATTCTAATTTTGTAGCATTTTACAGTAAATTCTTTTGTATTATGTATGGACTCTGTAAAGTGATTTGCATCATGTTCATAAATCTAATAAATTGTTTGATGCAAATTGCTTAATTAAGTCAAGGTCTGGAAATTAATAATTTTAAGTAATTTAGAAGTTTTTTTCTCCTACCAATAATGTACACAAGTTTTAATTTCACCTCAGGTACAATGATGAACATGAATTCATCCAAGTCAACTTCCACATGCCTACAGCAATGACAGGTGTTCGTATCCAAGGAGACCCAAAATCCCAGTCCTGGGTCACAAAGTTCACTGTTAAATTTAGTAACGATGGTCAGAAATGGACTCCTTATTACCAGAGTTTCGCAGTGGCACCTAAGGTGTTCCAAGGAAGCAAGGATAGTGACACTGTTGCTTCTGCATTTTTCGATCGGGAAGTCACAGCTCGATACTTGCGCATTGTTCCCCAAGAATGGCACAACCGAATAGCGATGCGATTTGAAGTCCTAGAATGTCCCAAAACTACTGGTGAGTGCCTGGTGCTAAAGGAGTATAAAGAAATACACATTTTTTTTGCTGAAATTGGGGGAAATGATAATTATTTAAAATCGTGAAAATTTTGTCCTTCTGTTCTGTGATTTTTTTTCTAGTTTAAATGCATGGGTTTTCATACATTGAGTGAAAATAAATGCATGGGTTTTCATACATTGAGTGAAAAAATAAATATGTTTACATTTAATGCCAAGGAAACTTATACTAGTCAAAGCTCGACATTAACGCTTGTCCGCTTGTCCGGTACCAGTGAAAAAAAAATACGGACAAGTAAATATTGCTTGGCACTTGTCCGATTGGACAAGTGCATTTTAATGTAAAGAAGTCTTCAAATAATAAAAAGAACGACTATTGAAAGTTCATCGGTAAAGACGGAAGAAGTACATTAAAAACGAACTTTGATCCCGATATGAATTGCTCTGTAATCGAGTTCACACTCGATCGGGATTGAAGTTCACTAATTGCATAATACTGCAAAGGCATGAAAATTACGTCGAGTTACGAAGTTTAGATTCTGTTTGATGTTGACATTTTCATTTGTGAACATTTATGTTGTTGTTAGGATAGAAAGTCTGGATAAAATTTGTTTTTATGTGTTTTTTGTATTTATAGATAACATCACTAATCAATCACATGTAATGGACTTTAATTTAGTTTTTAAGTTAACAGTACTGTATCTTTGTACTGAACAATGCTCGGACAAGTGAAGTTGAAGTTCGGACAAGTAAATGTCTTGGTCACTTGTCCGAATGGACAAGTAGGGAAAAAAGTTATTGTCGAGCCCTGCTAGTGTTTAAAATTAATCTCAAACGGAAATATTAAAATCATTTTCTAATGGATTATAGTTTTAATTAGATGGAATGTCAAAGTGACACAACAAAGTTGCACAACCTAATACATGTTGCCACCTTCAATTTGTTTTGTAACATTACAGAAACACCATCTGTGTCCACTATGACCCCTTCAACAACACCAAAACGTGAGTGTTGATGAAAGTATTTTTTCACAGTTGTGTACAGATTTGCCTTTACAAATTTTACATTCTGTTGATGATAAATTTTACCTTTTTTTTCAGGGGAGTGCTTGGACCCAATGGGAATTGAGAACAGTGCTAAGATCTCAGATAGTCAGCTGATTGCCTCATCCTCAAGGGATTCCCTCTCTGGAGCCACTTCTGGTCGTCTCTTTAATGACCTTGGGGCCTGGGTCCCACAGTAAGTAAAGAATTTTAAAAGACTGTCCGGATTAGACAAGTTTTATTGTAATTATCAGCATGCTTTTCATTCCTTTGATGCATTGATTTTTAGGGATGGTGGTCAGAAGAACTGGATACAGGTTGATTTTGGTTCCCCCCGGAATATCTCTGGAATCCTCACCCAGGGAAGCCCAGGGGAGGAAAGATGGGTCACAAATTTCGCAGTATCTTACAGTACCGATGGACTTGACTTTTCTCTGGTCAATGGACCAGATGGCAAGGCAACCATGTTTAATGGAAATGTGGACCAGAACTCAGTGGTGAAGAACATGTTTGCATCACAGATCTACGCTCGGTTTATACGGATCGTTGTCATAGAATCCAGTCCAGCTGGAGCTGGGCTGAGGTTTAATTTACTGGGCTGCTCCCCCGAGTCCTCAAAGACAACCACAGGGGCACCAAAGATCTCTACAGTCACTCCCAAACCTGTGTCAACCATTGAACCAAGTACGTTAATGGGGGAACTTAAGTGTATGTTTGCGAAGTGTCTGCTTAATATTTATCCTTTTTTATCTGAAGTATTTAAATTTAATAGCTATTAAAGTAAAAAAAAAAATAATGATCAAAAAACATTTTTCAAAATCAAATGTTCTTCTCTAAATAGACCAAGTATTTAGAATCTATTTAGTGTTTATTTCTGCTTGCACATATCAGTGAAATTAGTTCCTTTGTTTTACTAATGGCTAATATTTTACAGTCTGTAGTCAGTCCATGGGAATCGAGGAGGCCACAAGGATCCCAGACAGACTTCTGACAGCATCATCAGAGAAAAATGCAACATATGCTGCTACACAAGGTCGCATCAATACTGACCATCTCTCCTGGAGACCACTGTGAGTATTTATCTTTTGGTCAACGTTAAAACTGTCATTAATATTGTTTGGGCATTGATTAGCAATGAAAATTGATTTGGCTTCAATCTTAATATTTAGGAATATTATTTAAGCTATGTGATTCCAGTACTCATTTATACCATGTCTAGAAGTCGTTTTATTTTTGTACATGTAGGTCTACAGATCAAACACCATACATTCAAGTAGACTTCTTGGAACCCAAACTTATTACTGGCGTAATAACTCGAGGAGATGGAATTACCAATAACTGGGTCAAAACCTTTACAGTGTCAACAAGTATTGATGGAACCAACTTTTCTCCGTACAGTGATGGAGGAATTCCAGAGCCTAAAATGTTCACTGGCAACAATGACAAAATCACGGCCGTCACAAACTTCTTCAACAGACAAGTTCTTGCCCAGTATGTGCGTATCTATCCTAAGTCAGTGAATGGAGAGGTTTCCTTACAGTTCAGTGTCCTGGGTTGTAATCCTGCTCAGAATCCAGGACCCACAACTCCATCCCCCATTGTTCCAGAAACAGACGAGTTTGGTAATCCTATTCTGATCCCAAGGACCGATGAGTATGGACGTCCAATGACAGACTTTTACGGCAATACTATCATGGTTCCTAAACCTTACACCCAAGGCAAACCAACTCCTTCACCAGCAACAGATGAACAGGGCCGCCCTATCATGGTGCCCAAAACTGATTCTTATGGAAAACCAATAACTGATGAACAAGGACACACAGTGATGGTTCCACTACCTTATGACCAGGCCACTCCCAAAGCTATCCCAAAAACAGATGCTCAAGGAAATCCCATCTTGGTTCCCAAGACAGATTCCTATGGAGTACCCATGACTGATGAAAATGGGCATACTATCATGGTGCCTTTGACTGAACCTGCAGAGAAACCCACTGTGGTGCCTGTAACTGATGCTCAAGGCCGGCCCATACTGGTACCCAAGACTGATTCTTATGGAAAACCCATGACGGATGAGCATGGTAGCACTATCATGGTGCCTATACCATATACACATGGACCTCCAACACCATCACCACAAACAGATGAGTTTGGAAACCCAATTCTGGTACCAAAGACTGACTCCTATGGAAAGCCAATGACAGATGAGCATGGTAATACAATCATGGTGCCACTTCCTGCTTCTACAGCAAAACCCACTCCAGAACCAGTGACTGATAAGCAGGGAAACCCTGTGTTAGTACCCAGAACAGACACTTATGGAAGACCTGTTACAGATGCTCAGGGGCACACCTCAATGGTACCTCTCTATGTCACGCAGAAAACACCTGTTCCTGTGCCAAAGACAGATGATTTTGGTAATCCCATCATGATCCCAAAAACAGACACCTATGGAAAGCCTATGACAGATGACTTTGGGGAGACCATCATGGTGCCTGATTACTACACCCAAGGTTTACCTACACCACGACCCCAGACAGATGAATTTGGAATGCCAATCCTTGTGCCAAAGACTGACACCTATGGAAAACCAATGACAGATGATTTCGGTAATACTATCATGGTTCCTCTGCCTGAGGCTACAGAGAAGCCAACTCCCTCACCAAGAACTGATAAGTTTGGAAATCCAATACTGGTTCCCAAAACAGATGAGTATGGAAGACCATTCACAGACAAACAGGGACACACAGTGATGATCCCTCTAACTTATCCCCAGAGTACACCAATACCAAACCCAGTCACTGATAGATTTGGAATACCAGTGTTAGTGCCAAGGACTGATGAATATGGAAAACCATACACTGATAGGTTTGGGCACACAGAAATGGTACCCATACCTTATTCACAAGGTCAGCCTACTCCCAAACCTAAAACTGATGCTTTTGGAAACCCCATCCTGGTGCCAAGGACAGATGAATATGGAAAACCATACACAGATGAACACGGAAATACTGAAATGGTTCCAGTGCCAGAAAACCAGAATACACCAACTCCTGTGCCTCTGACTGATGAGCAGGGAAATCCAATTCTTGTTCCAAAGACAGACTCTTATGGAAAGCCAATGACAGATGAACATGGTAACACCATTATGGTACCCAAACCAGCCCCAACTGGAACTCCCACTCCAGTTCCACAAACAGATGAACATGGAAACCCAATCCTGGTGCCCAAGACTGATTCCTATGGCAAACCCATGACAGATGAACATGGTAATACCATCATGGTGCCATTGCCTGCCACACAAGGGGTGCCCACAGCTGAACCCTTGACTGATAAATTTGGAAATCCTGTCCTGAGACCAAAGACAGATTCCTATGGCAAACCAATGACGGATGAACATGGTAATACAATTATGGTACCAGTTCCTGCCAATCATGGAAGTCCTACACCAGCACCCCAGACTGATGCACAGGGCCGTCCTATTTTGGTTCCAAAGACTGACTCCTATGGCAAACCTATGACAGATGAGCATGGAAATACTATCATGGTGCCATTGCCTGCAACACAAGGACAGCCCACTCCTGTACCAGAAACTGATAAATTTGGTAATCCTATTCTGGTGCCAAAGACTGATTCTTATGGCCAGCCCATGACAGATGAACATGGTAATACCATAATGGTACCTAAACCAGCAACACATGCTACACCAACCCCAGTACCAGCCACTGATGAACATGGTAATCCAATCTTGGTCCCAAGAACTGATTCTTATGGCAAACCAATGACAGATGCAGAAGGAAGTACAATTTTGGTCCCATTGCCAGCAAATGGCAGCACTCCATTGGTTATTCCAGAAACAGATGAATTTGGAAATCCTATCCTGATTCCAAGAACTGATGAGTATGGCAAACCATATACGGACAGCCAGGGCAAAACTGTACTGGTTCCAAAACCAGCCACACCACAGAAACCTACACCTGAACCAGAGACTGATAAATTTGGTAACCCTGTTTTAATACCTAGGACTGACGAATATGGAAAGCCTTATACAGATGAGTATGGCAGAACACAATGGGTGCCTAAACCAGCCACACATGGTCTCCCCACTCCAGCACCAGAAACTGATAAATTTGGAAACCCAATCCTTGTCCCAAGAACAGATAGTTATGGAAGTACATACACTGATGAGAATGGCAATACAGAAATGGTTCCAAAACCAGCTTATCAGGGAACACCGACTCCGGCACCAGAAACCGACCAGTTTGGACAACCCATTCTGATTCCAAAAACTGATGAGTATGGCAGGCCCTACACAGATGAACATGGAAACACAGTTATGGTTCCCAAACCAGGTACTTTCGGAGCTCCCACTGTGGTACCAATGACTGATGAGTTTGGACAACCAATCCTGGTTCCTAAGACAGATGAATATGGTAGACCGTACACAGACAGGTTTGGCTCTACAACAATGATACCACTGGTGCCTGTTCCCCAAGGTGTTCCAACCAGGGTACCAAGAGGTGATCAGCAGAACTTAATTTTCAGATACGCTCTGAAAATAAGGAATTTTTTTCTATGATCTTAATTCAATTCCCAGATAATTTTTTTTCTTTGTCATTTTTCACCAAATTGGTGAAAAATGTGCAGTGATGTAAATGAGTCAAATGATCAAATATTTGTTTTGCTTAATATTCATTCAGATAACTTTGATTCCCATTTGAACATTTATAATCAGTGGTATTACGAGATATAGAGGTATGTCTTATGTCCTGTTTCAGTGTGCCTGTCCTACATGGGAGTGGATGATAGATACGTCATTAAGAACAGTCAGATGACTGCCTCCTCCTACAGTGGAACCAACACACCAGACCAAGGTCGTCTCTATGGTGACTTCTCTTGGCAACCAAGGTTAGTGTAGAATGGTTAACAGATTTGTAATGTAATTTCAACGTATTTGACTTGCATTGATATTCCAGATCTTATCCACAAGGTTTATTTGGTAACTTACTGGTATTCTTTGTTGCAGATCAAATGACACATCACCTTGGATTCAGGTTGACCTTGGAAAATTGTCTTTGATATCTGGGGTAGAAACCCAAGGAGACACGATCAACAGAAAGTTTGTCAAGACCTACACAATTTACACCAGCATTGATGGGAAGACCTTCACCCCCTACTCTGACATCCCTGGGGCAGGAATTCCTAAAGTGTTCTCTGGGAACAAGGATGGGGATACCCCAATGAGGAGCTTATTCAACAGAAATATCACGGCTCAGTACATCAGAATTTACCCACAATCCACTTCTGCAGCTGGAGCAGCAATGAGGCTGAATATTCTGGGATGTAATCCTACAGCACCTGTGAAACCTACTCCCACTGGAACAGCTACACCAGGTGTGTAGTGAAATAATCGTACTCTAGTAAATTCTATTGTTTTGTGCTAGGTGGAGTTTGAATGCAGACAAAATGAAGCAAAGGTTGGGGCCAAATATTGGATTTATTATGTCAAAGTTCAACCATATATCCAGTATCACTTTAAAATTCTCAATTGTAGAAGACAAATTCATTTACTAGAAATATATTTTTGATTGGACTTTGACATGAAAAAAAAATACATGTACATCTATGTTATAATGTATTGCATTTTGATGTTTTAGTTTGTGATGTCAAGATGGGTCTGTCCAATGGACTCATAGTCTCTAAAGCTCAGTTCAAAGCATCCAGCGTGTTGGACGGTTTCCATGGGCCAGAGCGTGCCAGATTATATGGCCACAGGGATGGTAGCTTCACCGGGGGCTGGACACCAAGGTCAGATTTTAAAAGAGTCAAATGCTCTCAAATTTTACAGCATAATTTCTGCAGATTCTTTTATATTTTCAATATACATGTATTAAGTACTGACTGTAAAATTGATTTTTATAAAAAAAATTATACTTAATTTTCATTTAGTATTATTAATAAAATGATTTAAAAATTTTTCTTTGAGATCAAGACTTGCAATTTGTCTAAGATGTTGTTTGCAAGTATATGTAGATCTGAGTAGATTTAAGTTCAAGTCAATTTTTTTTTCATAGTGTGAACAATAATCGCCAATGGATTCAGGTTGACCTACTTTCAAATGAAGAGGTATATGGTGTGATAACCCAGGGCCGTTCTGACCTCCCCTACTGGGTTACTGAGTACCAGGTGTACTACAGCACAGACGGACGATCATTCCAACCCATAACTTCCAGCCCAGGGGACAAAACGCCCCAGACCTTCAATGGAAACATGGACAACCATAATCTAGTCACCAACGTCTTTAACCAGAAAATAGTGGCACGATTCATCAGGTGATTTTTGTATACCAAGACTTTCACGAAAAGGGTAGACAAATGATAGAGAAGATTTTTGCTTCTTAAGTCGAACTTGTCAGCAAAAATAATGCAGTGAGATTGAATGAATCAATTTTGTATCTGAAGAATAATGAAAATGTAATAATAATGAACATTTAAGAATAATATCAAGATGATGAGAAAGCATAATAAATATTAGATAAACAATGTAGTATATGATGTTTTTTTCCTGGGAAAAAAAACAAAACCAAAAACCAAAAAACCTAGTTACTTTAATACCTAAGTATGATTTTTTTTTCTTATTTTCCATTTTAAATGGGCATGTGATCTTTACTTTCTTTTATATCACACTTAGAATTGTTCCTCTGAAGTGGAGAGAGGCAATTGGTCTGAGGTTTGAACTGGTCGGCTGTAAACAGCTCACTCCTTCACCTCTTGTCACCGTCCCTCCCTCCTCATCAACAACTGCTGGTCAGGGCCCCCTCACTTGCATGTACTGGACACCGTGGGTCAACACCAATACCCCCGATGCTACCGGCGATTATGAGACCATAATGCACCTGAATTCACTTGTGCGATCATGTAACTTGACAGACATGAAGGCCATCGAGTGCCGTGCCGTAGGAACCAAAAAGTCGTGGGATGAGGCGGGTGATGTGGATGTTAAGTGTGATCTTGTTACACAAGGTCTTCTGTGCTTTAACAAGGTGCAGAGGAGTACACAGTGTCAGGACTATGAGATCAGGGTGTTCTGTGATGAATGTCCAGGTAAGAAAATAGGTAGTAATTAATTACTGTAAATGGAAGCTCAGTGTAAATCCATGTATTCTAGTTGATTTTTTTTAATCTTTCTATTAATAAAAAAATCTGCAAACATAATGTCTCAAGCAAAAAACATAAAAGATGATAATACTTGTGAGAATTATTCCTATTTTTCTGTATGCCTGGTATATTAATAAAAAAAAAATTAGAGAAAAAAAATATTAAGGAAACAAATATCTATAAAAGCTACATGTGTAGACTCTAACTTTTGAAATACAATCCTTCACATATTTTTGGTGAAAAATTTTCAAAAGTTAAGAAAAACCTTCTCTTTCAGCCACTACAGGTGTGTCACAGCCAGTGACTACACCTGCTCCTGGTGGATCCACTCCCAGCCCCGGCGTGTCCACTCAATCAACTGTAACCCCTAAATCAACAACGAAAGAACAATGTCAAAACAAGACTTTCTGGTCATCCTGGATCAACAAGCAGAGCCCAGGCAATGGTGGGGAGGTGGAAAAAATGACTGCCTCAGAAAAAAAGAATTTCTGTCCAAATGGTATAATTAACGGTGTAGAGTGCGAGACAGTGGATGGGCAGCCATGGTTTGACACCAATCAGATTCTAACCTGTGACGTCAGAGATGGACTGAACTGTGATAATAGCATTAACTTCGGAGATATGTGTAAAGACTACAGGATTCGTTACCAGTGTCAAGTGATTTGTAATGGTAGGTCTCTAATTTATTTTGAAAAAAATGTTTTCTTTATATTTCTTGCAGTAAAGCCACAGACTGATCTTAACTATGATTTTAGAAGAGGATACTTGATAGTAATAGTGGAAACAAATAATTCTTCCTCCTATAATATACCTGACCATATTCTGGAAATGGATAACTTGTTCATTGAGTGACAAACTGATTTATTTAAATGTTTGAACTTCAGAAACCACTACAACTACTAGCACCACTTCTACCACCACCAGTACCCCCACAACAAGCCCCACCCAGTCTACCAGCACTCTACCCACCACCACCAAGTGTGTGGAGCAGGATAAGGTGTCCCCTTGGATCAACAGAGACAAGCCTTATATTGGAGATGGAGACAAAGAGGCCATGACTGGAGCAGAACTTGCCAGGTATGTAGGACAATGATTAGGGAAATTCTGGCCAGGGATGTAAGGCAAATGACTATAGCATATTAATGTTAAAATGCCTCTTTGCTTATGTCTGGAGAAAAATATTTCAGAAACATAATTAATAAATGTCAAGATTCATAAAATTGTGAACATTGTGATCCTCATTGCCAAATAGTGAAAAGAAATTATTTTTTATTCTTATATATGTTTGTTATTTCTACTATAAATAAGGGATGTCAACGAATATTCGAACATTCAAATATTCATTCGATAAGTTAATATTCGAATATGAATTTAAGATTCGAATATTAGGTGTTTTTCAGATTTCCTGTGCTGTAATAAATAAATTTTGATTAAAACATTGTTGGAATTATCCCTGTTTAATTTACTAGCTATCAATTTCGTTTGCCTGATTTCTTTCACTACTTTCTTTTCTTATAGAACTACTAAATTATTTTGTTTTGAGTAAGGTGTTAAAGAATTAAATAATGCTTTAAATACGATACAAAACGAAATATTTGTCTATATTTTAAAAACATTGTTTCAAAGATTATATTTTATTATGATTGATTATTGTTGTTTTACGCCGAGTCGGCAATATTTCAGCCATATTTAGGGCTGATAATTGTTATCAGTAATTAATAACACGTATTGAAATCTAGACAGTATTTGACTATCTAGCCTTTGGTAAGGCGACTGGTTTCTCAGTTGGAGCTACTATAAAAACACATGTATCATTTGTTAAAATTATATTTGTCTGCATTTACATGTAAATCAATTAGTTATTTCAAAAATAGACAAATATCAAATAAAATTCCTTATTGTAAACCTACAAAAGTCTTCTTACAATTTTACTTTCAATATAAGAATAACTACGCTAAACCTTTCATGAGAGTAGGATGATGCATATTTAAAATAAACCAGATATTATTTATTTTATTTATTATATCGAATATTCGAATATATTCAAATATTTTCATTGAATATTCGAATATGAATTATTGACAAAATTGACATCCCTACTAAAAATACAAATGCTTGAAACTTTTATGAAATCGATATTTTACTCTTTTACTCTCATTTCCAACTGGATCACAGAGGCTTATAGCAAATCAATGTAATTTTTGAACTTTTTAAAAATGAATTTCTATAGTAATTATTTTTCAAATAATTAAGGTTCTGTCCTGCGGAGCTTGGCAGCTACATTAAGAAGGTGGAGTGCGTGGCAGTGGATGGTATGATTCCTAGCTACAGTACGGGAGACAAGATGATCTGTGATAAGGACCTCGGCTCAGTTTGTCTGAATAGCGACAACTTCCCCGTACAGTGCCAGGACTACATGATCAGATACACTTGTCACCAAGCATGCTTGCGTACGTATCTTACATAAAAATTACGGATAAAAATTGTGTGGTTAGGGGATTTGGTGTTTGGTGTAGTGGCACCAATATTGTTATAGCAAGCAGATCTTAATAAATTATTATCAATTACAGTGGCTGCAACTTTATTGTTGACAACTTACACGAACGATCACATTACACGAACGATTCTGCACGATTAATGCATGATTAATCCTGTTTAATGAACGATCCTTCACGCACACGATTCTCCACGTTACACAATCTTTCATGATTGCTAACGCAAGTGCATGATTCTTCACACAAAATAGTTAAAAATATTTAGGAGTGAATATTTTGAAAATGAAATAAGGCTTAATACTTATTTATTATTGATCAAATAATTATTGATACTATTCATCGAGTTTGGAAAATGAGAAAAATATTTTAAAATGGATATTTTTGAAACTAAATAAGACTTATTAGTTATAATAAATTTTAATTTACAAATATATATTTATTTTTATATACATGTATTTCTGACTTAGGAAAATTGATTTTTTTCTTTTCGATCGATATGTAAAAATGTATTTCATGATCGATTGCTACACGTTTTATCAGATGATATAGATGGGCCATGAGTTTTGATTCTATTGGATTTTATGATATGCAGTAAGGGGGATAAGATTTTTAAAAAAAACATAAAAATGAATTTAAAATATATCCATCTTTCCATTGTGAATTTCTAAAATTAACAATTGTTATACAAATCATATGCAGAAATTATAGAAATAAAGTAAGTTTCAGAGATAAACACGGATAAAAGTAACCCCAACAATCATGTCGTGCACATTCGCCGACTGAATATTATGTAAATAAAGCAATGGGACTTATTATTATAATTATTATCTTGTAAAATTATACTTTTTGATATAAAAAATATCTTGACCACATTTAGCAGTAAACATAATTAACATCAAAGAAAAAAATCGTAATACATCTAAAATACGGTTTACCATTAAAGGTAACACTATATAATTGAAGAGAATACAATAATGTACGGCTTACTATATTGCTTATTTACTAGTGATATTGGTTCGTTCAATTATGTAAATCGCACTTCATTTATTTTATTTAAAAAAAGAAACAGACCAGAAAATGCTTGTTTAACAAATAACATTCTGATAAAAACTTACAAAAGGAATTTGCATGTTTCTTAATGCACGATCACTCATGATTAAAACCGCAAACGATTGAGTCTGATACACGAACGATCTCTCACGTTACACGAACGATCACGCATGTTACACAAACGATTCTTCACGATTGGTTTGTCAACAATAACGTTGCAGCCACTGTATCTATAAAGATAGAAAATTTTTATTAATTTATTAAGCAATTTGTGATATTGTTATGTGTGAGAAAGTGACTTCTCGTAAACAGGGATTTGAAAATCTATTTCAGAGCTGTATGTACTCAGTTTTTCACATTCATTCTGATTTTTTTTTACAGCAACCAAACCTGCATACCATGGTATGTATGTACCAGTGACGGACCAGTTTGGAAATCCTATCTTGGTTCCCAGGACTGATGCCTACCACCACCCCTATACAGATGAGCATGGTAGAACCCAGATGATACCCATAGGTTACATTCATGTAACCCCAACACCAGCACCTGTCACAGATGAGCAAGGAAACCCCATCCTTGTCCCCAAAACTGACTCGTATGGCAAACCCATGACAGATGAACATGGTAATACCATCATGGTGCCACTTCCAGCCACTCAAGGACAGCCAACACCTGCACCACAAACTGATGAACACGGAAATCCTATTTTGGTACCAAAGACCGACTCTTATGGTAAACCAATGACAGATGAGCATGGTAATACAATCATGGTGCCATTACCTGCCACACAAGGTTTGCCTACCCCCAGTCCTCAGACAGATAAATACGGAAATCCAATCTTGGTGCCAAAGACTGATGAATATGGCAAGCCATACACTGATGCTCAGGGACACACAGTGATGGTTCCTTTGCCACAAACCCAGGAAAAACCAACACCAGTACCAGTGACTGACAAATTTGGTAAACCTGTGCTGGTCCCAAGGACTGATGAATATGGTAGACCTTATACAAATGTATATGGTGAAACTGAAATGGTTCCAATACCGTTTAATCAAAACACACCCACTCCAGCTCCTCAAACAGATGAAAATGGAAACCCAATATTGGTGCCAAAGACAGACAGTTATGGAAAACCAATGACAGATGAGCAGGGCCACACAATAATGGTTCCATTGCCCGAGTATCAGGGAACACCAACTCCAGCACCACAAACTGATGAACATGGAAACCCAATCTTGGTTCCAAAGACTGACTCATATGGTAAACCAATGACAGATGAAAACGGAAAAACCATTATGGTACCTTTACCAGACATTCATGGTCTGCCAACTCCTTCGCCAGAAACTGACAAGTTTGGTAATCCAATACTGGTTCCCAGAACTGATGAGTATGGTCGACCATACACAGATAAGCATGGTAACACAGAGATGGTACCTGTTCCAGTAACACATAGTCGGCCAACTCCATCTCCCCAAACTGATGCCCAAGGGAACCCCATACTGGTGCCTAGGACTGATGAATATGGCAAACCATACACTGATGAACATGGTAACACCCAAATGGTGCCACTTCCTTATGTACAAGGCACACCAACACCAGCACCAGAGACAGATAAATTTGGAAAACCTATATTGGTACCAAAAACCGATGAATATGGAAAACCGTATACTGATGAACATGGTAATACAGTGATGGTGCCAGTACCATATACACAGAGTTCTCCAACGCCAGCACCTGCTACAGATGAACATGGTAATCCAATTATGGTACCGAAAACAGATTCATATGGTAAACCAATGACAGATGAAAATGGAAAAACCATTATGGTACCTCTACCAGCCACTCATGGTCTGCCAACTCCTGCACCAGAAACTGACAAGTTTGGTAATCCAATACTGGTTCCTAGAACTGATGAATATGGTAGACCATACACAGATAAGCATGGTAACACAGAGATGGTACCTGTCCCAGCAACACATGGTCAGCCAACTCCATCTCCCCAGACTGATGCTCAAGGGAACCCCATACTGGTGCCTAGGACTGATGAATATGGCAAACCATACACTGATGAACATGGTAACACCCAAATGGTGCCACTTCCTTATGTACAAGGCACACCAACACCAGCACCAGAGACAGATAAATTTGGAAAACCTATATTGGTACCCAAAACAGATGAATATGGAAAACCATATACAGATGAGCATGGTAACACAGTGATGGTGCCAGTACCATATACACAGAGTTCTCCAACGCCAGCACCTGCCACAGATGAACATGGTAATCCAATCTTCGTACCCAAAACAGATTCATATGGTAAACCAATGACAGACGAGCAAGGTCACACCATTATGGTGCCATTGCCATCAGAGCAGTATGTTCCAACTGTAGCACCACAGACTGATGAACATGGTAATCCAATCATGGTACCTAAGACGGATTCTTATGGCAAGCCGATGACAGATGCTCAGGGTCATACAATCATGGTGCCTCTACCAGGAAAACAACAGAGTCCAACACCAGCCCCCCAGACAGATGCACATGGAAACCCAATACTAGTGCCTAAGACAGATGAATATGGTAAACCATACACTGATGAACATGGTAACACAGTAATGGTACCAGTACCAGCCACACATGGTCAGCCAACTCCATCGCCACAGACAGACAAATTTGGAAAACCCATATTGGTACCTAAGACAGATGAATATGGAAAACCATACACTGATGAACATGGAAATACAGTGATGGTACCATTGGCTTATTTGCAGAGTTCTCCAACACCAGCACCAGCCACAGATGAACATGGTAATCCAATTCTGGTACCAAAGACAGATTCATATGGTAAACCAATGACAGATGAGCAGGGTCACACCATTATGGTGCCACTGCCATCTGAGCAGTATGTCCCAACTGTGGCACCACAAACTGATGAACATGGTAATCCAATCATGGTACCTAAGACTGATTCTTATGGCAAGCCAATGACAGATGCTCAGGGTCATACAATCATGGTACCACTGCCAGGAACACAACAGACCCCTGTGCCTGTGCCACAGACAGACAAACAAGGAAATCCAGTTCTGGTGCCCAAGACTGATGAATATGGTAGACCCTACACAGATGAACATGGCAGCACTGTGTTGATCCCTGTACCATACACACAAGGCAAACCAACTCCATCACCACAAACTGATGAGTTTGGAAGACCAATACTGATACCTAAGACTGATGAATATGGTAAAATCTTTACAGATGTTTTTGGACAGACAGTGATGGTACCACTGCCTGAGGGACAAAGTAGGCCAACCCCTGCTCCAGTAACTGACAAACAAGGTCGACCTGTTTTGGTACCCAAAACCGACTCCTATGGAAAACCAATGACAGATGAACATGGTAATACAATAATGGTTCCCCAGCCATATACTCAAGGTTTGCCAACGCCTGCCCCACAGACAGATGAGCATGGAAATCCTATCATGGTACCAAAGACTGATTCCTATGGTAAACCCATGACTGATGAACATGGTAATACCATTATGGTGCCACTTCCAGCCACTCAAGGACTGCCAACTCCAGCACCACAAACAGATGAACACGGAAATCCAATTTTGGTACCAAAGACCGATTCTTATGGTAAACCAATGACAGATGAGCATGGTAATACAATCATGGTGCCTTTACCTGCCACACAAGGTTTACCTACCCCCAGTCCTCAGACAGATAGGTTTGGAAATCCTATCTTTATTCATAAAACAGACTCTTATAACAAACCAATGACAGATAAATTTGGAAGCACCATTCTTATCCCTCTGCCAGATGGCCAGAGTACTCCCATACCAATTCCAGAAACAGATAGATTTGGTAACCCAGTTCTTGTGCCAAAGACAGATTCTTATGGAAAACCAATGACTGATGCCCAGGGACACACAATATTGGTTCCCAAACCAGCCACTCAAGGTAGTCCAACACCTTCACCACAAACAGATGAATTTGGCAATCCTATCTTGGTTCCAAAGACTGACTCCTATGGTAAACCTATGACTGATGAACATGGTCACACTATCATGGTACCACTGCCTGGTCAACAGAACACTCCTATAGTTATTCCACAGACAGATAAATTTGGAAATCCCATCTTGGTTCCAAGAACAGATGAGTACGGAAGACCATACACTGATGAATTTGGAAACACTCAGATGGTTCCACTTCCTGAAAAACAAAGCAAACCTACACCAAAGCCTCAGACAGACAAGTTTGGAAACCCCATTCTGGTGCCAAGAACTGATGAATATGGAAAACCATACACAGATGCATTAGGACATACCCAAATGGTGCCCCTTTATGAAACCCAGAGTATACCTACACCTAAACCACAAACAGATGCATTTGGAAACCCAATACTGGTTCCACGTACAGATGAATATGGCAAACCATACACAGACGAGTTTGGAAAGACCCAGATGGTGCCACTTCCTGAAACACAAGGAATACCTACTCCAAAACCACAGACAGATGCCTTTGGAAACCCAATCCTTGTACCTAGAACTGATGAATATGGAAGACCATATACTGATGAATTTGGAAATACACAGATGGTGCCACTGCCAGAAAAACAAAGCCAGCCCACTCCTGCCCCCAAGACAGATAAATATGGCAATCCAGTTCTCATGCCAAGGACAGATGAATATGGCAAACCTTATACAGACAAGTTTGGACATACACAGTGGGTTCCTGTGCCAGCAGGACAAGACAAACCAACTCCTATACCAGAAACAGATGCATTTGGAAACCCAATACTTGTTCCCAAGACTGATGAATATGGCAAGCCATACACAGATGCTAAAGGAAACACAGTGATGGTGCCAAAACCATATCACCAGGGTTCACCAACACCAGCACCACAGACTGATGAATTTGGAAATCCCATCTTTGTGCCTAAGACAGATTCTTATGGAAAACCAATGACAGATGCCAATGGTAATACCATCATGGTGCCACTGCCAGCAACTCAGGGACTGCCAACACCAAAACCACAAACTGATGAACATGGAAATCCAATCTTAGTTCCAAAGACTGATTCTTATGGAAAACCTATGACAGATGTGAATGGTCATACAATCATGGTTCCTTTGCCCGAGACACAAGGAGTGCCTACACCTGTGCCACAGACAGACAAGTTTGGAAACCCAGTCCTTGTACCAAAGACAGATGAATATGGCAAGCCATTCACTGATGAACATGGAAATACTATAATGGTGCCTGCTCCTCCTTATCATCATGAGATGCAAACACCAGTACCAGAAACAGATGAGTTTGGTAACCCCATCCTTGTGCCAAGGACAGATGAATATGGCAGACCATACACAGATAAGAATGGTCAAACAGAGATGGTTCCTAAGCCACATTACCAGGGACAACCCACTCTAGAACCACTTACTGATGCTCAAGGAAGACCAATCCTTGTTCCAAAGACTGACTCCTATGGCAAACCAATGACTGATATACATGGAAGCACTATCTTGGTAACTGTTCCAGCTCCTGTGAAACAGCATACCCCAATGCCAGTGCCAGAGACAGACCGGTTTGGAAATCCTGTGCTTGTACCAAAGACTGACTCCTATGGCAAACCAATGACAGATGAACAAGGTCACACTATACTTGTCCCAAAACCATACAGTCAGACTCAGCCAACCCCAGCTCCTGAAACAGATGAATTTGGACAACCCATCTTGGTTCCAAAGACAGACTCCTATGGCCATCCTATGACAGATGAGAATGGTCATACTATCATGGTACCTAAACCAGCAACACAAGGTCTTCCAACTCCTGCTCCTAAAACAGACAAATTTGGTAATCCAATTCTTGTGCCTAAGACAGATGAATATGGCCATCCTTTTACTGATGAGCATGGTAACACAGTAATGGTCCCAGTCCCTGATGTACATGGAACTCCCACCCCAGCACCAATGACAGATAAATTTGGAAATCCAGTGATGGTACCAAAGACAGATTCCTATGGTAAACCTATGACAGATGAACAAGGCAATACAATGATGGTTCCACTGCCAGAGAGTCAAAAATTTCCAACTCCAAAAGTACACACTGATATGACAGCTGGACCTGCTCTCTTTGAGCCAAAGACTGACTCCTACAATAAACCCATGACTGATGCACATGGAAATACCATTATGGTGCCAGTACCTCAGACAGCAGGAGTTCCAACTCTGGCTCCTCAGACAGACGAGCATGGCAACCCAATCATGGTACCAAAAACAGACTCCTATGGAAAACCAATGACAGATGCTCAGGGACATACCATTATGGTACCATTGCCAATGCAGCAACAGAAACCAACACCATCCCCACAAACTGATAAATTTGGAAATCCCATTCTTGTTCCTAAAACAGATGAGTACGGACAGCCATACACAGATGAACATGGCAACACTGTCATGGTACCACTACCAGCCACCCAAAACAAGCCCACTCCTTCACCAATGACTGATCAGTTTGGTAATCCAATATTAGTGCCCAGAACTGATGAGTATGGAAGACCATATACAGATAAGTTTGGAAGAACTGAAATGGTGCCTCTACCAGGATACCAGGGAACACCAACTCCTGCTCCAGAGACTGATCAATTTGGAAAACCCATCATGGTTCCTAGGACTGATGAATATGGAAGACCATACACAGATGAACATGGACATACTCAGATGGTGCCCTTGCCAGCATCTCAGTCTACACCTACACTGAAACCAGAGACAGACATTTTTGGTCACTCTGTTTTGAAGAGATGCTCAATGAGTCACTGGTCACCCTATCTCAACCGAGACAAACCTGACCTTGGCACAGGTGATTTCGAAAAAATGACTCCAGAAGAGCTCAGCGATTTCTGTAAAGGTGGAAATGTCACCAAGATTGAGTGTATGACATCTGATGGAATTCCCAGCTATAGCTCCGGTGAAGTAATGACATGTAACCTTCAGAAGGGCTTCTCTTGTGTTAACGCTGACAACTTCCCAGTGACTTGCTCCGATTACAAAATCAGATACTTCTGTCAATGCGAGGAGGGTAAGCTATATTATCTAAGTATTATGTTAAGATTTGATATTTCAAAAAATGGAAATAGAATAAAGAATGAAGGATTATTTGAATAGAAATCAATATATGACAGTTGTAATTTTGGATATGCAGATTTATAAAGTTTGTTTCACTTTTAATCATTCTCAGGTTTTATTTTCTAGAGATTTTATTGATAATTTCCTTAGTTTCATACTTTATTTTATTTTCCAAATATTTCCCAGGATCTGTTCCACCAGATTCCACCCCCACCATTACTCCATCCTTCAAACAATGCGGCTGGTCTTCCTGGCTGAACTCTAACAGTCCCTCGGCCTCTCTGAACTCAGGTGATTTCGAGTCCATTTATGACCTCAAGTCTAAATATGGACTCTGTAAGGAGATCAGGCAGATTGAGTGTCGTGTGGCAGACAGCAAGACCCCAGTAGCCATTGCAGGGCAGGAGAGTGTAACTTGTGATGCTAGAAATGGTCTCCGTTGTTACAACCGAGACCAGCTCTCGGGCCGATGTTATGACTATGAAGTCAGAGTCTTATGCTGGGCTGACAATTGTAAGTGCAGGCACTTTTTTTGCATAAATATTTTAAAAATTTGAAAAATTTATGTTAAATGGAATTAAAAAATTAACTAATTAAAAGTAAATTATTTCTGACACAGAAAAATCAATGTATAATATGAGCAAGTTTTGATTTTTTGGTTGATTTTGTTATAAGTTTGAGAACATTTATTAAAGCAGGATCTGTCTAACCTTTGATCTTTGTTTCCTAGGTAATCCTGACCTCCTGACTTCCCCAACAGCTGCCGTTGTACACCAAACAACTCGTAAGTCTTCAAATTTAAAAATTCTACAATTGTTTGAACTGCAAAATATTTTTTTTTTCATTATAGGCAGTTCAGAATAACTATTACAGATATTTTTTTCAGATCCAGTGGATAATTTAGGAAATAGTTTTGTTTGTTTTTTTTTTTCTTTCAAATGAGATTTGGAAATATTATTTTTATCACCTGATTACAGAAATTCAGTAAGATTCCTAAAAATCAACAACTTTGCTATAAACACCATGCTTTTATAGTTTAGCAGAAATACATTTACAAACTGAAGTAAAAATTTTATACGAATCTTTTCTTTTGGATAAGATTTATCGATTGTTTATCATCTAAATTTTCATTGTTTAGCCATCTGTGCCCCTGGTGAGGTTTATGAGGCCTGCCCCTACCGCTGTAGTGACCTGTGTGATGTCCTCTCTCGTCAGTCCGTGGCCTGTGGAGGTCAAACAACTGATTCTTGTGTGCCTTACTGTAAACCAGCAGGTCTGACCTGTCGACCCGGCGAGAAGTTGAAGGACAAGAATACCTGTGTCCCACAGACCCAGTGTCCTTGTAGAATGCAGAATGGAACCATTGCTAGTGTAAGTTACTCACAGAAATCTCAGTTTATTTAATATTTTTTACCTTGTTTTCAATGTATAAAGGGAGTGGAAAGAAATAATTAAAAAAAAGGTGCTTTTGTTTTTACAGCATTTATATATGAAAACTTAGATTCCTTACTGCATGCAAGAATTAATTACCTTATAATTTCACGAGAAACAGCAAATAAATTTAATACTTGCTTTTAATTTTGAAACTGAAATCCATATAAAATCCATTGATCAACTGTCCACCCATGAATTATGTCCTTGTGATATGTCATCTAAGAGGCATATCACTATATTAAGTATTCATGTTAAATAAGGAATCTACTGTATTGTGTAGAAAATTATGTGTTTGAAACTTTTTTACATATTGCAGCCTATGGAGACCTGGACTAACCCTTATGATGAATGTTCCACCTGTCACTGCTTCAACAATACAGTTACCTGTACACATGATGAAAGCTGTAAGACCACTCCTGGTCCAACACCAGGTAAAATGAATAAAAAAAAACTGACCTGTACACACGATTAAGGTCATGTCACCATTACCAATCCCACACCAGGTAAATAGGAATAAGAAAAATAACCTGTACACATGATTAAGGTCGAGTCACCATTACCAATCCCACACCAGGTACTCCTGGTTCCACTCCAGGTAAATAAAAATCTTGATATGTTGACTCACCTGTACACATGATTAAGGTCGTGTCACAGTTCCCAGTCCAACACCAGGTACTACTGGTTCCACTCCAGATAAACATAATCTTGATATATTGACCTTGTCTTTACATGTGATTAAAGCTGTGTTACCATTCCCAGTCCGACATCAGGTACTCCTGGTTCCACTCCAGGTATATGAAAATGTTGACTCACTTGTACACAATTAAGGTTGTGTCACCATTCCCAGTCCAACTTCAGATAGCATATACAGTATGTAAACTCAAACTCACCTAGCACATGATTATGGTTCTGTCACCATTCACTGCCCCATACAAGGTAAATAAAAATTGAGGTAAGCAAACTTATCTGTTCACATGATTAAGGCTGCATTACCATTCATTTAAATGTATGCAACGTAAGGATCCTTTAACATGTTGTTAGATATGAAATTTAAAGTTACCTGAAAATCTGTTATGCATCCTTCCTCCATATAATTATACACATGTACCTGATAAGTGCAAAATCTAATACAAAATATAAAAAAAAAGTTGTAACAAACTCCACTCCAATTATACGTCTTCTTTTGTCATCATTTCAGCCAACCCAGTGAAACACCCTGACTGTGAATGGACCTACTGGATCAATATGGATACACCTTTAAGTGGAGATGGAGATCTAGAAACCATTTCAAAGATTCGCACTCTTCACCAGTTCTGTTCCTCACCGGTCCAGATTGAGTGCCGAGATGTCGAGACAAAAGTTGCCAGCTTGCAGGCAGGCCAGAGAACCACTTGTGATATCAACTCCGGATTTAAGTGTCTCAACTGGGAGAATAATGGTCATTGTCGCGATTATGAAGTCCGATTCTACTGCCCTTGTGCAAGTAAGTGAAATAAACATAAAATTTTGAAAGTTGGATTATAGATCATTAAGTATCTTTCATTGCGAAGTATGTGGAAATTAAAGTAGAGGATTTGATAGGAGATGAAAAGGTAATCCTAAAAAGTAACAAATGATTTAGTGACTCATGGTTCAGATACATGAAAACACATCTGAACACTTGAACTGATTTATCTCAATTGAAGTTAAAATGACAAAAACAGCATGATGTCACATCATAATTATGACTTTATGATGAAGAATTGCTGAGTGTCACATGTATATAAGTGTTACAGAGTGCTATTGAATACTATTCAATATTTATCAACAGTAGTCAATGCATTGTTTTTCAAAAATCAAAGTACCATGGTATAAGAGCCTTAAATTAGATTTAAAGTTGGTACTAAAGTTAGGTTCCGTTATTGTTTTCTGCAATATGATATACTAGGCAAAGAGAATCTAGAAAATAATTCATTTAATTTCTAAACATTTAAAAGAAATAGACTTTTGAGATTTGAATTAATTGAATAAAAGGCATTAACTTGCATCTCTTGATTCAGGTACTCAAAGTCCGAGAATAACTACCACTCCACCTTCAGCAAAGGCCAACATTTGTGGTTGGTCTGACTGGATTAACATGGACAATCCATCTGTCATGAAACCTGACAAGCCATTCGCAGGGGACATTGAATCCATGGCAGCCATCCGAGAGAAGACATGTGGGTATGACATCATGACCAAGATTGAATGCCGCACTGCTGAGGGACACATTCCCTCCGACAGGACCAATGAGACCCTGTCCTGTGACAGAATTCGTGGGTTGAGGTGTAAGAATGCACTACAGACAGATAAGAAGTGTATGGACTATGAAACAAGGGTGTACTGTGACTGTAGCAATGTCACCACCACTGGCCCCACTCGACCAGGTGGCCACTATGAAGGTAGCACCACCAAGACTGTGGATGTGTGTGGTTGGACGGTATGGATGAACGGTCATGCTCCAGATAACAATGGTGAGGTGGAACTATTGTCAGAACTAGAGAAGGAATGGCGATTCTGCCACACAGACGAGATCACAGCCATAGAGTGTCGTGACAGTATCACTGGGTTGTCTGTCATGGAGTCTGGGCAGAGTGGAGTGATTTGTGATGTGAATCATGGTGGACTGAAATGTGATGCCACGAAGCAGACAGCTCATGGTGGACAGTGTTATGATTATGAAATAAGGGTGTTATGTGAACCTAAAGGTGTAAATTGTGGTGGTCCAACAACAGAACCAGCTGCCACACCAAAGTTTGAGCCACTGACAGACTCTTACCATAAGCCAGTGACAGACAAGGATGGACATACTATCATGGTACCTGTCAAGGAGACACAGGGCACTCCAACGGCTGTCCCTATCACTGACAAGTTTGGAAACCCACTTCTGGTACCAAAAACAGATGCATATGGTAAACCTGTTACTGATAAGAATGGAAATACTGTAATGGTCACTGTTTTGGAGCCCATAAAAGGACCACAGGGTGTGCCCACCGCTGTACCAAAAACAGACAAGTTTGGCAATCCAGTATTAGTGCCTAAAACTGATACTTATGGCAAACCAATGACAGATGTCAATGGACATACAGAGATGGTCACAGTGCTTGTTCCCAATCCAAATGGACAGAGCACTCCTATGTTGGTGCCAAAGACTGATGAATCTGGAAAACCAATTTTGGTACCCAAAACTGATACTTATGGCAAACCAGTGACTGACATCAATGGACATACAGAAATGGTCACTGTGCTTGTACCAAACCCAGAGGGCCAAAGTACTCCAATGCTTGTGCCAAAGACTGATAGATTTGGTAACCCTGTCCTTGTACCCAAAACTGATACTTATGGCAAACCAGTGACTGACATCAATGGACATACAGAAATGGTCACTGTGCTTGTACCAAACCCAGAGGGCCAAAGTACCCCAATGCTTGTACCAAAGACTGATAGATTTGGAAACCCATTGTTGGTACCCAAAACTGACACATATGGTCAACCATTGACAGATAAAAATGGACACACAGAGATGGTTACAGTGTTAGTACCAGTACCAGGTAATCAGTCCAAGCCAACCGCAGTACCCAAGACAGACAAGTTTGGAAACCCAGTGCTTGAACCTAAGACAGATGCTTTTGGTAAACCAGTAACAGATGCCAGTGGTAAACCCATCATGGTAACAGTGTTGGAGCCAGTCACTGAACCACAAGGCACACCCACTGCTAGACCCAAGACTGATGAATTTGGAAACCCATTGTTGGTACCAAAAACTGATGCCTTTGGCCAGCCAGTTACAGATGTCAATGGAAACACTGTGATGGTTACAGTGTTGGAGCCAATTCCACAAGGCACAAACACACCAATGCTGGTTCCTAAAACAGATGAACAGGGAAATCCAGTTCTTGAACCCAAAACAGATGCTTTTGGCAGACCTGTGACAGATGTCAATGGACATACAGAGATGGTTACAGTGATGGTACCTGCACCAGGAAACCAAGCCAAACCAACGGCAGTACCAAAAACAGACAAGTTTGGAAATCCAGTGCTTGAGCCCAAGACAGATGCTTTTGGTATACCAGTAACAGATGCCAATGGTAAACCAATTATGGTGACAGTATTGGAGCCAGTAACTGAACCACAGGGTGTACCAACAGCAGCACCAAAAACTGACAAGTTTGGTAACCCAGTACTTGTTCCAAAAACAGATGCCTTTGGAAAACCAGTCACAGATGCCAATGGAAACACTGTGATGGTGACAATATTAGAACCTATTCCACATGGACAGGGCACACCAATGCTTGTTCCAAAGACTGATGAACATGGAAATCCAATCCTTGTACCAAAGACAGACATCTATGGTCAGCCAGTTACAGACCAAAACAAGAACACTATCATGGTTACTGTGTTGGAACCAGTCACTGAACCACAAGGCACTCCTACTGCTAGACCAAAGACTGACGAATTTGGAAACCCATTGCTGGTACCAAAAACTGATGCTTTTGGCAAACCAGTTACAGATGTCAATGGACACACAGTAATGGTTACAGTGTTGGAACCAATTCCACAAGGCACAAACACACCAATGCTGGTTCCCAAGACGGATGAACAAGGCAATCCAGTTTTGGAACCCAAAACAGATGCTTTTGGCAGACCTGTGACAGATGTCAATGGACATACAGAGATGGTTACAGTGATGGTACCTGCACCAGGAAACCAAGCCAAACCAACGGCAGTACCAAAAACAGATAAGTTTGGAAACCCCCTTCTTTTCCCTAAAACAGATAAATACGGACATCCAGTGACAGATAGCCAAGGTAGCACTATACTAGTCACAGAAATGGAGACCTTACCCACCACAACAGGACCCACTCCAACCACTACACCAGGAGTAGTGGTCACCACTTGTGCCACTTACTGGTCCAACTGGTCCAATGTCAACCACCCTGGAGGCACATTCCCAGGGGACAAGGAGCTCACCCCCAAAGAATACACAGATAAGACAGGGTTCTGCCGAGGTGGGTCTGTCACGAAGGTTGAGTGTTACAGTGTGGGAATGGATGCTCCATCATATTCCAGTGGGGAGATCTTGACATGTGACACCACTGTGGGTCTGCAGTGTAATGATGCTGATAACTTCCCCATGCCTTGCACTGATTACAAGATCAGATACTACTGTGACATCTGCAGTAAGTGTTAAATTAAGAATATTTAGTCAACCAGTTCGTATTTGCATGCAACTTGTGTTTATAACATTCACAACCATGTGTTCCATGTGAATATTTTCATTTCAAAACAGCCAGACTTGTAGTGATATAATCTTAACCTTTTTGTCTCAAAACAAACTAGAGAAATCTATGTCTCACATTACTTATAATGATCCATTCAAGTCTTGTACTATAAAAAATGCTTATAATGAAGTGCCACAGATGGACAATTTTGCTTTGTTAGAAACGTAATTGGTTATATCCATTAAGTTCACATTATATTTTAAAACAAAGGGGAACGGATATCCATTCCCTCTACATGCCAATTCATTATAAATGTGGTCACTATTAAGTGTGTTTACTGTATATGGACAAGGATTGGTATTGATTTTCTGATATGGGTATGTATTTTAGGTTTATGTAAATAGAATAATAAATCTTTGCTTTATTTATCCTAGCTGCAGTGACTCCAGGCTCTAATGAGACCCCTGTACCTTCCACCTCCATCAGTGTGGGAACAAACACACCCAAACCCACTGCACCACTGGGTATGAAGAAATTTTATAACTCCCTAAAATAACTCCCCAGAATAATAACATAACAATTATAAAGTTTCTTCAGTTGTAGCTTTTCATGTCTTTTACAAAATATCAATTACCTTCTAATAACAAACATCATGTGAAAGAAAAAGTTGTACTGTGAATACTGAGATATTTTTTGTTCACCATTCTATAGTTTGTGCTGATGGAAACTCAGCCCAACTGCCCATCCATATGGATGACAGTCAGCTGTCCGCCTCTTCCAGTCTCCGCCCAGACTCTGGCCCTCAGAGATCCCATCTCGACAGCACAAGCTCTGCCCCCATGACTGGAGGGTGGATCCCTGCTACCAATGACAAGAACCAATGGCTGATGATCAGCTTCACAAATCCTGAGATCATCTACGCTGTGTCTACTCGTGGCCTTGATGGTCAACAGAATTGGGTGACCGCATACTATCTGATGTATTCCATGGATGGAACAAACTTTACTTTCTACCAGGAAGAAGGACAAAGGAAGGTAAAAAAAAACTAGAACAGCTTCACTTTCTTACAGATAGCTGAACAAAAATCAGGTCATGATAACTTAAAGTTTTATGACTCTAATTGTATGTACTCATACTGGGGTTTTGAGTAAAATTTTGTCTCACTAAATCTTATCTTCCTAGGTCTTCTCGGGTAACTTTGACTCAGCAACCACCTCCACACACACAGTGAATCCTTTTGTTGCTAAATACGTCAGAATTGTTCCTGAGCGCTGGCAGGGTGGAATTGGCCTTCGCTGGCAGCTGATTGGATGCAAAGGTAAAATTCTTGTCCAATCAGACAGGGATTTTTGGTTGTATTGTTTACAGTGGATATGAATGATGATACAGAAATATTGTGTGTGTGTGTAATTGATCATTGGAAATGTGTAACTGATCATTGAAAATATTTTGGATTAAGTGTTACTTGGTCTTGCTTAAGTAGCAAAATATCTCAGTTATTTGTTAAAGAATGTTATAATACTGAAAATTGCACTATTGGTAATTTGTAATACAGCATCACCAATGACAGTGGTAACTGGCCATGGATCAACCTCAACCCCCTCTGCCACTCCAACCCATGCCCCTGCCCCTCAGTGTGTAGAGAAATGGTCAGCCTGGATCAATAATAACAGTCCACTAAAACAGGGTGCTCTAGGAGACTATGAAAAGATGACTGCTTCAGAAAAGGCCCAGTTCTGTCCTGGTGGGAACATCACTAAGGTTGAGTGCCATGCTGTGGCTGGAGATATTCCTAGCTATAGTTCTGGGGAGATCTTAACCTGCTACCCTGATCAGGGACTTATATGTAACAATGCTGACAATTATCCATTGGCGTGCTCTGATTACAAGGCACGGTTCTTCTGTGGATGTCCAGGTTTGTAAGCTGTGCTACCATCTGCAGTTAAATACTGAGCTTTAATTTTTTTTTTTTTCCCCGAACAAAGAAATTGGAGGGGATATAGTAAAGCCCATGTTGAGTGTTTGAGTGAGTGGGAAATTTCGTATGTGATAGAAGTAATAAATTATACTGAGATCAAAGTTGTTTGCTGGCTTTTTTGTGAGGGGATGCTCTGCTTTGCAGTGCCTATGTTTAAAAAAAAGCATTTAATTGATAATTTTGATCTATGAATCAAAGAAAAAAATCTTCACTGTCAGGATTTTGTTTCAGCTACACCGGCACCCACCACATCTGGAACTGATGCCAATGCTAAGTCGACCAGTGCTCTACCAACAAAACCAGGTGGCCACGACAGCCACTCTACTACGACACCACCACCACCACCCTGTGTGGGCGGATGGTCATCTTGGATCAACCATAACAACCCAGCTAGCGGGACAGGGGACTATGAAAAGTTGACTGATGCCGAGAAACTCCAGCTCTGCTCTGGTGGTAACATCACAAAAGTGGAATGTTATGTGTCCACTGGTGACATTCCAAGCTACAGTTCTGGAGAAGTGCTAGAGTGTTCCCCTGATAGAGGACTTATATGTAACAATGCTGATAACTTCCCTATTCCTTGCTCAGACTACAAAGCCAGATTTTTCTGTCAATGTGCAGGTAATTTGTATTGTTTGCTCTCATCTTTGTTTCATACCTTTTACTACTAGTAATATGTTGTTGATTTAAATCGGGGGGTTTTGTGAATAATATTTGAAGGTAAAGATGCCAACACAGAAACTGCATTGTTTTCTTGTTTTCAGGCATTTAAGTAATTAGATTTCTACATTTAACTTCAAAATTTTGTGAACAAATTCTGTGCTAATAGATCATGATACCTACATTTCCAAACTATAAACTTTCTTGTAAATAGTAATTTGTATTTCTATCGTTTTCTGTAGCACCTGTTACTGACACCAACAGTAAGACCACCAATATAGCCCCAACAAAACCAGATGGACACAATGTTCAGTCCACCACCTCCCCAACTCCACCCCCTATTCCATGTGTAGGAGGCTGGTCATCTTGGATCAACCACAACAACCCTGCTAGCGGCACAGGAGATCATGAAAAGTTGACTGATGCTGAGAAACTCCAGCTCTGCTCTGGTGGTAACATTACAAAAGTAGAATGTTATGTGTCCACTGGTGACATTCCAAGCTACAGTTCTGGAGAAGTGCTAGAGTGTTCCCCTGATAGAGGGTTAATCTGTAATAATGCTGATAACTTCCCTATTCCTTGTTCTGACTACAAGGCCAGATTCTTCTGTCAATGTGCAGGTAAATGGCACAATTTTCTGTCATTTTTTTTGTTATAACTAAGTCTTAAATTACTAAATGTACATTGTTAATTTTAATCTGAGGTTATTAGGAATTATATTTGATTTTACAGATGGAAAACATGCACTGGATTTATTTTCATGCATTTTTCCTCCTTGCATAAAGACTTTAAATTTTTGAGAACAAAATCAGTGCTTATAGAACATGGTACCAATTTTAACAGAGCTAACAACTTTTTGATGAAAAGAACATTGTAAATCTTTTGTTTATTTAGCACCTGTCACTGGTGCCAACAGTAAGACGACCAACATTGCTCCCACCAAACCAGACAGTGGACACAATGTCCAGTCCACCACCTCTCCAACCCCACCCCTCATTCCATGTGTTGGAGGGTGGTCATCTTGGATCAACCACAACAACCCAGCCAGTGGTAACGGAGACTATGAAAAGTTGACTGACGCTGAGAAGCTCCAGCTCTGCTCTGGTGGTAACATCACAAAGGTGGAATGTTTCACTGGTGATATCCCAAGCTACAGTTCTGGAGAAGTGCTTGAGTGCTCTCCTGACAGAGGGTTAATCTGTAATAATGCTGATAACTTCCCTGTTCCTTGTTCAGACTACAAGGCCAGATTCTTCTGTCAATGCCCAGGTAAAGGAGGTTTCAGTGATATTATTTGTAAGACACTTCTCAATTCACTTGAATATACATGTACTAGTATTTCATCAAGTTGGTCCCATGACAATTGATTTGACTTTTGTTAGATAGTAAATATAGTGCAAAACTTCTACAGGTATGTTTTTAACTTAAATATTCTGTATTAACAGCTTCAACAACCCAGCCAACTGGCACAGCTGCCCTACATGGTGGCACCACAAGGCCAGTTCAGACTGACTCCAGTGGTCATCCAGTATCCACCACCACCATGGCACCACCACAACACAAGGTCTGCAGATCAGGCTTTACAGACTGGATCAACAGGGATCGACCAGAGACTGGAAATGGAGACCACGAGGCTCTGACTGATGCAGAGAAGGCTGACCGCTGTCCTGGGGGAAGAATGACCAGAGTGGAATGTTACGCCGAGGCTGGAGACATTCCGTCGTACAGCTCTGGGGAGGTTCTGACATGTGACACAGCCACAGGTCTAACATGTAACAATGCCGATAACTTTCCAGTCACCTGCACAGACTACAAGATCAGATACTACTGCCAATGTCAAGGTAATGTACATGTATTGCTTCATTGATTTTATGTCTAAATGGAAGATTATGATTATCAATAAAAAAAATGATTTACATGTATTCTTAAATTTTGAAATAAGACATGAAAATTTCTGTATTTATCCATTTCATCAATTGTGATTGGAGATGAAAAAATTTTAAATGATTAATACCTCTCTATATAATACAATATATGTGTTAATGTTAAAAAATCAAATTGCATGTAACATTGATTATTCAGATATTTTATGAAATAATTTTGTATTAATAGACAATGTAAGTGGTGGAAGCACTCCTCCTGTTGCAATAGATACCATGACACCCTCAATAACGCCTCCCCCTCAGTGTCAGACGAGGTGGTCTTCATGGATAAACACGGATAATCCAACATCCGACGGAATGGAGTATGAACACTGGACAGCTGTTCAGAAGCTGCAGTTCTGTCCTGGTCTGTATATACTGCATCACCCTTGTGAATTTTGCATATTTTTTGTGCTAAGAACCTCAGTTTTAATATCTTGTTGTACAGTTGAACTTCCGTATCTCAAACATTAAGGATTAGTCCAAGAAATTTGGAAGTCCAAATCACTTATTCCTTAAGTACATGTATTTTACCCTTAAATCCTCAGATATCTCAAAGTTTCTTCTTGGTTGCTTTGAGTTCGAGATAAGGAAGTTAGACTGTAGGTACTTGTCCTAGTATTAGGCACTGTCAACTGTTTGTCATAGGGTGTTTCCTCTTCATGTTTCTTTGTTAGGTCACCTGAGTCACTCAGGTGACCTATTGCTATCTGTTTTCATCCTGCGTCGTCCGTCGTGCATTAACTTTTGAACATTTTTAACTTCTTCTCAAGAACCGTTCAACCAATTTCAACCAAATTTGGTATATAGCATCTATGGGTGAAGGGGAACAAAAATTGTGAATTTCATGGTCCCTGCCCCCCCGGGGCCTGAGGGGTGGGGCTAAAACCACCAAAAATAATGCAATCTTTAAAAATCTTCTTCTTTACTCCTGGACATCAAGCAGTCAAACTGTTGGCATCATTGTAATAAGCATTGAGCCCTCTACCAAAATTGTGAAATTCATGGCCCCAGGGTCAGGGGTTCTGGCCCCAGGGTGGGGCTATATAGATCATATAGTGAAAGTGCAGTATTTCTTTGAAAATCTTCTTCTCTGCTCCTGGGTATTAAATAAAGTTACTAAGTACATAGTTATGATGAGCAAGAGTGCCTCTTCCAAAATTGTGAAATTCATGGCCCCAGGGTCAGGGGTTCTGGTGTTAGGGTGGGGCACTATTGATTATATAGTGAAAATGCATTAATTCTTTGAAAATCTTCTTCTCTGCTCCTGGGTATTAAATAAAGTTACTAAGTACATAGTTATGATGAGCAAGAGTGCCTCTTCCAAAATTGTGAAATTCATGGCCCCAGGGTCAGGGGTTCTGGTGTTAGGGTGGGGCACTATTGATTATATAGTGAAAATGCATTAATTCTTTGAAAATCTTCTTCTCTGCTCCTGGGTATTAAATAAAGGAACTAAGTACATAGTTATGATGAGCAAGAGTGCCTCTTCCAAAATTGTGAAATTCATGGCCCCAGGGTCAGGGGTTCTGGTGTTAGGGTGGGGCTCTATTGATTATATAGTGAAAAAGCATTACTTCTTTGAAAATCTTGTTCTTTGCTCCTGGATATTAAATAAAGTAACTAAGTACATAGTTATGATGAGCAAAAGTGCCTTTTCAAAAATTGTGAATTTCTTGGCCCCAGGGTCAGGGGTTCTGGTGTTAGGGCGGGGCTCTATTGATTATATAGTGAAAATGCATTAATTCTTTGAAAATCTTCTTCTCTGCTTCTGGATATTTAATAAACTAACTAAGTACATAGTTATGATGAGCAAGAGTACCTATTCCAAAATTGTGTATTTCATGGCCCCAGGGTCAAGAGGTTCTGGTGTTAGGGCGGGGCTCTATCAACTATATAGTGAAAATGCATTAATTCTTTGAAAATCTTCTCCTCTGCTCCTGGGCATTAAGGTGATAAACTAAGTCGTATTTATGATGAGGAGGTGGGCCTCTTCCAGAAATGTGAAAGCCATGGCCCCTGGGTCAGGGGTTCTGGTGTTAGGGCAGGGCTCTATTGATTATATAGTGAAAATGCTTTAATTCTTTGAAAATCTTCTTCTCTGCTCCTGGGTATCATTTAAACAAACTAAGTGCATGGTTATGATGCATAAGGATGCCTTTTCAAAAATTGTGAATTTCATGGCCCCAGAGTCAGGGGTTCTGGTGTTAGGGCGGGGGTCTATTGATTATATAGTGAAAATGCATTGATTCTTTGAAAATCTTCTTCTCTGCTACTGGAGATTATTTAAACAAACTAAGTGCATGATTATGATAGACAAGGATGCCTCTTCCAAAATTTTTAAATATATGGCCTCAGTTTTTGGGGTTCTTGAGGAGGGGGGGGGGGGGCTCTATTGATTATATAGTGAAAAAGCACTAATTCTATTAATTAATCATTAGTTAATCCTGTCTGCTTCTTAGTGTTGAGCTGATAAATAAATTGCTTAGCTATGATGAAAATGGGAACTTCGAACAGAATTTTTAAATCTTGTGGTCCTAGGGTCAGGGGTTCTAGCATAATGGGGGGGGGGGGGGGGGGCTTTTGATAATATAGTGGAAAAGTGTTAATTCTTCGAAGTCCATAGTTATGATGAGGAGGGTAACTCTTCCAAATTTGTAAATTTCTTGACCCTTGGTCTTGGGTTCTGGTGTTAGGGTAAGGCTTTGTTGAATCTGTAGTGAATTCAAAATGCATTGTACCTGTGAAATTCTTCTCTGCTTCTGGGCATATCGGAAGCAAACTGAGTAAAAGTTTAAATGATATGGTAAGTGTATTTCTACCAGATTTTTAAACATCTGGACCATTCGTCTAAGCATTCTGGTCCTGGGCAGGGCTCTATTAACTTGTATTCTACTGAGAGAAGTTATTCCCCTTTTCCATTCACCTTTGATAATTAAACACTGTAAATAATGTATTTGAAAGGTTAATAGAATAAGATAATTATGCAAGAATGTTTATCCTATAATTCAAAAAGTACTTTCTTAGTTTTAATAATCAGGTAGACTTGTAAGTAATAGATAAATAAAAATGAGACAAAAGTAACTTATCTTATTAAAAGTTCTTCAAAGACCATAAGAGAGGTCAATGCTAGAGGTCTTAATATGGGTTTAAAAATATTACAGAAGCACTAATAGTTTGTTAATAGTCTGCATGGTGACAGTGTTAAGTGGGGGACAGATTAGAACTTAATTTATGAGTTGATAATGAATACTAGACTAATTATTTTGTTGATCCTGATCTTCCTACTTCTCTTGCTTTAGGGCAACAATGCATCATCTGTCAGTTTATTTAACTTCTAAATTGTTGTATTATACTCAGGTGACCGTTAAGGCCCTTGGGCCTCTTGTTTGATTAATGTCATGGTAACAGAGAAGAATTTAAAAATATTTCAAAAACTTCAATAAAGCTTTCCAGTGAAAATTATTGCAATTAATGAAGTAAAAGGGGAGATAATCTTAAGCTATTTGTACTATAAATTAAAGTAAGTTATACAAGACATTTTATAGTCTTTAAAGATTTCCACACCAAAACCAATTAAAAAAAATTGTACAATGTTTGATAGCTTTTAACCCCCATTGAATTTTTAAGGTGGAAGCATTGACAAGATTGAGTGTGTGACCTCTGATGGTGACATCCCATCCTACAGCTCAGGAGAGATGTTGACATGTTACCCTGACAGCGGACTTGTGTGCAGGAATGCTGACAACTTCCCTGTACCATGTTCTGACTACAAGATTCGGTACCACTGTCAATGCTGTAAGTACTTGTTCACAACTTCCTACTTCTTAGTGAAAAGAAAACCGCATGGAAAGTGTGTCACTAGTACAATTGCAGATGTCATAAATATCCCATTTCTTGCAAAATTCATATCCCCACTATATCCAAACAAAATGCAAACTTCTGTTTGACATGTAACTAAAAGATTAGATTTTAGAAAGACTAGCATTGTCATACTCCATTCCAGGCCTCATAATTCCACTGTTAGAGAAAACTTGTTTAAGAGTGTAACTTTTATTATAGAAAAGAATTAAGTTGCTGTATAGAAGATTAGATTTTATAAGGGATCCTAATCTAGATTTACAATATGTCATCTAATTGAATGTGACATCATATTCATTTCAGCTGGACCAATACCAGGTAAAAATCTTAGAACCACCCCAAGTCCAAACCAGTCCCAGACCACTAAGAATACACCCACCAATATCCCGACAGTCTGTAAAGCCTCAATGGGAATGGAGAGCAAACAAATTCGTAATGAAATGATCACAGCCTCGAGTTTCCGTGATGCCAATAGCAGCCCAGAGAAAGCCCGACTGAACACTAATGGATTCTGGATGCCGGCTATGGACACAAAGTCTGAATACCTACAGATTGACTTCCTACAGCAGGCATACTTAACTGGTATCACCACCCAGGGCCGTCCTGATGCCCCTACATACGTTACCTCATACAAAGTTCAGTTCTCCACAGACGGCATCAACTGGAATATGTACAGAGAGACAGGGGCAGAAAAGGTATAGAGATGAAAGTTTTAAAATAAATCTTGATTTTACGCCTTACCAGGTCCTTTCCTACAGTCAAATAAATTTATAGCGAACACTCTTATTATGAATTCATGGTTACAGCAAAATGATTTTTATTCCCGCAGTATTAAAATGTACATGACTTATGGAATGACATATGTTTCTCAAAAATCAAAATTGGTCATTCCTGTCATTTTGTTACAATGTGTTGTACAGTATCCAGAAATCTTATATATAATTCCATATGGTTTTAAAGAATACTGTCCAAATTAAAAAGGCTTTAAAAAGTTCTTCAAAGGATCAAATTTTCAATGAATTGTACTTTATTTTGAAGATTTTCAGTGGAAACTTTGATTCCTCTACACCAGTGACGTATTACTTCACCAGTCCTCTTCACGCCAGATTCCTAAGAATCCTTCCACAGACATGGCAAGGAAAAATAGCACTGAGAGTGGAAGTCATTGGCTGTCCTGTGACCTATCCCAGTATGTCAAGCTCAAAAAAAAAATAAGAAAAACTGTGTCTTTTTTTAAATTAGTTTTAACACCTAAGCCTATGTGTGCTGCATTGTCAGGCAGATTTAACATATATTTACATTTGTTTATCCTATCCTGGTATATCTATTTCCAGGAAAGAAAAGAAAATCTGTTTCTTTTTTGAAAAAATATTACAGAAATAGCAGATTTAACAAATATTTCTATTTTTTAGCCACCACCCCACTACCCACTCCTAAGCCTACGACTGCTGCATTGACACCAGCCCTAAAACCTGGAGTCACTTCAACCATAAGTAAGTCTTATTCTTATTCTACATCTTGTTTCACTGATTAGGACAAAGTGTTTTATCTGGCCAAAGAATTTTATCATTTTGGTGATACATGTACCCCGGCACATGGAATAGGAAATATAATAATTACTGCTTTATTTCATTATTCAACAAACTTAACTAATGAGGATTACATGTATTAATAGGGAATTCCATTCCCAAAGAAAAATATAAACTAAAATAATTTCAACTTGGTTTTAAAAAAAGTAGTTTATTAAGATATCCAAATTTCATCAATTTTTGCAGGAGAATCTTGTGTCCAGTATGATACCTGGGTTAATGTGGGTCACAACACACCTGGATCTACAGGTGACAGAGAACCAATTGACAAGGTGAAAGAGCTGTCACACAACTGTCAGAATCCACTCAAGATTCAGTGTCAAACCGTAGGGGGCATGGCCTATGACCAGACGGGACAGATTGTCAGCTGTAACCTGTGGGAGGGTCTGACCTGTAACAATATGGACCAGTTTGACCCCACAGGGTGTTTGGACTACAGGGTCCGACTCGGTTGTTTAAAACAGACTCCAGAGTGTGGTATGTAACTATTATAAAAAGGCATTTTTCTTATAGGTAAAAACGCTGGTGTTTTTTTACCTTGCAAAAAAAAATATAAAAGGAGCAGTGACTTACTTAAAATTGAATTCATTTGTATTGATATTAACAAAAGACATCATCATAATCTTAAAAATGTTAAAAGTTGCCAAAATATATTGTCATTTTATTTCTCTGTACAGTTCCAATGCCCAACACAAACCTACACAAAACAGTGGCACCCGTTTTGAACCCTCATGTGGTTCCATGCTTTGAGGGACTTGACACCTCCCAATGTCCGAACTGTTCTGCTGGTCTCTACTGTGATGGAATGAGATGTGTGAAGAAAGCGGACTGTACATGTCAATACAATAACAAGATTATCATGGTAGGTCCACAGCAGTTTATGTGTTTTCAAAGAGACCTCTAAATTAAATTGGGTAGATTTTGTAGAGGGGGATAGAGGAAGCCAAATAAATTTAGCTCAAAATTAAATAGATCTTTATCAGGTCACCTGAGCCACTCAGGTTACCTATTGCTATCTGTTTTTTGTCCGTTGTCGTGCTTTGTTTTTCATCTGTCATTCATCTGTCGTAAACTTTCAAACATTTTCAGCTTCTTCTCTTGAACCACTGAGCTATCAAACAGTCAAACTGTTGGCATAATTTTAATGAGCTTTGAGCCTTCTACCAAAATTATGAAATTCATGGCCCCAGGATCAGGAATTCAGGAGATAAGGCGAGCTCTAATGATCATACAGTTAAAATGCATAAATTCTTTAAAAATATTACTCTCTCCCCTTGCATAGTTAGCAGATAAACTAGCTATATATATCCGTAGATGAATATGATGATCAAGGGTGCCTCTAAAATGTGAAATTTGTGACCCCAGAGTCAGGGATTGGGGACTCTATTGATTATACAATGATAATGCATTATTTCATTCAAAATCTTCTTTTTGTGGGTATTAAGCAAACAAAGTAAGTGCATAGTTATGATAGCAAGGGTGCCTCTTCCAAAACTGTGAATTTCAGTTGCCCCTGGGTTAGGGGTTCTGGTGTTAGGATGGGGCTCTGTTGATTATATAGTGAAAATGTATTGATTCTTTGAAAATCTTCTCTGCTTCCTTGTATTTAACAGAGAAAATAAGTGCATGGTTATGATGACCATAAGGCACCTTTTCAAAAATTGTGAAATTTGTTGCCCATGGGTAAGGGGCTCGAGGACGGGGCCTCTTTTGATTATATAATGAAAATGCATTTTACTCAAGTTACTGTTAAGGCCCTTGGGCCTCTAATTTCATTAGATGAACACAGGCCAATTTGATTTTACTTAAACGTTTTTGTCATTGTAGAAATCGGACATTGTTACAACAGATATGTGTGAGACTTGTCAGTGCTACAGTGGTGAACTAAGATGTGTTCCTAAGAGCTGCCCACCTTGTTCTGCTGTAAGTGTATGGCTCAGAAAAGGTGTTAATAGGTCATTCATTTATATAGGACATATAAGATATTTATATAGGACATATAAGATTTTTCCCTACATGAATATGTGAACTCTGATTATGTAATCTTTGCTTTGCAAGTCAGTAAATCTTGGTTATAAGATGAGTCACTGGGACTTTAAATTTTCCTTATTATTATCTAAGATTCTTGATATCTATATAAGAAACGAAGTGCAAAGTCTTCTACTGGATTTATAAATGTATCTATATAACCAACGCTTCCTTATAACTGAGTTGTACTGCATTGAGGAACTTGAAACATGTAATGCAAGTTGCAGTCTATCAATTAAGTGTTTCATTCATGTACAGGGTGAAACAAAAGTAGTCAACATGACTAGCTGTAGCTGTTCATGCAAGTCATGTGATGCCAACCAATTCAGATGTGGAAACGGACAATGTATCCCAGCATCCTCCAAGTGTGATGGTGTCATCGATTGCGACAACGATGAAGTTGGATGCTGTATGTCATTCATACAATGACTTTATTTAAAAATCTCAATAATAATGTTGCACAATTTAAAATAGATAATGTACAGAGACTTCCAAAAACTGTTATTAGATATTTTGTTACATTTTGATTTTTAGTGGTACAACCTCATTTCACACCTCCTTCTATCCCCACGCTGTCACCAGTTCCCGGCTCTCACGTGGTGCCAGTCCACCAGTCAACCCCATTTCATGATGGCCATCAGACGCACACCAAACCTCAAAGTAAGTGATGGAAATTAAATTCTTGTCTTAAGGATACAGTGAAAACAATATGGCTCAGATGAAAGACTAAATTTTTTTCCTTCAAATTTTGTGTTATGTTTTAACAAGATGTACTATAATGCAAAAGAATCTAAAAGGAATATATTAACCGAGATTAAATTTCCCTAATATGTACTTAGGCAAAGCTAGATGACTTAGATACATTTATGTTAACTTATTTACATATAAATATAGACAATGTCAACAATGACAGTAATCAAACGTAAGAAGTCTTTTTTTATTGCTTAGTTAAATATCTGTGATTCCTGAACAGAAAAGCAAGAAAAAGACTTCCACAATATCCTCAAACTATATGCACTAGTATGTAATGTAGGTCTAAGTTGTGTATCATGTAGTATTTGTTTATTTATGAGGCCAAATATTAATATTTAGAAATTCTGAATCCAAAAATGTTACTGTTTAGTTGAGAAAACATTTTTTTGCAGAATGAAATTCAAATAAAGGGGTTGGGGATTCTTAGAAACAAAGGTACAGTAATATGGTATGTAGAAAGACGTGTATACTTTACTGTGAAATAAAATTTATTTCAGCTTGCCACTCTCGCTGGTCAGGCTGGATGAACACGCACCACCCTGGGGACCCAGGAAGCCATGGGGATCATGAGCCCTCTGCCGCTGAATTTTCCAAAACCAACAATTTCTGTACTAGTGGCTCTATAACAAAGGTTGAATGTTACTCTGTCTCAATGGATGCCCCTGCTGAGTCCTCGGGCGAGATCCTGACCTGTACCCCCGAAAGGGGACTCGTGTGTGACGACTCGGACAATTTCCCCATCCCGTGTGGCGATTACAAGATCAGATACTTCTGCGCATGTGGTACATAAAACATTTTCACAAAAATATATTAGACATTCTTTTGATCAAATTGATTTTCACGTGTAAGGTGTTGGACTTGTTATAAATTGTATGTTTTTTTTTAAAATTTGTAATAAGTGATGTATAGTAAGGGCTATTCCTGCAAAATATCATAGGGCTTGGAAGGCAGCTGTTTTTTTTTTTTATATGGTTGGTGATGCAGGAAAATTTTGATGCATCAGTGACTGTTAACTGGCTCAATTAAGATTTGTAAATGGTTATTAAGGGTAATAAATTGTTGTTAATTTTTGTAGCATATTAATAAAGTTATGAAGACTGTGGTTTTGTTTGTTTTCTTTCATAAGAAGTCAAAATTAATTCAGAAAGTTCACAGTTTCATAGAATCAGTTCCAGCAATTAATGCACACGTGAAATGGGCAGATGACTTAATTTCAGTGAACATATTTTACCCTTATCAGAGAGAAAGATTTGCAGTAAAGATGCCCCCACAAGTGAAAAGAATTATTAATATGTTTCTGGAGATTTTGTTGAACTTGTGACATTTTACTAAGAGTGATCAATAATCCTACCAAGAACAAGAGATATACTCTGCTTTTGAAAAATCTGAGAAGATGTTTATGAAGATCTGAATAAAAGCTGAAGTTATTAGTAAATAACTGATTTTGTGAGTGATTGTCTATGAGTGGGTATTAGTATATAAATGATTATCTGGTAGTAGTCCTATTTTTGTTTCAATTATGTATTGGTGAAAAATGTAGATTACTATTTTACATTAATTCCAGAGAAATGCTCTCCAGCTCTCCATTCCCATGGAATTCTTTTGCTGGAATAGCCCTTTAAAAAATACTGTACATTGTTAAACAGTGAGAAATGAACACAATTTAATGTCCATTGTAATGAATAAGTGATTTCCCCTTTTCAGCTAACAATACCTCAGTTGTTTCCCCAGTCACAACACCAGTCCCTCAGCCCTGTGAGTAAAGTCTATTTAAAATCTGAAAAAAAAAAATATACTTACATATATAAGAAATCACAACAAACCTGACCATGTAGCATATTTGTTAGTGTTATTAGAAAAATGAGGCAAGCTTAAACATGTATAGGTTTAATTGTGGATCTGTGTCATTTCCTACTTCTTGCAGAATGTTCTTCAGTTTTTAGTGTTCAGATTAGCAACATATTCTAATTTTGTCCGTAGCTTGTGATTCTGTCCACTGCCAAGCTCTGGTCAAACCTCCCATGATGCCCGGAGAAGTGGCTCGTATTGTGAAGACTTCCGATGGGTGCTGTGATAAGTATGAGTTGGTTTGTAAACCAGAAACCTGTACGATTCACCCCCTGACTTGTACCCCTCCTCAGCTGATGAAGAATATCAACCCAGGGGAATGCTGTCCAACATTCCAGTGTGGTATGTACCTCTGACATTTGAAATTCAATTAAGACTTATAGGGGTTGGGAGCGGATGGTCAATGGTTTTTGCTACACAGCAAATTAGTCCTTGTATAAGTATTTTAAAAAAATTTTAATCATTAAAAATAATGGCATGATATTTGACTAGTATGAAATATGAACACGGATATGGTCTTAAAGTGATATTTTAGTAGGGAGATGTGCTAATTTAAAAAATGTTTTTTAATTGTCTGTCAGAATATTTAAATATAAATTTATTTATTCATAATAAGTGAAATTCAAATTTTCAGTATTATACATTGGAGGTTAAAATATTTAATGCTGTATGAATGCTTCTCGTTATAGAGTGCCCAGCAGTGTGTCCCACCGCAGTTAAACCGACATGTCAGGCGGTAAGTATTATTATTATGTAACATAACTTTAAATAACAACTCTCATAATTTAGATAAAATTCAATTAATTAACTGCTCTTAAGGATCCTTTAAATGATATTTTTAGGGAAAAGTTGCAGTGCCAGTCGATACTACTTGTAATTGTACCAGTTACACATGTGGTAAGTTCTAACAGTAATTGTACCAGTTACACATGTGGTAAGTACTAAAAGTAATTGTACCAGTTACACATGTGGTAAGTACTAACAGTAATTGTACAAGTTACATATATGGTTAGTACCAACAGTAATTGTACTATTACATATGTGGTAAGTACTAATAGTAATTGCACCAGTTTTGCATGTGGTAAGTACATGTACTAACAGTAATTGTTCCAATTACATATTTGGTAAGTAATAACAGTAATTGTACCAATTACACATTTGGTAAGTACTAAAAGAAATTGTACTAATTACACATATAATAAGTGCTGCAGTTTGCAAGTTACATATACTGAAACGCAACAAGCAGTAAACTTCAAATATTTGAATTTTTTAACTAATGATTTTCAAAAATGAATACAGTAAGGTAAAAATCGATTTATAAACATCAGAGATTTGATAAAAATGTTGAATTATAATCTTTTAACTTTAGAAAGTTACACATGAATGTTAAAACATTCCCCATCCCGGCCATCCAATTACAGCGTGCAAGACTGCCATTTACAACAGTTGCAGCTTGATTTCTACGATGCAATAGGTTCATCAATCTCGAGATCTGAGCAAAAGAGATATTCTTTGCCTGTTTTTCAGATGATGAGGTCGAATTTTCTCTAGCCAGGCGCAGTGTAGTACCCTTGGACTTCCGGTCCAAGGACTGTCATTCATGCTAATGATATGTAAGAGCCTGTTGAGGCGTGATGTATTGGTTTTTTGCGTCTGCAACTCTCCATCACCTTTATTTTGAGATTTTCCAGCTAGAACAATGGAAATGGGTACTTAAGTCATTTTTAGGAAGCCTTGGCATCACTTACGGAAAAGAAAGAAGAATTTATTTTTCGTAACATTGTTTCATTACTTATGTTGAACAGATACAAGTTCTTAAAACCCCATATTATTGCCAAATATTTTGTTAAACATGCAATTTTTTATTTCTGTTAAGCGGACTCAAACTTAACTTCCGGTAATGGTTTAAAAATCATTCAACCGATAAATTACCGATATTTACAAAGTTGAAGATGTCTTTACTTTTTAGATACAAAATTATATCCTTTATATAATATTTCCCCCTAAAATAGGATGTTGCGTTTCTTTTGCGTTTCAGTATATATGCATGTAGTGGCCACCTCATTAAAATACCAGTTTTCACATGGTATATACTACTGTATTTATACCAGACAAAAATGTAGTAAGTACTACAAAAAGAATTTTAAATATGGCTCTTTCAAATGATGTAGCTGCTATCTCTGTACACTGTAATATACATGTAGTTATAATATAGCTGTGTTTAACATGTATACTTTACTCCTCTACGATTATGGGTTGACCATTACTCGTTATGATTCCAGTGAGTCGTGTCCCATTAGACTATGGACCTGCAGTCTGTTGGTACAAACACTCTAATGGTTCAAGCCTTTCCTACAAGGTAAAACTTCAGACAGTTTGAAAGTATTTTCTTGGAGCCTTAAAATCATCCTTTTAACAGGAATCTTCTATGATTTTGCATAGAAACAAAAAATACTGTAAGATTAGGTATATAATGCTACCTATAAGGCTAACATCAAACCTTTAATAATAAAAAGTTTTCAATGTTGTCTAATTTCATTAATCGCAATATTTTTTATTACATATTTCATATTTTTAGATGAATAATTATGTAATTGAACACATTCAAACTTACAAATTCAAGCTTTTTGAAGAACATGGAAATTTTTTTTCTCTATTTTTAATAGAAGAAGCTGTATATCCTATTTCTAGAGTACTGACTAATAATTTTGTGTCTATATTAGGTGAATGAAACCTGGACAGATGGAGCATGTAAATCCTGTGAATGTGAGAAACGACTGGGAGGAAATGTCGAGACAGTATGTCACAGAGAGAGATGTAAAGCCTGCCCTCTGGTGAGTATGAAACAAGGGAGATAACTGAATGTGAGGAGAGATGTAAATCCTGCTTCTGGTGAATACTAAATAAGGGAGATAATTGAATGTGAGAGGTATGTCATTTAGAGAGATGTAAGGACTGCCCTCTGGTGAGTATTAAACAAGGGAGACTGTCTTCTTGTGAATACATGTACTAAACAAGAGGGATAATTGAATGTGTTAGAGTTTAGTGTGTGTGTTAGGGTGGGGGGTTGGGAGGACACTGGGAGAGTTGAGAAGCTTTAATACCCTCTGGTGAGTACTAAACAAGGGAGATAATTGAATATGAGGCTATATTACTGGAAGAGATGTAAAGCCTGCCCTTTGAGAATTATAAAACAAGGGCGATAACTGCATATGAACATTCATGGGAGGAACTGTGGCAACAGTGTGTCACTTAGAGAGTTGTGTAGACTTTTTTTCTGAGAGTATTTATGAAGGGAGATAATTGAGAGTGAGTTAAATTGGAGGAAAATCACAACTATCAAGTTTTACAAGAGGGAGTTGTAAATGTTGTTGATTTATTTTCAAAAAAAGAGGAGAAACTATTTGTTTCTATTCAAAGCTTCAGTCATTGAACTTGGTTTCAATTATCTAAGTGAATATTTTTGTATTCACAGGGCACAACTTTAGACAATAGTGACCCTAACAGCTGCTGTGGTACGTGTAAAGAGACAGGGTGTGTGGTGGATGGAAATGTTTACAGGGTAAGTACTGCTGACAAAATCAAAGTAATAATTTATGAGTGATTGTTAGTATATAACGAATACCATTTTACTGTGCATATTTCAGTGCATATTTCATATATACAGTAATAAAAATACCTGTCATCCTCAATCAAGATGTACATTTGCCTTGTCAACATTTGGTGAAAGATTTTAATTCTGAAAAATTCTTGATATCTTGAAGACAAATTAATGTGGCAAAATTTTGTGGAATTCACCTTTGATGGCTACTTAGTACTCTAATCTTTCTTGTACAACAGTTTGTATAACTGCAAAATTCTAAATACTGTACATATACATAAATTGACGTATTCGAAATTTAGTACACTCTCTGGGTATTGAGAGGATGACTCAATCATGAATCAGCGATATAAATGTCTGTGCTATGTATCGTATTCAAAAATGATTTATTTACGTTATTCACGAATTAGTGCATTGTTGTCCGTGCTAAAGCTGCTACAACATGAAGCCAGCTGTTCACAGCTACGAATCTAAAGAAATGTTCATGTGATTTCTCTATTACCCTAGGATGGAGAGGCAATACCAAATGCAATGAAATGCTACACAAAGACCTGTTCAGCAAGTTCATATGGCTTCCTGATAAAAGAAACACAAATACAATGTCACACAGACAATCTCCCAGCATGCAAAGGGGTAAGTTAACTTCCTGTTTGGAACAAATATAAAACATATCCCTTAGCAGTGTTTAGGTTCTCTGGTAAAAATTTTTATTTAAATAAATATGTAGCATGTTCAATTTGTGCATGTGTGTAACTGCAAACGAAAGTTATAGTGGAATTTGAGTTTTAATATAATAAACTTTTTTCAGAATACAACAGAGTATGACCAGTCAGGGTGCTGTCCTATGTGTATACTAACACGTAAGTTTGAATTACTGTAACTCTTGAATTTCCTTGTAAACCATTAACATTTTTATTGTCTTTAGTCAGGAAAATGCACTGTACATGAAGAAAAAAGAATATTTTGAATAACATTTTTATGGACAAAACTAATAGACTTTAAACCTAAGATTAACTTAGCAAAACTTGATTATAGTGAATTTTATTGTTTGTTTTCTTTTCTTTCAGCTACAAGTTCCAACCTTGTAGGTTCCAGCAATAGCTGTTCAACCTGCCAACCCACTCTACAGTTTGGAAACCCAGTATTGACAGTAGGCTATTTCACTCTCACAGAAGGAACTGTGACATGTAGAAACGAGCAACCTGTAGCCGATCTCATGCAGTGCTCGGGTCATTGTGAGTCCCAGGCTACCTATACAAACGTTATGAAGGGATTCACAAATAAGTGTAATTGTTGCCAGCCCATACGAACTGTTACAAGGACTGCCGTTCTCACGTGTTCTGACAAAACCACACGAACCAAATCGTACACTGTTCCTGAAGTGTGCGGATGTAGAGCTTGTACCAGTGGAACCTGATTGGACGATTACAATTAAATCTCATTTACCCCCCGTTTTTGACCAGTATTTAGTTTAAAGACCATATTTTATACAAAGACATGTTTTTTTTATGAATATATATTTTTAACTTCTCATCCTAGGTTGTATATATATTTTTGTGCTATTTTGTTGTTGTTCATCTTCAATCTCATGTTATATAAATAAATGCAACTGTTACAATTTTTAATTATTATTTAGATAATTAATTATATAGGGATAAAAAGGATGTACAGGGATTTGGGTACAAGGGATTATATTCCATACACCTAGATGCTGAAAGGTGTGTGGAATACAAACTGGGGTAATTACCTGTGCGACCGTGATTGAACCTGGATAAAGAACTAATTTCCAAATAAACCAAACCAAATAAATACAATATCCAGGTCCAATCAATGGTGTATCAAACAATTGATAAAATTTACCACATGCTACAATTCATCTTTGACCCTGACTTCAGAGGGTGTAAGATAAACACCTGGCGTGTTCACTAATCAAACTCGTGTTACAAGTTACATAAGAAATAAGGAGTATTACAGATACAGAGCATGGAAAATTTAGACATCTAGCTACATCTATTTGTACAATACGGGATTGAAATCAGTGGTATGCTGCATTAGTCTAATAAACAGAAATTCAGATATCATTGCTTACAGAATTATATAATTAAGCATTGCCGTAATTGATTTATTGCGTCCAGATCATAAACTAGGAAAAGTAGCATTTTGTGAGATCCATATAAAATATGTAGAAGAAGAAGAAATTATGCATCCCCCAGTGGGATATTTGCATTTTTGAAGAAAAATCACTGATTATTCGTTTTAAGTTACGATATGACACCTCGTACCTTTCCCTGACATCGAAAGCTCTTATAGAGAATTATTATGTATCATGTTTTGGACTGCTAGTGCACCAAGTTTTCTTGAAATCAGATCAAAACTTTGAGAAGTGTGGCATTTTGAGAAGAAAACGTTTGACTAGAATAACAAGTGTCTGTAATGGGCTTGCTTGATACTCTGTCGTTGTTTAACTTCTTATATATAACTGTTCTAAAATTCTGTATGCACTCTGAGCCTTCATGAAATGATGTGCAGTGGAGCCTAGTTAATCCGATAATCAGTAATTTGGACGCTTATATTCACCTTTCGGACACAGTTTGTGGGAATATATTTTTAGTATATATAATTTATAATTTACATTATTTATTTACATTATTATAATTTACATTTATATTAACCAATAATAAAAAAATTCCTGACACTGCACTAATCTGGACAATTGTAATAAGCACAAGCTTCCAGATTAACGCTGCTATATACATGATATAGTAGGTTTTTTTTGTAAAAAATAGAGATGAAATATGTATCTTTTCACATACCTCTGCATAAAACCTAGCTACATCGATAAGATTTCGTCATCTGTACAAATAAGAGTCCGAAATTAAAGAGTTTTCCAAACAAAAGGCCCTTTGGAGGAACGTTACAGTAGCAAATCAAAATTTCACAAAAATATGTAGTTTTCGGGGAATTAAAAAGTTTAGATAACATCCCTTATTCACCCATTTAATGATGATTTAAGGACATAACCGGAATAAATCTTAGAGATTCTGTGTCATCATGTGTCAGGGAAACAGAACCCCATAAACCTAGAGCTTCACCGTGGATTTTACACAAAAACGTTATTTTCCAGAATGACAAAAAATAGGGCAGTATCCTGATACATCCATTTTAATGATGAGTTAATTTAAAGCATAACCAGGTACAGTCTTAGAGATTCTGTGGACACAGTCATAATGTTGGTCTGAATCATCCAGAAAAGGGGCGTCTCCACGTACTAGGAACACACTAACTTAATGTCCAATTCATTGTGGATTATCTCTTTCAGAGAACTAAAATTTTTTACAAAAGTTATGTATCAAATGAATCATTGATTTCACAAGATTTTTTCCTCGTCAGAGAGAATGAAATTCTCCGTTCACTGTACGTCCTTATAGTTTCTTTTTATTTCCTTTTGCTACAGAATCACATCTTTGACTTTGTCGGCTGGGGTCATATTTGACATCTGTCTACCTACGCAGAATCAGATGGGGACCAAAAGTCACCGACGAGAGAGTGGACATCGCCAGTCATACAAATCACGTAAAGTTTCCCTGTTTTAAAACCTTGTGGAATAAAATTGGGTTTTGACTTTATTCCAATAAATCTCATTCTTGATTTGCAACTCATACACATCAGTGTGGCAAACATAGATAAAAAAATCTAGTAGCGCATTTTTTTTAACTCAAATGACCTGTCTGTGTAGGTTCATTTTGAGACGTTTTGAAATACCGCAATATATTGGTGTTACAGAGTGGGATTTCCCTCGATAGTAGGATAATGCGTTACTTTGAATTGGTTGTGTGTATAGATATATTAAAAGATATCTTTTATTTCTATTACAAAATAAATTCAAAGAACCTTGGCCTTATTACATGGTTTTAAAATACCATTAAAACATCTGAAACATTGGTAGTCATTTGCTCCTTCTTTCTTGCCAGGACAAAGGTGCAAGTTCAGCAAAATCTTGACAACTTGTATTAATAATAAATGCATCTAAATTAATCAAAAAAGTTATAGATTATAATTTTATTATTCATAATGGTTCAAATCCATTTTGTGAAAGTATGTTGGTTATATCTTTCTCTATTTCATCTGGATTTTTGAGCAAAAAAAAGTTGGAGTCTTTTCTTGTTCGAAAAAATAACCAAAAAACCATTAGAGAACCATCAAAATACGCGAATTTTGCACAATGCACTAAAATATCTATTTGATCATTAAGTTAATTTAATTTCCATTTGCGTCCTAGAAAAAAAATATAAAAATAGTGCAATAATTAAAGAAGAGGTTTCTATAAGGCTGTTTTTTTGGTCCATGTTTTTTGCGAAAAATGAAATTGGATTGTCTTCAAGTTTAAACTTATTTTCATTATTTTCAACATGTCTAATTTTGTGCTGTATATTTTTTGTGAGAATAAAATTCGGATAATATTGGAATAAACGATGAAAGTATGGTACCTTCAACCACTTTAACTTTGAGTATATAGGAAATTTTGGAGGGTTGTGTTGTTTAACTTCCTAGTACGTGTTGCATTGAGAACCAAAACCATATTTTGATAATTGATTACGTATATGTACAGGAACATTGTACAGGAATATGGTTGTGGTTCGCAATGGAACACGCACTAAGATACAAATGACTTTGCTAATTTTGCAATTTGTTGAGTTGTGGTTAATTCATTCAAATATTTAAAGTGATCGATACATATTCATGACATGGTCCAATTAATCAAACAGATTAATTATACCCCCGCTTCGAAGGAGAGGGGGGTAAACTGTTTTACCCTTGTGTATCTGTCTGTCTGTCAGTCTGTCTAGCTGTGTGTCTGTCTGTAACAAATTTTCATCGCAGTTTTCTCGGCAACTACTAATAATAGATTCTTTATGCTTTTAGCACACTCTTTATTTAGGCATGTCATATGGTGGGATTCATTTTTGTATGCATCCAATGTCCACTTCCTGTTTATCTGTGCGTCTGTCTGTACCAAATTTCTGTTGCAGTTTTCTCGACAAATACTCATTGCAGATGCTTGAAATTTTAGCACAGTCTTTTAGGCATGTCATATAGTGGGATCCATGAGAGCCTATCAGAGCGGGGGTATTATTATTGGTGAGCATTGGCTCACGGACTTTTTGTTATATAAGCATAATTATGATGTCATGAAAGAAAAATTTATCCTATTTATTATAATATGCCTGTGTCGGTCTGTGAGGAAAACCACAACTTTGACATTAGAGACGGTTGTTGCAATATGTAAAGATCAAGCTCAGACTTATTGTTTCACAGTAAACAAAATAATTGTTTAATGAAAATCTAAGTCAGTTTCTTGCTTTGGGTATGTTGCTGCCTCACACATTTAACGTATGTTTTTTTTCCATTTCTAAAACCAAATGCCATCAGTACCCGGCTCTTTTAAACTTAATGTGAATTTGAATTTTACAAGATGCTGTTGATGATGTAGTTTGTACCTCGATCAGTCTAAAATTTATTGCTCATATGACCAGTGGTATTATCAATGATTGAGTCAGTTGTATAGTTTTGAAAAAAGAAATGCTGAAAGTCCCTACCATAACCTGTTTATCCGTTTATATCTCCTTTGTGGTGAATTGCGAGAAAGAAATATTTTCTGTACATTTTACACTTGGATATTGAAGATAAATGTGCAATTCAACACGTATCTTTACTGTTGCAAAGACCTGTAATCTGCGACTGGAGGACTCCTCAGATGTCAGGGGAGATTTTCTGAATGGTCATCCCTGGGACACAGTAGTAACTACTTAAATGAAGACATTCTGACACTCTCTCCTTTTTTTGAGATCGATATGTAAATAGCCACACAAAGTAAAGGTAGAAAAAAAGTTACCTCCAAATAAAACAAACAGAATCTCTAAATGTAAACTAATATAATGCTGGTCTGTTGAGAGCAAGAATTCAATCATAATCAATCATATCTTCATGAGATATCTGTAGATACTAGTATCTATCAATGACACTTATCATTTACCCCCAATCACTGGTTATTATTGACAGTGCAAAGTATTATCAAGAACTATTGTTTGATGTACACAATTTGGTACCTGCGGTTTCAAAAACATTTCGAAGATACGTTCCTCACGAAAATGGGCACAGACATGGATTCAAATGATAAATCATTAGAATATAAAAATGTATATAAAATGAAGTTTGAGAATAGACACATCTTCCATCGAATTTCTATAAATAAAATATAATATTACACAAGTGTATGGGAATTGCTATTTTTATACCTATAAATCCTTATGCATGATATACATGTAAATAATGTATAACTGCCTGTTTATTATTAGTGCATAGTATACACTTTCAGAATCAATTCTAAATGCACAATGAATTTTTATTCCAAAAATCCCATTAGCCATGCAAAAGAATTTAAGAGATTTTTACACTTTTTAGGTGTCTATCTAAATCAAATACTTAGAAATCGGTGTGCTTACTTGCGTAGAGGTCTTTTTTCTAAACTTGTAAACGTATGTAGGACTTGCAAGCAACGTTGTTATTTTAATGATACGTCACAATATATGATATTTCTTAAAATTAAAAGCTTTTGTTTTCATGACTGATTATTTTTCATATCTTTTTATGTTATTATAAATAGCAAATATATCGAACAAGAAAGCGTACACCATTTCCATCGAATTTTTATGGCTACAATTACAGAAATTTTCTTTTCCAAAACAATATTTTATTTTTCAATTAGCCTTTTGTGTTACTTCAGCCCTGTTCTATGTTCCCTGGTGATATACTGTTAATCTTTCTTTGGTTTTTCACAATGAATTGTCTACTACATGTAATAAATAGTCATAACCCTCTTAAACGCTTTTAGAGGGACCCTTTAGATACCCCTTGGTCATGTGACAAATATACGTTGGTTTTGCAAATAAATATAACAGAGGAAACATAACTAGACATTACTAAATAAATTAATTTAAAATTCATAATGAGCCTAAAACAGCTAGCCTTATTGAGCCCTGTCCTTTGTTGTCTTGTGAAAATAGCTGTTGTATTCAGGAGATTTACAACATTTTATTAATTGGTTGTCAAAACATGATAACCATATTCTTTTCAAGCATGGATCCAGGAATTTTTTCCAGGGGGGGGGGGGACAAAAAAGATTCCAACCCAGAAAATTCTTGACAAGCAAAAAAAAAAAAAAAAGAAAAAAAGAAAAAAAAAAAAAGGAAAAAAAGAAAGAAAATCAAAACAAAACAAAAATAAAAAAACAGAAACAAAAACAAAAACAAAACCCCCGTAAAATCCAGTTCCTAAACGTGAAAAACACCTATTTCGTGGTGGTGATGGTGGGGTCCACGTTTTCTAGGGGGGTCCAAAGTCATTTTTTGTCTGCTTCAGTATATACTTTTAATACCTCTGCAAATTCCATCGGGGGTCCGGACCCCCCGACCCCTCCTCCCCCCACACACACTCTAGATCAGCGCATGCTTTTGCGTTTTGCATTAATTTACTGGTACTGGGTGGGAATAAAACCATCATATAGAACATGCCATCTATTATGAATTATTCTGTATTTGATTTTGTGTGAACGAGACGGAGAAGCTGAGTGTTACTCTAAGTCACGCACAAAACACCTGTTTCAAGAATTGGTGGCTGGTATAAGACATAGTATTATTTTTTTAATTAATTCGTGGGCACAAAAAAAAATTTATAACCATGTACAGGTCCCATAACAGCCACCGAAGGGGATTATTTAATTCATTATAAATATTTTATTCTTTAGTGATCAGTACATTTGTAAGGCTCTCGTATGGGGGGGGGGGGGGGTTCTACACGTGTCTTTATAGTATATCGTTCTGGAGAATGAAACAATTGTTCAAAATTAATTTTCATCGTAAGCAGACGTTGACATGATTCTAGAACATACCAAAAGGTTGATTTGTAATTTATCCCCGACAAAACTTTAAAGGGTATATGCAAAGGCCACTGCAATAATTTCTGTTTGTTACGAACGCCATAAAAAACCGCATCGAAATCCATGCAGTAGTTACAGAGTTATTCCGCTTGTAAAATGTCTATTTTTACCTGTACCGGAAATCCAATCAAGAGAAAATAGAAACACCCGAAAACGAGGCTCAGTTTGTGTGACGTCACAAAGAGGACGATGGCGGCGAATACAGATAGTGTTTATAGCGATTATAGCGACGAAAACAGCGATAGAGACTGTGGTTCATCAAGTTTTGAGGAAATGATCGATAAGATGACCAATTTGGGTACACAACCTTATCTTTTTGAGCCTGAAGCGAGTACAGACGAGGAAGCTACGGCAGCTAGTCCTTCGGAAGCCACAAATCAAGATCGAATTGGGAACAATGACTGGTAGTTATCTATCCTATATTTGATCTTATTAAGATTTTTTATTATTATTTCTTACATTGAAGTAAACCTATGTCTTCATGTTCAATTATAAATATAAATTTCCTGTTATCTTTACTACAATGACTGTATACATTCGCTTCATTACGTTAAAGCATGAATATTGCAGCATTATGTATAGTTACAAGCACTCATTGTAACTCAGCTTTAATTAATGTATTTTGCAGAGTATCAACCTTTTTTTACTTTATCGCAAACAACTCACTTTTCGTTTAACTGAAATGATCTATCAGGTTACATCACTTCTCAAATGGAGGGGCAGAAAAAATAATTGAAAAGCAGAAGACCAAAAGTAACAAATTCTTAAATACTGGTGTATATGTGTATGTAGTGTGTGAAAGGGAGGTGTTCAGATACCATTCTCAGTCTCAGAAATAAAATCCCCGTACAGTAGTGTGGTATTTACAGCTCAGACACATGTGGTAAAAAGGAAAGGGGAGGCCTGTCTTGGAATGGAAATTTTCAAACAAAATTTACAGTTATTTTTTTTCAGTAATGTTTGATTTATTCAGAACAGCACTTTTAAAGACATAGTTTGAATTTAAGACTTAGGTATTTAATACAATGTTAGTAATAATACTTGGAATCATATATCAGTCAATTCATATATGAAGTTTGTGTTACATGTACGCATGATCACAATCTGTCCCATTAATTTTGTAAAAACTCCGTGAATAACAGGTACTCTAATTACATGTATTAAGAAAGTAATATAAAAAAAATCACAAAAAGATATGCTACCTTTCTACATGTTTTAACCACAACACAAAACGAAATCTCAGGATAATCTATTAATCACAAACACGCAAACTTAAACAAACGAGAATGATGGATTTTAAATTATAACAAAACTTTTATTCCCAAAGGAAAATGAAATCTCTGTCAATGACTGAACACAACGTTCATTCTAAAATTCTAAAATTTTTGGAAATAAGTTAACTGAATTGAATTTTACTGTTCTATATAGATTACGAAAAAAAATTATTGGTTTTTTTCGTTGGAACGAAATAAATATATTGTTTATGTAGCCGTTATCTTCAGCGATTTCGAACATAAGAAATTAAAAGAAATATATATATATATATATATATATATATATATATATATATATATATATATATATATATATATATATATATATATATATATATATATATATATATAAAGTCGAAATATTTAAAACACACACACACACACCCTCTCACAAACACACACACACACACACAATTAGAAATAAGAATGTCTGGATAACTGCTACGTCGATATTTGTTTGTAAAAGAAATTATTTTCAGTTAATTAAGGTATTAGTATTGGAATATAGAACTCGTATCACAAGTGTAGTAGATGTATATTGTCATCAAACTTCTTCCTTATTGTAAGTACTTTATTCTCTTGATCATTGCTGTATTACACTCCCCCACCATTAACTCCCCTTCCCTAACGATACACACGGCGCGTGGTCTCCGTATCTTCTGATCAAGATTGATGTATCTCAGGAATCGGCCGTCCCTGTCCAGCATGTGAATCTTGTCTCCTTCAAAGTCAGTGATGATGATGTGATGCATGCTGTCTGTGGTAAGGGAGCTAGCATCGAATTCCTTCTTGGATGCTTTGTTCCCTGTGTAAGAGAACCTGAATATTCCAAACTTATCAACAACTGTGACGGCTTTTTTATCCCAGTCAGCTACACAAACGTCGCCGTTACCATTCTCCACCACGTAATTTGTTTTTCCAAACAGAGGCTGGTACTGGGAGTCGTATTGGATTTCCTGCAGCACGTCACCGGAACAGCTATACCTTACGACCTTGGACTCTGTTTTATCTGTCGACAGGAGACAGACCAGGAAGTCGCGTGCTGCAGTACAGGTGATTCCGCGAGGACTCCATTCACCAGTAGGGAATAACGTTTCTACTTTACCGTTTATTACTTTCTTCACGGTCTCGTCATTTGTATCGGTGTACACCACATGTCCATCATGAAGAGTCAGGTACATGCTGGTATCTGTGATAGTGGCAGTGTCGTGGAGACGTCCCTGGAGATCAAACAGCTTGAGCTCTCTACTATCTCCTCCTGCCCACACTCTGTCATCACCGAGGGGAACCATGTCATACAGCCGGTTGTTGTTTTCTATGTCAGCTGGGAACTCTGTATCAAAGGCGGAAAGAACTGTAGGTACATCTAAAGCTTGTCGTGATGAAGAGATTGGGACTTGTTGTGTCAGATCATCGAAAGGTAGTTTGTGCGATTCTAGTGTTTCTACGTAACCGAAATACGATGTTGTATAACTTTCGTTAAACTTAAAAGGTTGGAAAAATGCCGGCCGGGTTTCTTCTATAAAGGTTGGCATCTGTTGATTTTCAAGTTCAAGCTTAAGTTCCATTAAATCAGAAACGTCTCTGGATTTCGCCAAGCTGAAGACTCTTTGTTTTAGGTTTTTCAATTTCTTCACTATTTCTTCAAACTCTTTTTTCTGCTTCAATAATTCTCCTGCATGCTTTTCCTGCAATTTATTGAGGTCATTGTGCAGTGTTATCTCTGCTTTATCAATCTCTCGATGTCATTCTTTGGCATGGGATGAAATGTTATCTTTGGTCTGTTTATAGGCTTGTGGAAGTGCTGTAAATCTTTTACTTATGTGATCGAGAATTTTCTCCAATTTTGATCGCATGGACTGTAGCCGCTCATTTTCGTTTGTGATAAAATCTGATATTAAGTCGACTTTCTCGGATAATTCACATATTTCATGTGTCTTGTGCCTGATTGATGCACATAAGACACAAATAGGAATGTCACATGTCTTGCAGAAGGCGCTGAACTGTTGATGTGGGTGGGTCAGGCATTCTTCACCCTCGGATTTATTTTGTTCGCTGTATTTTGTAACATCATGACCATTTACTGATTTTAATAACAAATGGGGCCCTACACATGTGCTGCATAAATTAACGGCACATCTTTTGCACGTGAAGTTGACAGGACTTTTACAAGTATCGCATTCCAGGTAGTGTTGTCCTTGACTTAAATTTGAGGACGCCATTTTTTTTTATCTTTAAAAGAAAATGAGAAAAAAAAACCCTGAAAATATGAGTTTTAGTCAAAACTATGTACACTGTACTCAATAATTTAGAGACAAGGTTATGTACCAGAACAAATCAGTTCCTTAAAATAACACTTGATTTTTTGGTTTTTAATTTAATTTCAAAGAAAAAACTTCTTACAAATATTGTGGTTTTCAGAAGGACGAATAAAGAAATAAAAGAAATAATTTTGCAGCTTGTTAATTTTCATTTAATGTTAAGGATGAAACATCATGTAATTATCCTGTTTTTCTCGTTTTCAATTTTACTTTCTTAACTCAGAGATTAATTCCTAACGCAGAGATTGCACGGAGGCGTATTGTCATAAGGAAAATTGACATGTACTTAATATATATTTAAAAAAAAATTTTTTTCTTAATTTTAGGAATATCATTGTGACATAGAAATCACCACTGTGTATTATGTAAATGTTTATGCAAATGTTTATTTCTCCGTTTTAATGCCTAGTTTTCTACCTGCCCATTTATTGATTTGACAAAAGTGTTTTCTCCAATTTACTGTTTACTACTGTCATGTCTAACAGAATTATTTGAAGTTCTATCAAGATTTTTATTTTGTGGCCTAGTTTTTGTTTAGATATATCATATAAAACAATGTTCAACTTGGTAACCCTTACTTCGGAGAGAAAAAAAAATATTTGTAGGACTGTAAAGCGATTTGTAAATTAAAAGTGAAATTTAAATACTAAACTTAAATATTGAATTTTTAACTTTTTAAAGTTACATTAGTTATTAAATATTTATTACAAACCTGCTCACAATGAATTTTCCATCTTGAACAGAAAGTTTACCCGGCCAACAAGTGAAGCTGATCATATATCGCTAACTTTTGCTCGAACAAAAGGGTGCATGCCTATATTTGTTGTGTGCCATGTTAGTTTCCACAACTGCAACAACAATTCAATAGATGCATTATATCAATATTAATAAACTGATATAACTTAGTTTTTTTCTAAATAAAATTCTATCAACATTGATTAAGTCATTAACTTTATATTACATCTACCCTTTCGTAGTCCTCAGTACACTTATTGTGCAATATATAGTCATATGATACGACAAGAAATGCATTCCAAGTGTCCTTTCTGACATATTTTATTTCGTAAAGAATATCTGCAACATGACAACTTTGTGTATATTAAACACTCAAGCGTGCAAAAGATTTGAATATTTTTGAAGAAAGGGGGGAAATGGAGATATACTAGAAAATGTAAAGAAATGAAAATATTGAATATTTGTTTAAATTCTTTTCTATTCCTCTCCAAGGAAATTTCATTCCTCTAAAGATCATGATTAACTCCTTTTGACTGCACGAGTTTATGATTTCATCATCACTCTATAGGAATTGAGTTAATTTCAACTTTTGCTGCCACTAATGAACAACAATCACACCTGACATATCTATGTCTGTATAGTAAGTTGAGGGATCTTTATCGTGCCAACACCTGCCGTTACACCAAGCCTAAGTTTTTAAGGTCTTATCCTAAGTACAAGCAACTTGCAAGTCAGAGTGCCTTGCGCTTGGCGAAGGAACAGTTGCTACCTATTTTTTTATCGACTTAGACATTGAATTTCCCTAATATGTACTTAGGCAAAGCTAGTTGACTAGATACATTTACATTATTTACATGTAAGTCTAAACAATGTCAAAATGACAGAAATCTTATTTTATCGCTTAGTGAAATATTTGTGACATGAAAAAAAAGACTTCAACAATATCTTTATATTATATGCACTAGCATCATGTTTTGTAGGTCTGTGTTTGTATAACGTAATATGCGCTCATTTATGGGACTAACTATCAATTTTTAGAAATTCTTAATCCAAAAACATTACTGTTTAGTTGAGAAGACATTTTTTTTCAGAATAAAATTCACTTAAAGGGGTAGGGGAGTCTCACAAACAAAGGTACAGTAATATGGTATGTAGAAAGACGTGTATACTTTACTGTGAAATAAAACTGATTTCAGCTTGCCACTCTCTCTGGTCAGGCTGGATGAAAACGCACCACCCTGGGGACCCATGAATCCATGGGGACCATGAACCCTCTGCAGCCGAATTCTCCAAAACCAACAATTTCTATACTAGTGGCTCTACTACAAAGGTTGAATGTTACTCTGTTTCAGTGGATGCCCCTGATTAGTTCTCGAGCGAGATCTTGTCCTGTACCCTCGACAGGAGATTCGTTTGTGACGACTCGGACAATTTCCCCATTCCATACGGAGATTACAGTATACTTCTGCACAAGTGGTACATGTAACTGTTATAAAAATCTTCACGAGTGATAATCCTTCTCTTCTAGATCTCACTTCTATTTTTATTTATAATTGGAAGATTCTGCAAGTTTCGATAAAATGACTATGCATGTAACCGAATAAAAAGGGGGGGGGGGGGGTGACGAGTGTCCTTGTTTCTTACTTTAATACGAGCAAAAAAAAAAAAAATGAAATCCTGTCTGGAAAATCAAACAAATATTTTTAACAATGTTTTATATTTAAATTTTATATTAAAGTACAAGCTATGATAATATATTAAGTTTGTAACAGTCAACATAAAAGAATTATTTAAACAAAATAAACAGGACTAAATCACCATAAGAAATACTTGAATTCAACTTACGGGTGGTTGCATGAATATACGGGGATATATACGGCAAACCTTTGTTACATACACCGTCTTCAAAACCATGTCTTTTCGGCACGTAATCGCAAGTGCGTTGCGGGGAAAAGAGTAACAAATGTAATGCTACTATTACGTCACAGACAGCGCAAATGGCAAAGAGTTAAAGACTATAAAATGGCTTGTATAATTTTCTTTTAAAGTACAAATGGTTTAAGATTGTCTCTCCTTTTACTTCATTAATTGCATGATTTTCCCTGGTAAGCTTCACTGAAGTTTTCAAAATATTTAATTCCTCTCTGTTACTTTGACATTATCAACCAAAGAAACTTGATGAGGAAACACAATATCACAAACAGTTGACAGTGCCAAATACAAGGACAAGTACATACAGTCAAACCTCCTTATCTCGAACTCAAATCAACCAAGAAGAAACTTCGAGATATCCGAGGCTTCAAGGGTAAAATACTTAAGGAATAAGTGATTTCGAAATCCAAAGTACCCACAGTATTCCAGATAATTGTGTTCGAGATATGAAAGTTTAACTGTATATTAAGATGATAAATCTCAAGTTCTTAGCACAAAAAAATATGGAAAATTCGCAAGGTTGATGCAGTGTAGACCAGGACAGAACTGCAGCTTATGAACAGCTGTCCAGTGTTCGTACTCCATTCCATCAGATGTTGGATTATCTTTGTTTATTCATGAGGACCACCTCGTCTGACACTGAGGGGGAGGAGTTATTGAGGGTGTCATGCTATCTATGGCAACAGTCTGAACGGTCTGAGCTGGTCTGGTGGTGCAATCATAAAGATCAGCTGTACCGGTTGGGTTGTTGAAGCTGTTAAAACAGATTTAAAAGTTAAAAACATAGCTGTAGTAGTTTTGAATACATTTACTGTCTAAAGAAAGTCAAATCAAAGGACTTGCGACCTTCACGAAGTATGAGGATCCGTTTTAGTATTTTCTGCCATTAAATGATATCACCTATTTGAAAATGAGATATTACCCATTCAATTTGTAATAACATCTATTCGAGTTGGTTATATCAACTATTCAGCTTTTGAATTGATGATGTCACCTATTCGAAGATATTGGTACATATATAGTCATTAAGTGATATCACCTATTCAAATATATGATATCACCTATTTGAATAAGTGATATCATCTATTAAGCTTTTGAATTTGTGATATCACTTATTGAATTATGACCTATTTGAATCAGTGATATCACCTTTGATTTGATTTTTAAAAGTTGTTTCCATTTATTTGAGTTAGTTATCTTACCTATTCAAATCAAATAGGTGATATCACCATTTCAGATAAGTGATATCAAGCAATTACAATTCCCAATAATTTTGGTACTATATACATGTAGCACACTATGAAAAATAATTTCGTCATGCTTGTGGCTCTCAGTATTGAACATCTGCTGACAATATTTGCATGTTCCCCAACTGAAAATATATTGTTATGTCCCCCTAGTTTAGAAAATTAATATAATAATTTACTTTGGGGTTGTAAGTGTGTTTCTTGTGGCTATGTCTGTGAAATACTTTCCTTTAAATGAATTTACTGAGAAGGGTCATCTATCTTCTCATATAAATCAAAACACTGGTGGTTTTGTAAGTGCGGATCGAATAGATCTAGATCACCACTGTATGACGTATACAACGAAACTTTATCTCCATTATTATAAATTCTATATAGCCTACTAAATCAAAACTGCTAGCGAAGGTGTTTTTGGAATGGCCCTCTGTAAAATGCGAACACACCTTTTCATTGTCTTCATTTTCATTTCATCATCTCTTTATTTTATTTTTTCATATATAATATGTTACATGTATGTGTGATATTACTTTATGAGTTGCAGAAAAAGTTGAAATTAATACAATATATTGTGATAAAAATCATAACACTTGTGCAGTCAAAGAGAATTAAACATTAAATCATTTTGAGGATATGCTTTACATATACCAATTAAATTGTCGTGAGGATAAAAAGAGAAGAATTTTAAAAAAATTCGTTCATTATCTTCATTTTCATTTTAAGTCTTGTATATGCTTTAGTGCTTAATTTACATGTACAACTTGCCTGTTTATGAAAGGAAGGTAGACACAGTTTCAGGCTAGCACTGCATTTTGTGTCATATCATATTACTTTATCTTGCAAAATAGTGTACAGAAGGCTCCGAAAGGGTACATGTAACATAAATTAAAGAATTAATTAATGTTGATAATTTTTGATATATAAATTATGTAAATTATATTAGATTATTAATGTTAATATAATGCATTTATTGATTTGTGGATGCAGTTGTGGAAACTTTCATGCAACACATCACATATATATGCATGCACCCAAATTTAAGTGATATATGATCAGCGCACTTGGTAGCCAGGTAAGCTGTTACCTGTACATAATGGAGGATTGATCGTGAAGAGGTTTGTAATAAAAATTTAATGTAACTTTAATAAGTTATCAATTTAACATTTTAAGTTTTGTGTAATTTAATTTAAGCTTTTGCTTACAAATCGTATAACTTGAGTACAAATATTTTTTTCTCTAAGAAATAAGAGCGACCTAGCCATACATATTTTATATGTGATGTTTAAGCAAAACTAGGTCACAAAATTAGAATTGACAGAACTTCAGATAATTCTGTGAGTTTTGACATAGGTTGAATGTAAATTGACGACAACACTCATGTCAAATCAGTGAATATGCACTAGATAACTTCAGAACGCAGTGGGGAAAATGCCTAAAAAAATATACTTAAAAAGATTTTTTTTTAAATTACAATTTTTATCATGCCAAAACCCTCCGTGCAAAATTTGCGTTGGATATTAATTTCTAATTTAAGATATGAAAATTTCAAACAGATTAGAATTATTGCATAATGTTTAATACTTAATTTTAACTTGAAAATGAATAAGCTGCAAAGTTATTTTTTATATGTAAATAACAATAATTGTTAGAATTTTCCTCTTAAAACTGAAACAGAAGCAGAACTAGTCTTCTTTTTTGAAAAGTGATAATCTTACACGTAGGAGTTTAGATGATATCCTGATTTAATATATGGTACATGACCTCATTTCTATTAAAACATTGTTTTAAAAAATGGACTTACATTCATAATTTATATTTTTCCCCATTTCGTTTTAAAGATAAGATGGCTTCCTCAAATTTAAGACAAGGACAACATTACCTAGAATGTGATATTTGTAAAAGTCCTGTCAACTTTACGTGCAAAAGATGTGCCGTTAAATTATGCAGCGCATGTGTATTACCCCACATGCATATCAATTCAGAAAATGGACATGAAGTTACAAATTTTATCGAACAAAAGAAACCTGACGTTGGAGAATGCCTGACCCACTCCAAGCAACCGTTTAGTGCTTTCTGCAAAACATGCGATATTCCTATCTGTGTCTTATGTGCATCAATCAAACACAAAACACATGACATTTGCGAATTATCCGAGAAAGTCAATGCATTATCAGATTTTATCACGAAAGAAAATGAGCAGCTGCAGTCAATGCGATCAGAATTGGAGAAAATTATCGATCATATAAGTAAAAGATCGACAGCACTTCCACAAGTCTACAAACAGGCAAAAGATAACATTTCAGCCCATGCTAGAGAATGGCATCAAGAGATTGATAAAACAGAGAAAGCATTACACAAAGACCTAGATGAATTGAAAGAAAAGCATGCAGGGATTTTATTGAAGCAGAAAAAAGAATTGGGAGAAATGCTAAAGAAACTGAAAAACCTAAAACAAACAGTATTGGCCTTGGCAAAATCCAAAGATGTCTCTGGATTAATGGAACTTAAGCTTGAACTTGAAAATCAACAGGTGCCCACCTTTATAGAAGAAACACAGCCGGCATTTTTCCAACCATGCAAGTTTAATGAAAGTTATACAACATCGTACTTCGGTTACATAGAGACACTAGAATCGTACAAACTGTCTATTGACGATCTAACACAACAAGATCAAATATCATCATCACGACAAGCTTTAGATGTACCTACAGTTCTGTCCGCATTTGATACAGAGTTCCCCACTGACAAAGAATACAACAGCCGGCTGTTTGACATGGTTCCACTGGGTGATGACAGAGTTTGGGCAGGAGGGAACAGTGAAGAGCTCAAGTTATTTGATCTCCAGGGACGTCTCCATGATACTATCACCATCACGTGCACAGCTATGTACCTGGCCCTTCATGATGGATACGTGGTGTATCCAGAACAAAGTGACAAGACCGTGAAGCAGATTATAAACGGTCATGTAGATACGTTGTTCCGTACCGGGGAGTGGGAACCTTTCGGTATCACCTGTACTGCGGCAGGGGACTTCCTGGTCTGTCTCCGATCGTCAGATCAAACAAAGTCCAAGGTCGTAAGGTACACCAGTTCCGGTGACGTGCTGCAGGAAATCCAGTATGACTCCCTTTTCCAGCCTCTGTTTGGAAAAACAAATTACGTGGTGGAGAATGGTAACGGCGATATTTGTGTAGCTGACTGGGATAAAAAAGCCGTCACAGTCGTTGATAAGTTTGGAATATTCAGGTTCTCCTATACAGGGAACAAAGCTTCCAAGGAGAATTTCAAACCTAGCTCCCTTACAACAGACAGCATGCATCACATCATCATCACTGAGTTTAACGGTGACAAGATTCACCTGCTGGACAGGGACGGTCGATTCCTGAGGTACATCATACCTGATCAGGGGATACGGAGACCACGGGCCGTTTGTGTCGTTAAGGAGGGAGAGTTAATGGTGGGGGAGTGTTTAACGGGAATTATCAAGAGAATTAAGTACTTACAATAAGGAGGATGTTTGAAGACAAAATATCTCCTTCAAAAGTGATGCGAGTTCTATATTCCATTACTAATACCTTAATTAATTGAAAATGATTTCTTTTACAAAAAAATATCGACGTAGAAGTTATCAAGACATTCTGCTTTCGTTTTTGGATATTTCAACCTTATCTACATTTCTTTTAATTACTTTATTATGTTCGAACTCACTGAAGATAGCTAAATAAACAATATATTCATTGAGTTCGAACGAAAAAAAAATGTTTGTACCCTATACAGAGCAGTTAAATTCAAATCAATTAACTTATGTCCAAAGATTTTAGAATTTTAGAGTGATTGTTGTGTACATTCAATGACAGAAATTTCAGTAACCTTTGTGAATAAAAGTTTTGTAATACTTTAAAATCCCTTATTCTCGTGTGTTCAAATTTGCGTGTTTGTGAATAAAAGAGTATCTTGAAATTTTGTTTTTTGGTTGAAACGTGTAGAAAGGCAGCATATCTTTTTGTGATTTTCTTAATATTACTTTCTTAACACACGTAGTTAGAGTACTTCTTGTCTTTTTGCATGTAATAACTAAAACATTTATTATATGATTGAATAATTCCTATCTCTCTGATTGGCTAAGATCCAGCTATGTAGAAAAAATATTAGGTTATATTCACCTGCACGTGACCTTCGAGGTGAATATAAGGATTTATTTTCTCTACATTGGTCTAAAAAAAGATTGGGAAATTCCAAATTGATACAAATAGTTTTGGAAAGCTATTTCACTTGCTACCGACTTCCAGTCAGGTCAGCACAGGAAAAGGAAATAAATAATTTTGGGTGGGGTGGTTGGGGGTGCAAGGGCCCCCAACACTTTTTTAATGTAAATTTTTCTTTTAATCTAGACTAAAAATATTCATTGAAAGGCTAGTACCCTACTTATGGACCTTAATCACCCACCCTAACCCCCTCCAAACCCCAAAACAAAATTTGAAGTTAAGAGAATTCTTATTTCGTGGGGGCTAATGAAAGATTTTTTTTCAGCTGTCAGTTTTCTCTGATAACACCACCCCCCTTTTTTTCAAAATCGATCCTATAAAAAACCTGGCTATTTCTTTTTTTTTTTTCATAGGAACTAAAGTTGATTTTAAAAATTCCAAATTAAACGACTGGTAATGTTTATTTAACTCTGCTTCTCTCATTGCATTTGGTTATGACTTCAGCATTTGTAAACAAAATGGCATGAACGGCTTAATGAGTTTGTATCATTTAATCATTGAATCATATAATAAAACAATTGTTGCTGTTTTTTTTTCAGTCAATTCGATGATTTAGCCACCTGGAAGTATAATATTCACCTCGCCCTTCTGGCTCGGTTAATATTGTACTCCTCAGGTGGCTAAATCTCCGTATTGACCTCAAAAATAGCAATAATTGTATAATATTTTATGTGAATATAGTTCCTTAAAAAAGATTATGTCTTACTGTAAAATAACTGTGATGGCAGAGTCATTTCAATTTTATTCCATCTCTAGCACTTTGTTGAAGAAATTCCAGATCGATCCTTAGGGGAATACAAAATTAAACATGATTCTATGGTGATAGAAATGGCTACGAATGCAGTGGTAACAGACATTATTGTATACATTTATTCTATTCCAAATATAAAATCTACATGACGTGTTTGTGAAACACTTATGACCCCGTATGGCAGCTCATGGCAAAGGATAAAATTTCTGAAATGAAAATCAAAATCCAAGGTCAAGAGATCAAAAATATGGTGCCCAAAGAAGGGTCTTTCACAAGAAATACACATGAAATATGAAAGCCGTAGCACCAACTGTTCAAAAGTTATGGCCAAGGTTAAAGTTTTTAAAAAGTTGGTCAAACTCAAAAGTCAAAATTGGGGAAAAAATTGAGAAATATGCAATAAAACACAGTCAGTAAATACATGTTAAAAGTATTGAAAATTTAAGTAAAGACATGTACTTCTTAACTGAAAACAGTAAATACATATATGTTCAATGCATAATACTCATTTTCATATGGAACAAACAAGTTAGATTTAAGTAAACAAGCTATACAATAAATTTTGACAAAATCCTGGAAATTTATGAAATAAATTGTAATTGAAACATATAATTTAATAAACTTCAGTTCAACGCCCTAGTATTGTGCAAAAATATAATGTTAAGATAATTTTTGGCAATGTCCCGTTGCTGTTCCTGTATCGACTCCCAAGATAGATATATAGAACCCCCACGATTTACTGAGGAAAATGCAGCTAAAACAATCCGTTTTTTCCTTAAACTTCAATATGCCAACAAAGGAATTGACGCGGTTAATATAAGTAATATTCTTAATCACAAAAGGGTCCAGTCTTGTATTCCACCATATTTCAAGTTAAAGACTACACCTTGTATTTCCTACAAATATACATCGACTATTGCTTCCAAACTTTTCAATTACAAGAAAACTTTACAGGGCCTGGATATCGAATATCTGAAACATAATCCTCCATCGTGTTCATGTTCTTCTTCACCCTATAACTATAGTCCTGCTGGACACGTTATTACTGGTGACGTAAATAGACACGTTATTACTGGTGACGTAAATATAGTTAATAATGAGGACCTTAGATCACCAATTTTCAAAGGTCCTAGATATAGGGAACCCCGATCCTTCAATTGGCGTCGGAATTTCATAAATATTATGGATTCTGTAGAGGACTACGCCAGGCGATGGGCCAGACATGAAAAAGAAGACCTTGACACTTTGTCAGAATGGATTAAATGTATCAGATGTACGTTAAAATCGCGCATAAAAAGATTAAGGGGCAATATGAGAACCATCTATCCTTCTGTATTCAATAATCCAGAAGTGAAAAAAGAATTAGATAGATTACATGATCAGTACGTACTGGTCCCTGCTGACAAAGCAGGTAACAACATTGTCTTTGTTTGTAAGGCTCATTATATTAAATGTATTTTAGAGGAACTTGGATTTAATTCTACAAGTGGTAATCCAACTTATACTCATAGTTCCCTTTCTAAGGAAGAAATTCTTCAAAATCATATGTCAGTTTTGAACATTTTTAATATTCCAAACAACCAAAATGAATTTGACTTACCATATTTATATTGGATTCCGAAACTTCATAAAAATCCTTGCAAACAAAGACACATGGCGGGTTCCAGTAAATGTTCAACCAAGCCTCTTTCTTTACTCCTCACTAAGATATTAACAGTAGTGAAGGAGAAACTTCAAGAGTACTGTGCAACAATATATTCGAGAAGTGGTGTAAATCAGATGTGGATACTTAAAAATTCCAATGAACTTTTGGAAAATTTGAAATCACAAGATTTTACCAAAATCAACAGCTTAAAAACTTACGACTTTTCAACTTTATACACAACCATTCCCCACGATAAATTAAAGTCCAAGCTTTTTGATATCATTGACAGCTGCTTTTTCAATAAAAATGGAACTCGTAAATTTACTTACCTTGTCATTGGTCATTTACAAAATTATTTTGTTAAAAAACATTCTGATTGTACACACAAGTACTCTGATGTTGAAATTAAAAAGATGCTTGAGTTTCTGATTGACAATATCCATGTGGTTTTTGGAGACCAGGTCTCCCAACAATCTATTGGAATTCCCATGGGTACCAATTGCGCCCCGTTATTAGCAGACCTTTTTTGTATTTATATGAAGCAGAATTTGTCCAAAATCTTGTACGTGAAAAGATGAAAACACTTGTTGTGGCTTTCAACTCGACATTCAGATATATCGACGACGTTTTGTCAATTAACAATGCCTATTTCCATTCTTTTGTCGATACGATATATCCCGGTGAGCTTGAGATAAAAGATACCAAAGAGTCTGACACATCTGTTTCATATTTGGATATTTTACTTGAAAAAGACGTTAATGGTAATCTAACAACCAAGCTTTATGATAAGAAACGTGATGACTTTAACTTTTCAATCGTCAAATTCCCTTACTTATGCAGCAATATACCTTCATCACCTGCATACGGGGTATATATCTCTCAGTTGATTCGATACGCAACAGCATGCTCTACGTATGTACAATTTCTAAAACGAGGTAAATTTTTGACAAACAAGTTGATGAAACAAGAATATCAGCTGTCTCATTTAAAGTCATCATTTCGTAAGTTCTATGGTCGATACAATGACCTTGTCAGCAAATACATTTTATCATTGAGTCAAATGCTGACTGACGTTTTCATACAAATTTTTAGGCCATTATTTACAAACTGAATTCTCGACGGATTTTTCCGTTATTTCCCGATCATGACAAGGAGCACACGGCCGGTTGTGACCGGTCGGCAGAGGATGCTCACTCCTCCATGGCACCTGATCCCACCTCTGATGTTTGGAGGTCCGTGTTTGCTCTGCTCCTATTTTGTATTGATTGATGGACTTTTGAGCCTGAATACTGTTCGTTATCTTCATATATTTCATATACATCCTTGTAGCTTAATTACACTGTCCTTAATCCGATTACCAGGTTTATTTATTCTTACGGAAAAGTCTTATACTTTCATATCAAGTTTTTTGACGTGCCTAGATGGCGGAGCGGTCTAGCGCACTGTTCCTGTACTGCTGGGAGACAGATTCCATAGGTCGAGAGTTCAACCCCTGGTTGGGACGGAAGTGAGTATCCTTGTAAAAGCGAATGTATTTGTGTTTTCTCTCTCTCTCTCTCTTACTGTTATTACTTAACAAATGTGTAATTGGAACAATTACTGTTGGAACATTTACTTACCACATGCATAACTGGTACAATTACTATTATTACTTATCACATATGTAACTGGTTCAATGACTGTTAGTACTGACCATATTTAAAACTGGTAAAATTACTGTTGGTACTAACCATATGAGTAACTTGTACGATTACTGCTAGTACTTACCATATGTGTAACTGGTACTATTACTGTTAGTACTGACCACATGTAAACTGGTACAATCACTCTTAGTACTTACCACTTGTGTAACTGGTACAATTACTCTTAGTACTTACCACATGCA